TGTTAAGGAAGATTTTGCTCATCTTGGATTTTTTCCCGAGCAGCCTTTTTAAACGGCTGCTACGTTTCCAGGGCACTTTGCAAGAAAGGCAGAACATTTGCCGCTTCATTCGCTCCCACTCCAAATCTAGCACTGTGGCTTCTCACTATTAGCCTTTCTGGACCTTGCTTCATTAATTTCTTTACAGATCTTTTGATCTAGCTAGGAAAAAAGGGAGAAAAAGAAATGTGGTTTTCTATTCGTGGTCCATATCTGTCCAACTGCTGCTTGCTGCTGCCATCTTGTGAGCTGTTTTTAAAACTACAATTACATTTAAAGGAGTTCTACTGATTTAATCAAGAGTGAGTTGTGAATCCAGCAAGAATGAAATTTCACGAGGCTTCCAACTTTGGAAGATTTTCGGAATTCAAATTCAACTTTTTTGTTGTTTTTTTATAAGATATTTATTAAGATTTTCAAAATATTACAAAATAAAAATAGAAAAAAGAAAAACACAAAAAATAAAAATAGTTAAAAACAACTCAATCTTTCCATTACTTATTTTTCATTAGCTTGTTTCCCGGACCTCCTCACGCCTCCCTTTTTGTATTCCAGTTCGGTTTGTTGGTTCAGCAAATCCTTCCCCTCTTTGTCTATCCTAATCATTAATCTTAAAATATTGTAACATTAAATTTTTACCTGTTAGTAATCCATTTTTCATATTCCCTTATAGTATTGCAGCTAAAAACCACTTAATTTCTATCCAACATCATTCTAACATTCATTAATTTTACAATATTTCTGTAAATAGTCTTTAAATTTCTTCCAATCTTCTTCCACCAACTCTTCTCCCTGGTCCCGGATTCTGCCAGTCATTTCCGCCAGTTCCATATAGTCCATCACCTTCATCTGCCATTCTTCCAGGGTGGGTAGATCTTGTGTCTTCCAATACTTTGCAATAAGTATTCTTGCTGCTGTTGTGGCATACATAAAAAAAGTTCTATCCTTCTTTGGCACCAATTGGCCGACTATGCCCAGGAGAAAGGCCTCTGGTTTCTTCAAGAAGGTATATTTAAATACTTTTTCAATTCATTATAGATCATCTCCCAGAAAGCCTTAATCCTTGGGCACGTCCACCAAAGGTGAAAGAATGTACCTTCAGTTTCTTTACATTTCCAACATTTATTATCGGACAAATGATAGATTTTTGCAAGCTTGACTGGAGTCATGTACCACCTGTATACCATTTTCATAATATTCTCTCTCAACTTTTTTTGAATTTTTAACCTTATCATGCTTTTTTCTATAACCGACGTGTGTGTGTGTGTGTGTGTGTGTAAAACTTAACGGAAAATCAATAAAAATAGAATTAAGGAAAAGCAAAGCATGTTCATGCTTTCCTTTGGGGATTCAGCTTGAAGGAATAGCTTTTAGATAATAAAATGCACATGTTGCTAATTAGTTATAAGACAACAGCGTTGTGCATCAAAATGTCAAAGTCAAGAGTTTTCAAGTCCTGTCTCCCACTCCTTTTAAAAACCCCATAAATCTAACAGCATTTATAACTGATGATGTTGGTGGAGTGGGGGAGGAAGGAGATGAATTTGGAAATATATATATTCAGGGAACAAGCTAGACAAAACTGAGGATTTCAAAGTTTTAAATTGGCAAACATTAAGCATCTGCTGTGCAGTTCAGCCTTACACCCATCTACCCAGAAGTCTCCTTGAGTTCCATGGAACTCACAGTTCAACATGTTTTTATAATTGCAGCTTAACTCACCCACTTAAAACAAGGAGACATAAAATGTCCCTCATCTAGCTGGATCATAGCCTCAGAATTTAATTTGTAAATCTGAATTGTATCAATTTATTTAGCCTGTTCTATAAGATCTGAATCCTAAACACCTGTGTCCTAAACACCTGATCTATACATTCCAGACCAGCCCTCCAGTGACTGCACCACTTCAGAGTCATATTGCATAGTCCCCATGTCAAAAAAAACCCGAACACAGAAAGCTAGGTTTCCAGGGAAACGATAGCCTATCTTTCCTCCCCATTTTCTAGAATTCTCCTTTTTTAAAATGGAACTGCACTGTCTCCACTCTGCATGCATGCCAATCCTCCCGTTATGCCAATGAGCTTCTTGAATATAGTTGTTTATGCCCATCGTTCATCTCAGTTGTTGGAGTGGGCTTAGTTATTGCAGCTGTTCATGCCAGAGTGGAATAAAGGACACTTACAACTTAATAGATTTCAAGAGAGCAATTGCCCAGGTCGCATTCTCTTCGCATTTCTGAAATGTGTTGGCAAAATCTGTGCTGGTGGCTTAATTGATTCAAAGCAGGGGTGATAACTCTCTTTAAAAAAAAAAAAGTTTCGTTTTGGGAGTTTGTCCTTTGTGCATCAGAATCCTCACACTGCAGATTGTGTTGTTGCAATGGGGGCAAGCAATCAAGGTTAGACGCCCAGAGTTTTCTTAAATCACTTTGTCCCTCTTGTCTTAACACAAATGGAACACAAGAAAGGTTGGGTTACAACATTCAGATCACCTTCTGGGGATGATCTAATGCATGGTAGTACAGTGGTACCTCAGGTTACATACGCTTCAGGTTACAGACTCCACTAACCCAGAAATAGTACCTTGGGTTAAGAACTTTGCTTCAGGATGAGAACAGAAATCGTGCTCTGGCAGTGGGAGGCCCCATTAGCTAAAGTGGTACCTCAGGTTAAGAACAGTTTCAGGTTAAGAACGGACCTCCAGAACAAATTAAGTTATTAACCTAAGGTACTACTGTACCTAACATTCCACATTGTGGCACCACTCTGGAAGCTTGTTCTAAAGGAATGGATATTTGGAGACCTAAGAATTGTACTGAATTCACCAAAAGCTAGAAAACAGGTCAGTGCTGGGCCTCAAAACACCACTGGGTGAGAGAGCCTAGTACAAGGAGTCGGAGAGAACAGGGGCTGTCCCTAATCAATCAAAATCCCAGGTTGACTTAGATGCCTTTATAAGCGGGGGCAGCCAATCTAGTGCCCACCAGATGTTTTTGGGAATCTGCTGTCCTCCTTTCCCAGCCAAGATGCCCAATGGCTGAAGATAATGGGAGTTGTAGTTCAACGGTATTTGTATATTTAATTATTACACTGTTTTTAAAGAATTCTAGCAAACTGTCAATTGCTCAAAGTTGGAAGAATCTGGACAGTCTACATCTATCCCTGTGGAGACACACACAAAGAAAAGTATAGATGATAGCATTAATGGGAAAACTTACCAGACCCCTGAAAGCTCAGAGGAGTGAACAAGACGCAGATGGCTATATAGAAACATGGTACCCTTTACTTTCTCACCTGATAATCTTACAGTGTGGCATCCTCTGAACACCCTTGTTCAACTTTGGAACATTTTTAATTAAAAATTCTGCCCCATTCCATTATTGCAGAGGGGACATAGTGGGATGTTATTGCAATCACACACACACGCAAACAAACAAACAAAGACACACACATACACACCAACAGGTGATAGTCAGGACTTGAAGGCTTGCAAAGTCCTGAGCAGTAGGTAAAGCACCACTGATCAGCTGAGGATTGAAATTACTGCCTATCAGCTGACAGGCAGCATTTTAAAGCTTGATTTCTGCAGGGATTGGCTGGGCAACAGAGTTCCCTGTGCAGAACCGTCACATAGCCTATCCAGCCCCGTGCCTGATGACATATGTCTGGTGCAAGGCAGGTGAGTGTGGTTTAGGGGAAAACAGCCTCGTGGGCCAGAGACCCTTCCTGGGCCAGAACTGGCCCCTTAGGTCAGAGGTTCCCTACAGACAATACTAGGACGGACCCCCTAGCTAGCAAGGCCAGAGCTCAGGGATGATGGGAGTTGTAGTCCAACAACATCTGGGGACCCACAGGTTGAGAACCGCTGGACCAGATAGGAATCTTCCTCCTCTTTCAGGTGGACTGGGCCTGTCACTTATTCAGTCCCACTATGCACAGGAGAGCAGCTCCTTCCTAATGAGTGAATACACTGACCATTCATAGCAGTTTCCCGACCTTGGGTCTCCAGCTGTTTTTGGACTACAATTCCCATGATCCCTGACCACTGGTCCTGCTAGCTAGGCATGATGGGAGTTGTAGTCCAAAAACAGCTGGAGACCCACGGTTGGGAAACCCTGATTTATAGCCTTCCTAAAGCCCAGCACCTTTCACATGTTTTAAGTCCCAGCAGTCCCAGATGATATGGCCAATGGGATTTGTGGTCCAGCAATATCTGGAGAGCTCCAGGTTGGGGAATGCTGACATGGATGTTACTTGTATATACATACATACCATCAGTCTGGTATATGATGCAGGTGTAGAGGAAGAAATACTATATCATTTCCCCAGCTTTTGCTCAAGATTTCAGGGCCTCATTCACACCATACATTTAAGGCACGGCAGAACCACCTTGAGAAGTCATGGCTTCCCCCAAAGAATTCTGGGAGATGTAGTTAGTTAAGGCTACAGAAACTTGCTTGGTGACCCCTATTGCCCTCAGAGCTACAATTCTGTGAGTGGTTTAGCAATCACTTTCTTTTCGTAGGTAACTGAGAATTATAGCTCTTCCAAAAGTAACAATCTTTTTTTTCTGCACAGCTCGTTTTATTTTTGGCTGGAAGCATCTCATGGCTGGCTGATCCCTGCTTTTGTCTACACGGGACAACCATTTTTAGATTATTATTTTTTATTGCACAGAGTGTCGCTCCAATGTTATTTCTGGTTACTATTATTATTGCATCTTTTTGGTTTTGAATTATGTTGTACATGCTGCTGGAAACAGCCTTGAGGCTTACCTGAAAAGGCAGCTTATTAATATTTTCAATATGGCAATCACCCTATTCTGAAGCTGAGTTGAGTAAGCATCCCATTTTTTGCTGCAAGCTGCACGCCCCTAAACTTCAAATCGGTCCTAGGGATGGTGTATAATAAGCAATAAAAATGCAGGCGAAAAAAACAGAATCAACGGCCCTGCAGAAGATGCACACTCAAGAGTTATCAAAACTCAATTTATTTCAAATGTTAGAATTTTTACAGATTCACATCTCTCCTGCAAAAAAATAAAAATCACTTTTTGCTTCCCTTGCTTCCTAAAAACAAAATAAAAACAAAATAAAAATACTCAGGGCGCCCAAATATTGCCAACAACTCGGCATTTTCCCAAACACAGCCCATTGTAGGGCTGGCAAGATCTTCAAAGCATGGTTGAAGGAGACAAGAGCAAGAAAGTGGGCAGAAGAGATTGACACACAAAGTTTCTATCCTAGTTGGATTACCGCACACGATCTGTGCGTCGGTACAATTCGGCTATTTTTCCTCCACCGGCTTTACCAAAGCCTGTATCTGCCCCACAGAGCCAACACTCAGCACAGGGTGTGGCCCTCCAATGTTGTTGGACTCCAACTCCCATCATCCCTGGCTGTTGGCCATACAGGCTGGGGCTGATGGGAGTTGGAGTCTAGCACCTGGAGCGATACAGGCTTTCTGTGGCTGATGCAGGTAGAAACTAAATACGGGTACCTTGCAACCTCCCAGGATTACAGACACAGCTTTAAAAAGGCAGCCGTCTACGGGATATATCCAAAATAATAGAACCGATGCCTCTACCTAAAGAATTCTGAATTAGGGAAAACATTTGAGCAAGGGCAACTTCCCTGAACCGTCACACAGCCACCCAGATGGGAGAAGCTGCACTCAAAGACTCTGGAGCTCTTGAAAGGACAGGCAATGGTCCTTTGGGGCTGTGGCAGGCATGGCTAACCTCTGACCCTGCAGATGTTGGACTACAACTCCCATCATCCCTGACTGTTGGCCATGTCAGCTGGGGCTGATAGGAGCTGGGAATCCAACCACATTGGGAGGGCTACACATTCCCCGTCCCTGTGCTCCGGAGTCACTTCGCAGCAGAGTTCGCAGCTGCCAGAGAACTCTTTAAGACGTCCATGTGTATAAATAAGGGACCAGGGTCACCCTCAAGAACCATCTCTGCTTCTAACTGCCCGCTTTGTCTCAGCCAGGAAGGTGGCGGCAGAAGCTTGAAACTACACCTAGATTAAAGAGAAGGCAGTCCTCCCCTTAAAAACAACATTCTCCAAACTGGTACCTGCCAGGTGTCCCTAGACTACAACTCCCATCATCCCTGACCACACTGGTTTGGGGCTGATGGGAGCTAGAGTCCATAGCTTTCAGAGGGCACCAGGTTTGGTAAGGCTGCCTTCGATGGGTGTACAAGTTAATCCATCTCCCAGGACCAAAGAGGGACTGAATGCCAAAACTGAGAAATTGTGACTTTTGAGGTGAGCCATTAAAAACTGAGGGGGCAGGGGCAGGCAAGGGAAGAGTCTAGGAGATGAAAGCCCCGGGGTTGATGGCGAAACCAGGACAACTTGTGCAGATTTCAGAAGCAGGGCAAATCAGATAGCGGAGAGGGAACAAAAGCACCATGTGTTTCCAAAGCCAAATGCTATCCCTTGTCTTGTTTATTTTTTTTATTTTTTTAAATAAGACCTTGTCCTGACTATCAATAGCTTTGAGAGCAGTGAGGGAAGCCATTTTTTAAACAAATACCAACATCTTAAGGGAATTATTTTATATTGGCTAATTTTTCTCCCTAGAGAAATATCAGAAAGTTTTCCGCAGGAGCCCCGTTCCCCAAGACTCAGGAAAGTGCTGCCCCCTGGATGGTTCTCTCCGGGGCTGCAGGAACAGTTTGTCAACTCTGCCGCTCCTTGACGAGGAGGACGGTGTGCTGCCCTCCGCCGGTCACCGAGAGAACGCTGCGATTCTCCAGCTGCTGGCCAGACATCTGAACGGGGCTCCAGGCATCCTCTTCGTCCCCAGTGGCAAGCTGGAGGTTAGACCCCATGCCCCAGGCAAATGCTCGGCCTACAGAGGACAGGGAAAGTAGGACAGTGAAAAAGAGCCCGAAGCAGTTGTGCTCGAAGCTGGCTGGGCAATGCATGCCAGGGCTTCTCACATAACCATTGCATATTATTGAAATTGCAATACTTTATTGTCACTTGTGCAACTTGTATACAGTGAGATTACACGAGTAACCCCTACTCAGCTCTCTTAGTCTTAATTCCCCTCGTTTACTGACGCACACCCACCAAACCCGAAAGTCAGTTGCCCTGTTTTTATCTTTTCATTCAGCAGCCTAACAGCCCACGGATAGAAGCTGTTCTTTACCCTGTTGGTGCGACTAATCATGCTTCTATATCTTCTTCCTGAGGGCAGGAGATCAAGAAAGTGCTGGCCAGGGTGTGAATCATCCCTGAGAATTTTCCTCACTCTCCTGAGGCAACGTTCTTCCGCTATTTCACCCAGCGGATTCACAAGGCAGCCCATAATATCTTGTGCTGTATTCACCACCCTCTGTAGGCACGTCCTATCAGTTGATGTCAAACCAGCGTACCACACCGTGATGCAGTATGAAAGTAGAAGGAGATCATCAAATGTTGCAATACTCTGAGGAGATGGAGTCTCTGTTGGGTTTTCTTAACCACCTGGGTTGTATTGATTTTCCAAGCAAGGTCATATTCACATTCATATTCACAGTATGGAGAGGTGCAATATTCAGTTTAAGTTTCTAGACCTCATGAGTGCAGACTGTTGAGACCTGAGCAACTTAGGGGCTCAAAGGCTCCATCACCAAGGATCCCAGTCAGGAAGGCCTGCAAGTCTTTAACTGAGATTCCTTTAGCTGGGTCTCAGCTTTAGCTGTGATTCCTGCATTGCAGGGGGTTGGACTAGATGACCCTCGGGGTCCCTTCCAACTCTACAATTCTGCGATTCTTCAGCACATGTGTTGCCTGCAGAATATTCAAGGGACAATCTGTGGCATCTCAGCATCCCTGACAAAAGCCTTGGATATCAATACAGAGCTAGATGGACTAATAAATAGCAACTTCCTACATTCCCATTTTCACGAATTTTCTGAATACATGAATCCATTGTATAGTTTTACGAGCGGAGGGGGAAGAGTTCCAAATCTTTCCATGCTGACTGCAGAAACCTTTTCAAATTTCTCTCAGAGAACCGAGAGCTACAACAAAATGTTGCAGCGTGGTATGCTCCCTGTTCAGGGTTCGAGACACCTCCATTCCATTCTCTCTTTTCCCTGTTTTCCTTCCCACACCCAACAGCTACACAACTTTTAGAAGACGCCTGAAGGCACCCCTGTATCAGGAAGTTTTTAATGTTTGACATTTTATTATATTTTTATATGTCTTGTGGAAGCTGGGGCAAACCTACGAGCAAGAAGCTGGCGTAATTAACTTTAGGCCAGATCAAAACCCTGTTTAAACAATGCGACGGCTGCTGTTCTGCCTCAGCCTGGCAGAGGGAACACAAGGCTTCCAAAGTGTTCTAGGCCAGGCTGACGGGACCTGTGGGATCCAGCCTAAGCACCCCCCTCTCTGGTCCCACCTCTGCCGAACATCCAAAATGCCCTTTTTGGGGAGCCTCCACCAGCCTCAGCCGGCTACCTGAATCCCGGTTGAGCCAGAATGAGAAAGCGATGCCAGCGTTGGGGGCTTAAGATCAGCTGAACCGCTGCATCCTAAGCTGCTCATCCTGCCATTGGATCCCCCTGCCCCACAAGACACAAAGTCATTTCAATGGGTCTACCCTAAGTAAAACATAGCTGAATGCTCTCCACCTGTATATTCAAGTTACTACAGACTAGTAGCCACTCTCTCCAGAGCTTCATTCCCCGCAGCGCCACAGATTCGGCACCTACCAACCCAGCACGTGGCACAGACTCACCATCTTCCGTAACCGCAAAGCCAACCCGTTCCCCACAGGCGACCGATGACGCTTTTGGCAGCCCAGGGACAGCCGTGGGGGCGTTCTTGTCCGACGCTCCCTCTCCCAGGCCCAACATGCCGTAGTCTGCCCTGCCCAGGCTGCACACGGTTCCTGCGGAAGGTGGGAGAAGAGACGTCACTCTGTTAAGAGAGATTCAGTGAAGAGCGCCACAGGGCAGGTTTAGGATCAACGAGGGACCGACCATCACCCAGACTGTTTGAGGATGAAGGCAGTTTGGGCCACAGCCTTCTCTGAACATCTGAAGAGCTGTTCAACGGTCTCCCTCAGGAGGTGGTGGTCACTCCTTCCTTGGAGGTTTTTAAGCAGAAGTTGGATGGCGACCTGTCACGGGTGCTCTCAGTTGAGATTCCTGCATTGCAGGGGGTTGGATGTCCCATGGTGTCCCTTCCAACTCTACAATTTTGTCACTGGAGAGAGGTTGCTTAACCCGACAGGCGTGATAAGGCCTGGTTCCCTTTCATACATTCCATGAATACAGTGGTACCTTGGGTTAAAAACTTAATTCGTTCTGGAGGTCCGTTCTTAACCTGAAACTGTTCTTAACCTGAAGCACCACTTTAGCTAATGGGGCCTCCAGCAGCTGCCACGCCGCCGGAGCACAATTTCTGTTCTCATCCTGAAGCAAAGTTCTTAACCTGAAGCACTATTTCTGGGTTAGCGGAGTCTGTAACCTGAAGCGTCTGTAACCTGAAGCATCTGTAACCCGAGGTACTACTGTAGTTGCACACAGATCCTCACCTATCTGCGCTGCACCATATGACAATGTGGAAGGGGCTGCCCGGATGTGAATTAACCTGTGGATTGTGTTGCTTGGCTATCATTGTATTGCAACAGGAAAAGATCCTTCGCCGTTGCATGCACACTACTTTCCACTCGACTGTGTTGAGTGTGGATGGTTTGAAAGCCTTAAATGAATATATTTCTGACTGAGGGGGGAATTACAGCATTTAAAGAGTCCTGTACTGAGAAATCCAACCCCGATTTCACCAAATCATCTAAAGCAGCCCTGGGGCCATGGCTCAGTGGCAGAGCAACTGCTATGCATGCAGAAGGTCCCAGGTTCATTTCCAGGAAGGGCTGGGAGAGACTCGCTTACCTGAAACCTCCGGAGAGCTACTGCCAGTCAGTGTAAACACTGCTGAGCTAGGACCCACAGTCTCGCTTGGTATAAGGCATTTATGTTCCTTGGTACCGTTGCATCCGCTCCTTTGAAGTCATGGAGCCTGCAGCCCTCCCGATGTTGTTGGACTACAACTCCCATGATCCCCTGCCAGCGTGACCAGGGATGATGGGTGCTGTAGTCCAACACCTTCTGGAGGGCCATAATTTCCCCATGCCCGTATTATGTTCCTCTCCTCCAGCCCATCAAAGAGCAGCCGCTCACCTTCCGAGTCCAGACACACAGTGTGATGCTGCCCAGCTGAGAACCCAACCCAGGATCTGGTGGAGTTCTTGAACGCCGTCAGAACCTTTGGCGAATAGTAGGTGTCAATTCCTTGTGATCCTGGGAGATAAGCAAGAAAACCCAAGCCAGTTAATAATGTGTACTGTATAGTTATGGGAGAGAAAGAGGACTTGAAGAATTCAACCTGGCATCTTGGAGGTTTAAATCTCAACGCATCTCGACATAGTCTTAGCCCCAAGCTTACAGAGGTTGCCACCAAGTTAGACTAGAATGATCTGAGACTGGTGTGGGCAACCTTTTGTCCCCAAGGGCTATAGCAGCAGCACACATGGACGCTTTTGAAGTCTCTCTTTTTGCTGAGGCTGAAGGAGGACAGACCCGTCTCCAGCCCAGCAGGAAGAGAAAAACCCTTTGAAAATCAATATTGCGCCTTGGGCCCAAGTCCATCTATTCTGGAATCATTTTTAAACCTTTACACAGGATTAAAAGGGGGGGAGGATGGGTTTCCAAATGTGGAAGAAGAATCTAATCAGGGTTCAAGATCTTGTAACTAAGGGATTGGTTACTTCATACTCAGAAGTTAAAAGCAAGTTTCAGGGCAGAAACCCCAGAGCAAAAATCTATTCACTTTTGGTCAAATAGGAAACTGAACTGTAGCAAATGAACGATTATTTTGTGAAATGGGCCCAACAGAAAGGGGGAAAGTCCCACTCACTGGATATCTGGGAAAAGCAATGGAAATCTGCACGTGAATTTTCTTTAAATGTAGAGAAGAGAAAACTGTTTTAAAATCATGAGGGCGGATTGTAAAGATAAATAAAAATGTAAAGATAAATCAAATCAACAAAATCTATCCAGACACATTCCGTAAGGGCCAAAAAGGCAAGCATTTGATCTTTTTTTAATTAAAAAGGGGGCAGGCATCCAGGGGAAATAGGCTTGGCAATCCATATCCGCCATTGCACCCAATGTGTTTTGACTATACAAAATTTGGCTTTAAACGCTATCCACGGAACATAACCCCCGTTTGCTGCAATGGCCAAACAGTACAGGAAGAAGGGGAAAGCCCTACAGGGCCTGCAGGATACAGATCTACGCAGCGGAGGCTGATCCATTAAGGCACACAGGACAGGGCGCCATTGACCTCCACCAGCTGTGTGCTGGTCACCCAGTTTCCTACCCAAGGGGCACCAGCCATCGCCGCATCTGCCATTTAGGATACTGATTGTGGGAAAGGTTGATGCATGTTCTTACTCTGTGGTGCAGTCCATGTGCTGGGAGCAGCTCCCTTTTCCCTTGGCAAAAGAGGGGCAACCAAGCCGACCCAACTTAACAGCTGACATGCAAGGTAGTGTAAGCCGACCCCACCTTCCCTCCCATGAATTTGGCACATTTTGGAAGACCCTCGAGAAATAGCTCCCCCTCCCACCAAGTCCACTTGGCTCCTTCTGAGCCTGGACGGCAGCGTGGGTGAGGTGGCCAACTCACCCAGCTGGTAGTAATTGGAGAGGCCGAACCCAATGACATGGCCCTCCTGGGTGATGGCGATGGTGGAGTAAGAACCGCAGAAGACGTCCCGGATCTGCCCCTTGGTCTTGCAGCCTCTCTGCTTGATAGCGACAGCTTGTGGGAGCAGCAGCCGTTCTGGAAGAGAAGTGGCAGGAGGAGGAATGCTTAGGAGGATTTGGGTGGGGGGTTGGGGGGGTTGGTAGAGGGAAGGAAGAAGCCATCCAGCACAAAGATGCCCTGGGTAGCCAAGCCTTCCTTCTGGAATATAATGTAGGCTCCTTTATGGGAAATCTCAAAGGTCTCCTGCCTGGGTCCTCCTCCCTTTAAAGCAGGTGTGGGGAAACTGGGGCAGGGAAGAAGACCAAAGCTCTCTACCTTGGCCCCCAAAGACTCTTGCCAAGCCTGTGACAGGAGCATGACAGCAGTAAATGACATCGAGTAAGTTGGAGTTACCGTATTTTTTGTGTGTATAAGACTATGCCTTTTGCTTAAAAAAAAAAAAAGGCAAAAATTGGGTGTCGTCTTATACATGGATAGTGAATGCCGAGGGGGGGGACGTGCGATTAATGGCAGCAGCAAGCAGGAGATTGGCAGCGGCGACTGGGGAGGTGATTGGCAGCTGCGGCAAGTGGCCGGGTGGCCTGTTGGTGGCAGCGAGCGGGCAGACAATTGGCGGCTGCAGCGAGGTGTGCGATCGGCAGTGGCTGTGGCAAGCGATCGGCAGTGTCGCGCAGGCGGGTGAGCGATTGGCGAGCTCCCCCACCCCCCAAAAAAGCTAAACAACTTGATTTCTTAATTTTGGTTTTTAAAAATAGGGGTTGTCTTATACATGGGGGCGTCTTATACATGGAAAAATACAGTAACTCTTTACTGGCAAAAACAGGAGTGTCAGGCCAAATGAGCACAGCAACTTATCTCCGGCAGGTCTTGCCCACATGAAGCAGTTGCTGAGACTGAAGGTCCCCTGCCTTCCCCCAGCTGCCTAAGTCCCCTCCTGAGACTGTGCCTGTGTGAAGCCAACTTCTCCACCCTCTTCACGCCTCTTCTGATTCTAGGAGACTGGGGGAGGGGAGATTGTGAGAGAGGGGGAGACGACTCCTCACCAGCTGGACTCAGCTTTTGGCTGAGAGTTAATGACTATTACTTCAACACTCTCTCTCACTGCCCCAATCCGCTCTCAACATGCCCCCCTCTCCATCATCACCAGTGACGCGGGGCAAGTAATGTCCCAGCGCCTTGTTTTTCCATGTCTTCATTCACAACTATGAACAGATTCAAAATGCAAATGCAGTATTATTGGGCAAGCTTGGCACTGTCAAACTGTTTTGCTTGAGTTCCAAAATACAAGTGAAATGCATGTGCGAAACTAGATCACTCTCTAGAGCAGAGGCAGCCAGGCTAGTGCCCTACAGAGAATGTTGGACTCCAACTTCCATCAGTTCCAGCCAGTTTGTCCAATGGTCATGGATGACAGGAGTTGGAGTCCAGGAAAATCTGGAGGGCACCATGTTGATAATCCCTACTCTAGGGCATCAGAAATTTTCCCAATGCAAATTCTCAGAGGAAAATTTCGAGGGGGGGGGAGCGACAGGGCGTTTTCCCAATTCTATTTTTACTCTAAATTGCATAGATTTTCCCCCCAAACAGGATGGAATCTATAAAGTTTTCCTGAGTCAAGATTTTCCAGAAAACCCTTACCACTGGTCACCACCACCCTCAGACCACTCCAAAGCAACAGAATGAATCTAATGCCAATAAACTCACCCAATCCTTTTCTTCCTCCTCTGGCAGTGAAGACTTGGGGGACTCGCCCCAGTTGGCCGTTGTCTCCGCAACCACAGGTGTAAAGTCCTCCAGCCATGGACACTAATGCCAAGTGATGGCTCCCTGAGAAGCGAAAGCAGAGGCATAAAACTACCCCATTTTTTACTCCCACACCAAGCAATTAGGTTTCCAAAGCATGGTTTTGATGGCTTGGGTGGGAGACTGAAAAACAGCCAGATTGGGACATTCTTCTGCGGTTGCATTAGCTACCTGACATCCCACCTATGGGAGACCGCACAGGAAATTACGTCAAGGAGGAACACAGGAGAACAAGGAAAATGTCCTCTTTACTACCACCCAAAGCTATCAACTTGAGATAACCGCTTCAGTCTCCTATGCATATAACACAAAGCCATAGGTAAAACAAGTCAAGGTTTGTAAGCCTGCTATGAGAGCCAGTGTGGTGTAGTGGTTAAGAGCGGTAGTCTCCTAATCTGGGGAACCGGGTTCGCGTCTCCGCTCCTCCACATGCAGCTGCTGGGTGACCTTGGGCCAGTCACACTTCTTTGAAGTCTCTCAGCCCCACTCACCTCACAGAGTGTTTGTTGTGGGGGAGGAAGGGAAAGGAGAATGTTAGCCGCTTTGAGACTCCTTAAAGGGAGTGAAAGGCGGGATATCAAATCCAAACTCTTCTTCTTCTTCTATACAGGAGGTTTGGGCTTTACAGGAAGTAAAAATTCGACACTGGAAAGTCAACACACCAGTTTGCATAGGGGGAAATGGTTGCTGTGCATCACTAACTGGCCTGGTTCACACACAACACAAAACCAGGGCTTATATAACTATGCCTTAGTGTTATGTGTGAGCCCTGCCCAGCAACTTAATGATGGTCTGTTTACTGCCAACCAACTTCTAAAGTCATGGCTTGCTGTTGGCTTACAAACCTTGACTTGTTTTACCTATGGCTTTGTGTTATGTGCAAACCCAGCACTCATCCTTAAGCATGGTTTCTTTGACCACCTCACCCCAGTCTACACACAATCAACACAACTTAGCTGGTTTAACAGTCAATGCAAAGCAGATAGGAAAATTCTGCCTAAGGCAATTAGGGATTTTTTAAAGGCAAAATAATATTAGAATTGGAGCTGTCAGAGATGCAAAAGGGAAATTGTGTTATATTGCTCAGGAACTTGGCAGTCATATATATATATACAGTATTCAACTAATTTTTATATTATAGATGTATGTTCTGTATTATTTTGATAATATTATTGCCTCATACAAGTTTGTCATGGCCTTTGGCTAGAACAATAAACTTATGAACTTGAATCTCACCACACTGACCAAGGCACAGGGCAAGAACAGTTGACAGACAAAAACTTTGGAGCAACAGGTCACGGTTTGTTTGACTGCCTGAAGGACAACTCCCTGTTTAAAAAACCACGGTTTAGTGTGATATGCAAACCAGGCCTCTGTGACTCACCTGAGGCAATTTTAACGACTGGCACATCCAACTGCAGCTCCACAGGAACAGCACTGCCACTGGTAGACTCCAACTGCTCTCCGCCCTTCAAAGGAGCAAGTAAACCAATGACTCCATTCTCATCCTGAGTAGAGGCAGATGCACAAAGAGAAAGGTTTAGCTGGGAATCCAGAACAGAGGGGCTGAATAAGTCTTTATTCCTCCAAAGCAAGGCAGGCAACATACCCGGAAAGCTCCCCAGATGAAGACACGCCCGTCGTCTGTCAATGCCGCCGTGTGGCTGTCCCCAGCAGAAACCTGCACCACCTTCTCCTTCAGATCAACAAGTCCCGGCAAAAAATCTGACCCCTCCTCTGATGTGTCCCTCCCCAAGGCACCCTCGTCGTTGCAACCAAAAGTGTAAATCTGCAAAACAGGAGAAAATGCAAGAAATCGACTTGCTGGGCCAGACCAAAGGAAGATCAAGTCCTGGCAAATCCTGATTTCCACAGTGGCAGATGTCTCTGGAAAACCGACATGGAGGAGATTAAAGGCCAGCAACTGGTAACTCAGAGCTACCATGACTAGCAGCCATTCTCCATGACTCTGTCTATAGGGAGGGCCATAGCTCAGTGGTAGAGCATCAGCCTTGCATGCAGAAAGTCCCAGGTTCAATCCCCGGCATCTCCAGGCAGTCCTGGAAAGCCACTGTCAGTCAGCGTTGACAATACTGAGCAAGAGGAACCAATGCCCTGGCTCAGAATAAGGCAGCTTCCCCATTTTAAAGCCATCTATGGTGCTTGCTACCAACACAGTTGTGGTCAAAAAGGGCTACACAAGAGGAAATCCAAGGGCCTGTTATTTCAGATGGAGGGCTGAGACAGTGTGGCAATTGGATAACAACTTTCAACAAGAAGCAGGGAACCCTGCTGCATCTGCAAAGCAGCTTGAGCCGCTGGTCTTCAGTTGGAGGGGCAGGACTCACAAGTAGGTCGCCACCATGTCTTCATCACCACCACCTGTCTCGTTGGCACAGGGGTGGGGAAATTCAGGCCCAGGGACCACATGCATCACTCCAGGCCTTGGGACTGTTCCCAGGCGGACACTTTCCCTAGGTCTCGCTTCACACCCTCCACGAGGCTAGTTTCTACACACACCTCCATCCTGGCATTTTTCTGAGTTCAAAATCAAGTTACAGCCAGGCAAAATGACTTGGGGTGCAAGGAAGGGTCAAAAAAGGGGTGTGGGGAAGGGGCATGGCCTAAAGAGTGTCACAAGGGCCAGACAGAGGCATAGAGGGTCTCTTTGGGCCACTGGGCCTGAGGTTTCCCCCACTACAATGCTTTGGGGGTTTGCAAGCACCACTAAAGGAATGCAAATGGTTACGACGCAGGTGGGGAAGGCACGACGAGACTCACTTGGCCTGTTTCACTGAGGCACACCGTGTGAACCCCTCCCGCTTCAGCCTGGATGATCTTCTCGGGGAGCTGCAGGAGGGCAGGCCTCTTCCGCGCCAAGACGTCCGGTCCGAGGCCCAATTGCCCAAGGTCGCCCTGCCCCAAGGTCAGAACCAGTCCGGGCTCCGTCTGGTGCGACTGATGGCTGACTGGAGAGGAACCGTGAGGAGGAGTCAGAAATGGAATACATGGGGCAGGGGCAAGAGAAGAAGTATCACATGACCACCCAAATCCATTCCGGAAGCTCTCAGCTCAGGACCCAACCGTTCTGAGACTAGCCAACGTAGTCCCTCCTGACATTGGGCTCCAACTCCCATCCAACCCCAACCAGTATGGTAAATAGCCGGAGCTGCAGCCAACATCTAGAGGACAACAGACAACTAATAGCACCCTTAGCAAACCTCATTTCCCAAGGGAAATGGGGAAATTCAGGGAAGGCATGACTGCATCATACCACGGCATGGTGCTGATGGGGCCTTAAACAAACATGGCTATTCCACATCAGTTACAGGCTTTCGTGAGCTTTGAAGGCTACAAGAATTGCACATGACAGCTGTTGCAACCCATAGCAGCCTCCGAGGGTACAAAGTGGGAGGGTGGCAGAGAAGGCTCTCAGCAGATTGGCATGGACAGGCCAAGACAGGGGACTCCCCATTTATGTGGGGGTTACGTTCCAGGCCCCCGTGCACATACACAAAAATGCACAAAAATGCCAAGCACCCTGGAGAGCCCCCCTGGCTCGGGAGCAGACCCATACTAGAGTCCGAAAAGGTTCTCTTCAGACTCTGGTGAGGATCTCCTCCCGAACCAGAGGGGCAGAGGGGCTATGTGGGGCTCCTTAGCCTCCCGGCTTAACAGCTAACATGTGAAGTAGCGCAGCAACATCAGCCACTTCCCTGTGCATCACATGAGGAAGCCCTGCTGACCCTCCGCTCATGCAAAGACCCTCCCCAGAGCCCAAAGAGGATGCCGTCTTCCAGCTCCTGGGAGGGTCTCCTCGCAAACCGGATGCTTAGTGAGCTGGTCAACCAAGCCCCACCGTCCCTCTGGCTCATGTTTGGTTGACCAGGTGCTCCCCCTTTCCAGGTACCATTTCCGGGTGCCCGGCACTGCACACAAAGAGAACATGAGTAAATGGGGAGTGGCCTCTAGTCATTTATCATCATCATCATCATCATTATTATTAGGACTTATTTCAAAAAGCTTAACAAACTATTGGGTGAGATCTCAATGGATTCAAGTTACAAGAAAGGAGATTCTGACTAAACATCAGGAAGAACTTTCTGAAGGTAAGAGCTGTTCGACAGTGGAACAGACACCCATGAGAGGTTGTGGACTCTCCATCCTTTGAGATTTTGAAGCAGGGGTTGTCACTGTTGAAATTCCTGCATTGCAGGGGGTTGGACTAATAAGCCTTGGGGTCTCTTCCAACTCTACACTTCCATGATTTGCATTGCATCCGATTGTCATAGGCTGTGTCATATATTTTGTTGTTTCTATGGCTTGCAAACCACCTTGTGTAAAGCGATATAGAATGGCAGTATACAAATTAAATGAAAAATGGAACGCAACCTCACCTTTAGTCCGCTTCACTTTGACAGCGTCATCTTTTTCCAGCACCCGTTTTCTTGGCATGTTTCTTTAGTGCTGTTAGGAAGGGAGAAGTGGAAGAAATCCCCAGTCAAAACATGAAAGGATGGCATGGTCCAAATCACAGAGCAGGATTACTTCACTGGAGCATTCTTGAGTTCTCTTTCACGGGTAATAGTTTTAGTACAGTGCTTCTTATATTCTAACAGGGAAGCTGCGAGTTTAATGGAACACCTGAAGCCATTTTCTGAACTGAAAACAAATACTCCCTTTTTTTAGGTACAGCGGTTTTTGTGCTCTATTTGTATGATCCCTGCCCTTGTGTTTCATAATGCTCCTAGAGCTGTGAATCTCTGATGAAAACATCTGCCTTTCTGTTTCCATAGAAGACTGCTCTGTCCATCTACAAATATTCAGCAATATGTTATGTGTCCCAAGAAAGTTTGTAGGAGGCATCTTGAAGTGTTTTGAATTCCCCCCAATATATTTGGCTACGGGGGTGGGGGGCAGATCACAGAAAGGGAACCTGGGCCTTCCAAATGTTGTTAGACCCCCCATTCAGTGTGGCCAATGATAAAGAAGGACGGGAGTTTGAGTCCAGCCACATCTGGGGCCCACAGGTACTCCATCCCTGCCTTATGTTCTACAGCTGCAGCAAGAGGGTAGAAATAGGATCCTTAAGTAAGAAGAGAAGTGTTGAATGAGACCAGGAAGATGATGCCAATGCAGAAAGGGAGAACCTGTCCCTCAATAGCGATGAAAATATTTTGGCCGCCAAACTTTCAGAGCCTAACCGAAGCAAATTCAAAAGTTAAAGCCCTCCATTGTTCCACATCTCCCCAAGGCCATTTGCCATGGTGCCTGGCCAAAGAAATTTGGAGGGGGGGTGTCATTATCATTATACACACAGTGCCTCACTGGCCCCAGGGCCACCTGTTCCATCCTCTCATGGTTTGGCCTGGAAAAGCACAGCATCAGAAAAGATGTGAGGGGGAAATGGTCATTTTTTTAAAAAAGGACACAAGAAGGATCAGAAAACGCTTCGAGGCATCATACATGGTTGACTTTGGGAGATGCTTAAATGAACACTTTTCCAGCTCCAATGAACAGGGGTAATGTGTGAATAACTGGATTAGGGGAACAAAGGCCAGCTCTGGCAAAGAAGAATTTTACTTGACGTACTTTGCACAATGCAGGAAATTAACTTCACTGGTATTAACGCCAAGCCCCCTGCCCCACCACCAACCCAGATTCTGCACTCAGCACGTTACGCAACTCATGCCACTTTGCACAGCTTTTGGAATATGCTTGTTTAATTTAACAGTAATGCAATGTTGAAGACTTGTTATTGGCTGCAATGGGAATGTGCCTCTTTGGCTTCAGCAGTCATGGCAAAACTTGTTTTTTCTAAAAAGCGTGTAATTCATTGCAATAAATCTAAGTGTCACAGGACATCAAGAACACAGATTCCTCAACGCAATTTCTGCAGGAGAGTAGATGTCACGTAATCTGGTACGGTCATTTTAGCACCATGAAAACAAACTAGATTCATGTTTGGCTTTGGTCAAATCTATTTTAGGCAGTTTTATGCCACTTTAATCTCTGACTGCCCCCAAAGAACACAGGGAAATGCCGTCTTGTGAACTGGTGAGAATCCACAACACAGGGCAGGAATTCCTCCAGTGCTTTATTTTTCCGTGGGAAATTTCCCATTTCATAAGCTCATTAGTACCAATGAATGGATGTCAAATGCAGGCACAATGACTAGGCAAGCTTCCCCGTTTCAATGTTTTTAGCTTTGCTTACTAAATACAAGTAAAATAAACATGCTATCACACTAGAGGCATCACAAAAAAATACAATGCAAACTGAAAATGTTCCAATGCAAATTAGGTCAATTTGCACAGGAGACATTTCCAGAAAACTTTCCAATTCAAAATTTTCCAGGAAACTCATGCCACTGCTGAGAATTCTTTATTTGGGATTCCTAGCTCCTAGTCTCACAAAACTACAGTTCCCAGAACACCCTGGGAAGTGGCTAATGACTAATAAATCAGTTTGCATCTGTACAGTATTGTGATTGTATTTCCCTGGTATGATGCGCCTTCTAAATCCCTTCCCAGTGCAATATCCCATATAAAGAGAATAGCTGGAAGGTTCCATTGAGACAGGACTATACCCTGCTGCCTTTTTAGCCTTTTGGGGTGTAATTTTGTGTCTTTCTACACACGTGAGGAAGCGTGTACAGTCTTCAAAGAATGGGGGAAAGATCTCAAAAAGCTAGCCCATTCTCCAGGGCACCCTGATGCTGTTAATCAGAATAGAAAAAGTAATAACAACAAGAACAATAGGAATAGACACAGCTAGTGAGACTAGGCATAAAGACTTTGACTGGCAGCAGCTTTCCAGGGTCTCAAGTTGTATTTTCCATCATTTAGTACTGCCTGGTCCTTCTAACTATTGATACCAAGGACTGAATATGGGATCTTTAACATACAAAGCATGTACATTACTACTGAGCTATGATTCTTAACTGACCATAGTAAGACCCCCCTGTGATAGATCAAAGGCCTATGTATTCCAACCTCCTGTTCCCCTAAGGCAGCAGTTCTCAACCTGTGGGTCCCCAGATGTTGTTGGACTACAACTCCCATCATCCCTGAGCTCTGGCCTTGCTAGCTAGGGGTGATGGGAGTTGTAGTTCAACAACATCTGGGGACCCACAGGTTGAGAAAGGCTGCCCTAAGGGGCCAACCAGATGCCAATGGAAAGCCTATAAGCAGAACATGAGAACAAAAGCTGGGCACTTACTCATCATAGAATTGTAGAGCTGGAACGGACCCTGAGGGTCATCTAGTCCAACCTCCTGCAATGCAGGAATCTCAGCTAAAACATCCATGACAATTGCTATGGACTGGAAGCTGTCTTGTACCAGATCTAATTGTCCATCTGCACTAAACATTTAAAGCAGTATCATACCACTTTAAACAGTCACGGTTTCCCCCCCAAAGAATCCTGGGAACTGCAGTCTGTTATGGGTGCTGAGAGTTGTTAGGACATACAAACACACACATAAAAAGGTAAAGGACCCCTGACAGTTAAGTCCAGTCACAAACGACTCTGGGGTTGCGGCGCTCATCTCGCTTTACTGGCTGAGGGAGCCGACGTTTGTTCGCAGACAGTTTTTCCAGGTCATGTGGCCAGCATGACCAAGCAGCTTCTGGCGAAACCAGAGCAGCACACGGAAACGCCGTTTACCTTCCCGCCGGAGTGGTACCTATTTATCTACTTGCACTTTGATGTGCTTTCGAACTGCTAGGTTGGCAGGAGCAGGGACTGAGCAACGGGAGCTCACCCCATCGTAGGGATTCAAACCACCAACCTTCTCTGTGGCTCACATCACCCACCACATATATACAGACCTACAATTCTTAGAGTGGTTTAACAATAAATCCCTCTTCCCGGTGAACTCTTGAGAACGGTAGTTCTGCGAAGGGAATATCAAGGGGCATGCAGAGGACAGCTGGGTGGCTTGTCACTAACTATGTATATATTTTAAAAAAAAAAAACAACAAACACAACAACAACCCTGCAGTAGATGCTCACACAGCAATTAGAATCACAGAAATGTAGAGTCTGAAGGGACCTTGCACAACTGCATTCCACTTCTCTGCCAGTGAACACCACACCTGTTCAATAGTTCCACCTGTTGCACAGCTGAGGGCATGAGAGGCTGTCTGGAAACAAAGATGAGCCCTGACTGCAAAATAAACCAGTTGTGCTGAAAGTCAAAAGGCAGCTAAGAAGCCAAGCTCCAGATCAGAAAAGACACACACACAGAGAGAGAGAGAGAGAGAGAGAGAGAGTTCATTTTTTCTCTCTCTGCAGCAACCAAAGAGACCCAGATACCTCGCTAATCCCTCTCAGCCACAGATCCCTGGACTACAAAACAGGGAAATCAATACTGGCCTACCTAACAGGGTTGATGAGAGGATTACAGAGAAAGCAGAAGTGAAGTGCTTTGAACACCCAACACCCTTATACACTTTTTAAAAAAGAAAGACAGAAGAAAAAGTGGTTTATAAACTAGAAAATAAATTTAAAACATTATCATTATATTGCAACTACTAAAATGTATCTGTGAAGCGTCCTGTTGTTGAAACAATGTTAGGTCGTGTTTGTGAGAAGGCTCCCTGGACTTACTTGGTCAAAAAAGAAAGAACTGTAAGGTATATTCGAGAAGGAAAAGTAAAATGCACCTGGGAACTGGGTGAATGCAGTCTGAGTATTATCTATTCTGACTGATACATGACACGTGAAGAAAGAGCCTTCAGGCCAGATTCAACTACTCAGTTCCACCACCAGATGCCAGTGCAAGAAATCCAGCTGTCCCGAATCTCCCACCCACGCACCCACCTTCCCCTTTATGGGATGGCCTCTGGTCCCAGTGCTACCAGGGAGAAAAACACCTCTGCCCGCTTTCTCCACCCGCGGGTCATTTTACGCTCCTCTATCATGTTCTACCGCCGTACCCCCACCCCTTCCCCACGCCAACTCCCCTTCTACAGCAGTACCTCGGTTTACATACGCTTCAGATTACAGACTCCGCTAACCCAGAAATAGTGCTTCAGGTTAAGAACTTTGCTTCAGGATGAGTACAGAAATCGTGCTCCGGCGGCGCGGCAGCAGCAGGAGGCCCCCATTAGCTAAAGTGGTGCTTCACGTTAAGAACAGTTTCAGGTTAAGAACGGACCTCCGGAACGAATTAAGTACTTAACCCGAGGTACCACTCTATTTCCCTTTCCCGCAACTCTCAAGGAAGCTGCCTGGATTTGAATTTCCCGCGCTGACGCTCCCTTCCTTTCCCGCTGTTGCAAGCCGCCCGAGGAGAGAGGGAGGGAGAGAGAACCTCCGACTTTCTCCTTCTCCCAGGAAACCTTCTCCCAGGAGGGAGCGCGCGCCCTCGCCACCCGGCTTTGGAACGCGAGCCTGAAACTTCGCGTTCCATCCGTAGAACGTTCAGACACCAGCCAGTCCGCCCGCCACGCCGCTCTCAAGCCACGTGGGGACGAGGCCGGTCGGGCCCTTCCAGAACTTAAGACGAGATTCAAAGGGGGCGAAGCGCACCAAACCCGGGCTGGTTCTCTCTTTCTCCCCCCACCACAACCGACCGTTCTGGGCAACCCCCGTTCCGCCATGCTGCTGCTGCCGGCGGCGGCAGACTCACCTCGTTACTTGCCTTATATTGGCTTTCCCACTCCCAAGTCCGACAAGTCTTCTGTTCCTCTTCCCCACAAGCACTCCCTCTGCCTTGCCCCCTCCCTCCCTCCCTCCCCTGGCGTCCTTATCCGTTCGAGCATGCGCACTGAGGCGCCCCGGCGCAGTTACCATTGGCTAGCAAGAAAGGAGGAACAGAGAAAATTTACTCTGGAGCGCCAACTATCGGCCGCTGCAAAGCAGGGAAAGGAGATCCCATCCCCCAACCATTCGAACAAGGCTGAGGTTAAATAGGAGAGGTAAAGCCCGGACGCCGCTTCAGAGTCTAGATCATTGATCATTTGGCTGTACACGTACACATGTAATGATCATAATAAAGTGGGTTCTTTTTCAGACCCCGACCCTAGTTACACTTAGCTGGGGGAGTAAGTCAACACTACAGAGTACCTAGAAGGGGGTCAGGAAACTTTTTTAGCAGGGGGCCAGTCCCCTGTCCCTCAGACCTTGTGGGGGACCAGACTATATTTTGAATTAAAAAAATGAACGAATTCCTATGCCCCACAAATAACCCAGAGATGCATTTTAAATAAAAGGACACATTCTACTCATGTAAAAACATGCTGATTCCCAGACCATCCGCGGGCCGGATTTAGAAGGCGATTGGGCCACATCTGGCCCCTGGGCCCTAGTTTGCCTACCTATGATCTAGAATTTGGCTGTATAGTTGCAGTCCTGCACATGTTTACTTGGGAATAAGCCCGAATAGACACAGGGGGGACTTGCTTGAGCATCAGTGTGCCTTGGCTTCGGCTGCATGTCTTTCAAGGTGGGCTGGAGCGCAACAAAAATCTGATCATTACTTTTATTGGTAGTATTTTACAAAAAAAAAAAATAGCATTGCTTTTACTACTATATCCTGCTTATCTTCAAAGAAGCTGAAGGCTCACCCAAGGCACATGGCTCACCCAATTTCCATTTTATCCTCAAAACAACCCTGATAGGTTACCCCTCACAGAGCTGCAATTCCCAAACCCTTAAACAGCAGCACCCAAAATTCTTGAGAGAAAGTGCTTCAAATGTGTTCTAAAGGTATATAGCACTGTACACAAGCCTGTAAGTCCAATTATCCCTGAAGAGAAATTTAGTTGGAGGTGCCATGGAGGAAGGATTCCCCAACAGGGTGGGGAATCTGCCCCCTTTCTCTTGGCCATGCTACCTGGGGCTGATGGGAGAGTCTATCTGGACCCAACATAGTAATCACTGTCTTGTCAATCATCCACTCATTTTGCCAAGGGCTTTCTTCCAGCAAGGGAATGACTTACAAAGGGGCTTAGAGAAAGTTCCCACCTAAACCTTAAAACCAGGAAATGAACACACCCCACCAAAAAACTCTTCAAGTGGATGCCCTTGGGTTTGGGGAAAGTGAACTATAGGAGTGCACGTACTTGCTTTCCTGTCTCACACAAGATGCATTAGTGTCAAAACCAACAGCCAATCTACCTTGCATTCAGATTGGCAACAGCTATCCGAGGTTACTTTCCCTGCCCTACCTGGAGATGCGGGTGATTGAAGCTCGGACCTTTTGCATGCAAAATAGATGCTGTTCCAGTTTCAGCTTATCCCATGCCTGCTGCAGTTGCTGTTTGAACAGGTAATTTGGGAGGGCAGCAGCATGAGTCACTTAATTACAGGAAGCAAAGTTTTGCAATGCACAGAATACATGTACTGGCCAGTAAAGATGGATTGTTTGATTAGTTAAAGGTCAGGCTGAGCAATCACATCGCACTAAAAATATACCTTCAATGGTCACATGGTGCTGTTTTTTAAGTTTTGTGCACCATTTTTAGTGCTACCTGGAACCTGTTGGAAAATTTTCAAGCTTTAGCTTCTTCGCAACTGCATAGTAACCATCACCTGCAATTTACCTAAAACCAAATTCCAGAGTGCACTAGGATTGGCTGAACATGGAAGTCCACATGCAATTGCTTAACATGTTGGACAAAGAGGCTTGGTTTTCTTTCAGAGGACAAACTGGGTGATCTTTGGCTAACCAAAGGACCGTTGTACAGATAACATGGGAGAACTGTATCACCTTAAGCTGATCACTAAACTTCTAGAAATTTGTTGTCATAATTACAGACTAGGTTATTTGATAGGCACAGGAATTACATGGGAAGGGTGCAAACAGCAAGCTACAGTTGCAGTCTACTTTGAATAAGATCTGTGCAGGAGGTACCAGAATTTGCAGAAAAATATACGGTATAAAGCTTCATTGTAAGAACTTACAAGAGCTTGTGATGGAGCTTGCTATCTCGACCCTCTTTCCTCAAAATGTCAAGCCTTTTTAACTTGTGAGCCTGAGGGAAGCAATAATCTTAGTACTGATTTTTGCTCTGAGTTTTTGGCTAAAGGGTGGGGTATAAATGCCATACGTGATCCAATACAGGATGTAAGGAAAGTGATCATATAATCAGCAACTCACTGGTGTGTGCAAAGAACAAAATCTCAAGTTCACTTCCCATAATTGGTAAGGTAAAGAAACTGCAGACTTCAATTAGGCAAACACAAAAGACTAGATAAACTGATGTGATCAACAATTGCAAGATATCAGATACTGTGCATCTGCCAATACCTTTTGTTTTTTCTGTTATAGCCAATGCTACTCCTACTCAGAGTAGACAACCAAAAATTATGGTCATAGCTAACTTAGGTCCATTAATTTCAATGGGTCTACTGTGAGCAGAACCTAGTTGGATGCAACCCTGTTTCAAAGTCCATTTTAAATTGTCAGACATTGTTGGAGCATGGTACAGCTGCATAATCTCATCTTCTGTCGTCTGTATACCCATTTTCTCTAACAATGTCAATACCAACTGTAGATCATGTCCTAACGCATTAATAAAAAAAAACTTACAGAATAATATGCTTTATTGGTGTTCAACAAGCTATCTCTTACAGGTAAATAGCATAGGAGTTCTTGAAATCTCAAGCTGCTGTTACTTGCAAGGGGGAAAAGGCATGCATGCATCAGTTGTCAAATTCTGCAAATGCAGAAAACCTCTTCATCCCAACCGGTTAATTTGGTTTTGGACCATTATCTTTGTCCCCATTTAAGTGTTTCCCTCGACCACCTTTGCTCAGAACACACAAGCAGTGTGTCACAGATCTTGCTGTTTTGTTACCACTACGGCAGCACCTGCTAATCAGGGAAAAAGCAAGATGATAATTCTCCACATTAAGGCTTTGGAGGTCATTCCTGCTCATTAGTATCCACAGCAATGCAGCTTTTCTTCCATCATGTTGCTGCCAGAAAAAGCCATCATAGTGCCCTGTCAATGTTGGGGCCTTCCGAATCCCGCCAGCCTAGTCGGCACCCAGGGATGATGGGAATTGTAGACTTGAAGGCATACTGAAGGTGGAGACCAAAGGTAGCCATTTCTCCAGGATTGTTCTGTTGATCTGTAGGACTCTGATCTCTTCTGACCTACGCTTAAATAGCTGATGCTTTCACAAGACTACATCCTCAGCATCTTCTCCAGCTCTTTTTCTCCTGGTTGTTATTCTTCAATTTAAAATGGCCTGATAAATAAAAACAAAAACATCAACAGGCTGTTTCTGGTTCTCAGCTTCCTGAACATAAAATCAGCACATTTTAACTGATTTAAAGCTTTTTTGTATTGTACAGACTTGTGAGTCACTTTGAGACTTTGTGGAGAAAGCAATGAAAAAATAATTGAGGGAGAGAAATCAATCAAGCATGCACTAATAAAAAGCAGGACCTCAATCATTCCAATTAAAAAAAAAAATCAGACCCCTATGTAAAGACTTCGAACTAGTCACTGCACAAGCACTGAAATTATGAGAATATGCAAGGACCAACTTGAACAAGCCCAAGTGTGCAGTTTATAAAACTTGAATAGGTAAGGATGAAAACGTAATATTAACAGTAAAACTCAATATATCTGTGGCCCCCATAGTTTCTTCCAACCATGAACCACAAGCTTAGGCTTATTAACACAATTATGACATAAAACTCTGGTGCACGTGCCTCTTACAAGGCCATTATGTGCCTTAATTTTTCACATCCCTCATGCCATAGTACCCAAAACTCAAAAAAGAGCAAGGCAAAAATTGATCAGGCCAAATGGCACCTAATCCATCATCCTGTGGCCAACCAGATCCCCCAATAGGAACTCTACAAGATTTAATAAGGGTTTATGAACGAAGCAGCAAACAAGCACATGTCTCCTGCATGGTTTATCTCCTCAGTCACCGTCCGAAGACTCAGAGAAGCAGTAGGAATATGCAGGTTGCAGACCACGAGGGCCCAGCTTGCTCTCCAACGGTGTGGAAGGGGACTATACGTCACAGAGCCCAAAGGCCTACGCTCCCATATGCCACATGGACAGAGCTGAGAGAGAGCAACCTCTCCAGATATCCCCGTTGGTTGAAGGCAGGACGAATTGCAAAGTGCTTCTACAGTATAAGAAGTTACTAGCCTCTTTACCAGCATGCCCCAAGGTGGTACCTTATATTTGTTGGGACTCCAAGTCCCATTAGCCTCAGCCAATAAACCAGAGTTTATTGAGATAGTTTATTGAGATTATGATGATAGTAGCCCAGCAACATCTGGCACATTGGAAAAACGCTTGCTTAATATCTGCTTCCAATATAATGATCCCAAGCTACTATAAAGACTGTTGTAGGCAGGCCAGCAGGACATTAGCAAACTCTCTTCTGGAAGGACAAAGCAACCCTTTTACCTGGTTGACTCTTGTGGAGCTCCAGTGTCCATGATGTGCAGACATCTGATCCTCACCACATCCAGAAGTCAGCCCTCATCCTTGCTCAGGACCCAGGTATGATATACAACTAGCGGCATGACATAGCAAATGCAGAATACCTGTCACTAAGAATAAAAAGCAGGGTTATCTTTCAGAATTGGGTCTCTGAAAGCGGAGGGCATTTGCCCAACAAGAAAAAACAACAACAGGCAACCCTTGACCAAATCTGCACTCCCACATACGTGCCATACCCTCCACCCCCACAATATCCTTTAAAAGTGATTGTAATTTTTATGATCAGGAGAAAACTGTTGTGGTGTCTTTGAAAAGTGTATTGCAAACAAAAGCCTATCTTGCTTGAGGAATGTCTCCTGCATGGTTTATCTCCTCAGTCACCGTCCGAAGACTCAGAGAAGCAGTAGGAATATGCAGGTTGCAGACCACGAGGGCCCAGCTTGCTCTCCAACGGTGTGGAAGGGGACTATACGTCACAGAGCCCAAAGGCCTACGCTCCCATACGCCACATGGACAGAGCTGAGAGAGAGCAACCTCTCCAGATATCCCCGTTGGGTTGACAGCAGGATGAACAGCAAGTGCATTTGTAGAAAGCTGTTTATTCTCTAGGCTAGCATGGCCAATGGCCTGGAATAATGGCCACTGTAGTTCAGCACAGCTGATGCCTTTTCAGAATTACTTATACCAAGACAGCATTTTTTATTTCAATGCACTTTTAGTCTAAACCTAAGAATACAGCATTATTTTCACAGTGGAGTTTATAAAGACAACACCCCACAGTGGTCTTAACGACACACACACCACAGGCCACAACAGACAAATAGGAAAAAATAATTATTCTCGTGAATACCTTGAGAGTCAAAACTGCTGTACATACCCATTTCAGGATTATATGGCCATTCCAACAGCATGCAATGAACTTTCAAGCGTACTGGAATGGGAAGAACAGAATTGTACAATAGTTAAGACAGCTGCTTCTCAAACTGGGAGTCCCAATGTATTCCTGGGCTGGTCACACAAGGAGTATGTGTCTGTGTCATTTCTCCCCCCACCCCCCTTTCTAGGGATTTTAAAGAAAATTCATGATGGGCCCACAGCACTTCTGTCGTGGATCCTCTTGGAGCAAATTGGTTACTGACCCCCTACATATTAAATTCTATTTATATAAGCAATATGTACTCTAACACCAATACGCTAATTAAAAGATGGAATATATAAAATGCAATTGCCCAGTGATCTTGACAGTCTTATTTACTTTTTCAGTGAGAGGAGAGGAGATAGGACTAGAAAGCCTAGCTGCTTGTGCCACCATAGCTTTTTGCTGCTGTTATTGGGGGGAGGAAGATGTTCTGGTTGATTTCTATGAATTGCACGGCATTTTATAATAACTCTTTTTTACTTAAGCCCTTTAAAATATTGCTAGGCAGCCTGGAAACCTTTGTGCAACAGGCTACTTATAAGTTCAATAACTAATAATAGAAGGGGCACAGCTCAGTGGTAGATGATCTGTTTTGCATGCAGAAGGTTCCAGGTTCAATCCTTGGCATCTCCAGGTAGGGTTGGTAATGACCCCTGCCTGAATCCATGGGGAGCCAGTGCCAGTCAGTGTAGACAGCATTGAGTTTGATGGACAAATGGTCTTAACTCAGTATAAGGCAGCTTTCTATGTTCCTAAGCAAATTATATTTATAAGTGGACCTCACTCCCAAAGGTTTAAGCAGCACTGGATTAAACACAACTTTTTAACAATACCACACTAACACAAAGCAACAGCTACAGTAAGGAAATACTATCAAAGTGAAGCAATGTCTCCTGCATGGTTTATCTCCTCAGTCACAGTCCAAAGACTCAGAGAAGCAGTAGGAATATGCAGGTTGCAGACCACAAGGGCCCAGCTTGCTCTCCAACGGTGTGGAAGGGGACTATACGTCACAGAGCCCAAAGGCCTACGCTCCCATACGCCACATGGACAGAGCTGAGAGAGAGCAACCTCTCCAGATATCCCCGTTGGTTGAAGGCAGGACGAATTGCAAAGCGCCTCTACAGTATAAGAAGTTGTTGTTTAGTCATGTCCGACTCTTCGTGACCCCATGGACCAGAGCACACCAGGCACAACTTTTATATGCCTGTTGTCTTTGTCCATGGAGTTTTCTTGGCAGGGATACTGGAGTGGCTTGCCAGTTCCTGCTCCAGTATAAGAAGTTACTAGCCTCTATACCAGCATGCCCCAAGGTGGTAGCTTATATTTGTTGGGACTCCAACTCCCATTAGCCTCAGCCAATAAACCAGTGTTTACTGAGATGGGAGATTATGGTGAGAGTAGTAGCCCAGCAACATCTGGCACATTGGAAAAACGCTTGCTTAATATCTGCTTCCAATATAATGATCCCAAGCTACTACAAAGACTGTTGAATGCAGGCCAGCAGGACATTAGCAAACTCTCTTCTGGAAGGACAAAGCAACCCTTTTACCTGGTTGACTCTTGTGGAGCTCCAGTGTCCATGATGTGAAGAAGTCTGATCCTCACCACATCCAGAAGTCAGCCCTCATCCTTGCTCAGGACCCAGGTATGATATAAAACTAGCGGCATGACATAGCAAATGCAGAATACCTGCTACCAGGAATAAAAAGCAGGGTTATCTTTCAGAATTGGGTCTCTGAAAGCGGAGGGCATTTGCCCAACAAGAAAAAACAACAACAGGCAACCCTTGAACAAATCTGCACTCCCACATACGTGCCATACCCTCCACCCCCCACAATATCCTTTAAAAGTGATTGTAATTTTTATGATCAGGAGAAAACTGTTGTGGTGTCTTTGAAAAGTGTATTGAAAACAAAACCCTATTAGCAAAGCTCTTGCTTGAGGAGTGTCTCCTGCATGGTTTATCTCCTCAGTCACTGTCCGAAGACTCAGAGAAGCAGTAGGAATATGCAGGTTGCAGACCACGAGGGCCCTGCTTGCTCTCCAACGGTGTGGAAGGGGACTATACGTCACAGAGCCCAAAGGCCTATGCTCCCATACGCCACATGGACAGAGCTGAGAGAGAGCAACCTCTCCAGATATCCCCGTTGGGTTGACAGCAGGATGAAGTGCCTCCATTTCTAGACGTTTTATAGTCTCTAGGTCAGCAAGGGCCAAGTACGTTCAAAATACTGGTGCCCCCAACACCCAAGGGTAAAGTACAAGGAGCAGAACTTTATTTTTGCGTTGGAGACAAGTGATGTGCTCCATAAGAAGTTTGCACTTTCAATAGATTAAAGAAAAACATTTTCCTTTAGATATCTCTGGGAAGGAGGCTGTGTATACACTTTACCTTCAAAATACATTTTAAACGCATTTTCCCCCTCCCCAAGAATTATGGGCACTGTAGTTTACCCCTCATAGTTGCCAGTAACCACTAAACTACAGTGCTACAGTAACGCATATGCTTCAAACTTATATACACAGCCAAAGTATAACATCTGCATATAATCCATTTGTATAAAATTATGCTGTTCCTATCTTTGCAAGTCTTCCCAACCAATTGCCTTTCAGGTATTGCAAGACTACAACTCCCAAGCATTCTTGGCTATTGGCCATGCTGACTGGGGCCCAGTAAGAGCTGTACGTAGTTCAAAACATCTGGAGTGCACCAGATTGATGAAGGCTAATTCAGGTAATTTGCTGATTAAGATCAAACAAAAAAAAATTATCCAATACCTTGCATTCCCAAACTGGACATGTTCACCTGTGGATCAAATGCCCTCTTCAGCAGCATCTAATGAGGTTCTCAAGGCTTTCTGACCACAAAGAACGAAAGTGTGCATTAGTGTATTGTAACTTTATGAAATACAGCTTCATACAGTGCCATTGGCACCAAGCAAGGTACAGCCTAGCATCCAATAATACATTGCATAAACATTTATGCCCAAACTTGCATTTGTTTATAAATGCTTGGTTTCAGGTAAGCTTTAAAGCACCACAAAGATCAGAAAAACTATTAGGCAAGTCCGTATTATTGCAGATTAAATGCTTCAGAGTCTCATAGTTTTAAACAAAATCTTGCTTGAAATTATCAAAGTTGAAAGGTTTCTCGCCACCCAACAGCACCTTGATATGCACATGTGTACACTGTTAAGAGGTCACTAGCAAGAGGAAAAAAAGCTTTTCAAATCAGGCATAGGATCATGCTAGTGCAGGTTTTTAGTGGTTCAGTAAATATAAACCTCCAACAAACATGAGGCTTCTTGTGAGGATGAAATGGGAAGAGGGGAGAACCTTGTACACCACCTTGAGCTCCTTTAAGGAAAGGTGAGAAACTAATTAAACAAATAAAACATTTTAGAGAGGTAGGCAAGATCCAATTTGCCTTGCAAGTTTAACAGAACTTCACAAAGAAGACACCCATGCAAACGGGTAGAAATGAGGCTGGTCATAGCTTTCTTCCCAACCAAAGAGGATTCCCAGATAGAAACTAGGGAAGTGCAGTGCAAGCAGAGGAATGGTTGCTGTAGGGCACCATTCTTTCCAGACCTCAAAAACGAATTGCGAGCCATGCCGGCTGCTGTCCTCCAAAACACACCCGACTTGCAGTACCTGTTGAATTTCTGCCTGCCGCCACACGCTTTCAAGGTGCAGGAACTCTCCCTCTCCCAATAATTTATTTTATAATCTTTTGTATAAGAGTTTTCTGTGGCACTAACTGCAACAACGGCGCTCCTTCAACGTTGAAATTCAAGAAACGAGCGGAAATTCAATAGAGAAAATCTCATCACTGCATCTTCCGCTGCTTCTTTCATTTATTAAGATATAAAAACGGTGCAATTATAAAAGCAACTTAATTAATCACTTATAAGTATTACATTCCCTATTGCTTCTTGTGAGATTAAAATGCCGCGCTTCCCGCTCTTTTAAGGCGAAGGCAGCAGCTCCACCGCTTACCTCTTCTTCCCACGCGCCTAGAAAAGAATGTGGGACGCACGACGTGGGTATTTATAACGCGCAGGGGCTGACGGGAAAGAGCAAGCCGCCCGACTGCACGGCGCATGCGGCAAAGGTTTCCCGTCGAAGGGGAAGGCGTAAAAACCCCACGAGTTTCATCTATTTAGGCGGTCTTCACTTCCGATTCTCAATCGATTTTTTCAGAATGCGGGGCAATGTGGGGCGGAAAGGCATATATGAATAGTATTATATATATATTTTTAAAATCGAACAACAAAAAAATGGTCCTCGGCGCATATTTGAGAGCACTGCACTTCTGTCTCCAGATTTCTCTCTCCCTCTCCCTCTTAAACCTTACTCCACTATAGCTAATTCTACCAGTTTTGCCCCGCACATGGTGGAGTACATCGATGGCCAATGGGAACCGAACTTTTTACACATTCATGAAGACTGCACCTTTCAGGGTATTTAAATTTTTCTATTTAAACAACGGCGACACAACGCATGCGTAATAGCGAAGTGGGGGAAGAGAGAGGGGGGGAGGGGATGGATGCAGAGGAGCTGTGATTGGTTGAACTCCAAGGTGGTGCCGAGTTGAAAGAGAAGGAGATTCTAAGAAAAGAGACTCCGACGCCGTTCTGACAACAAGGGCTCCCTCTACCGAGTGAAATGGCGAATAGCCACTCGTGGGGAACGGAGGCCGAAAAAGGAGCCACCGTTATTGAAGGGAAGTTTTCTTTCTGCAGTTCTCTCACTGTGAAGTTCTCTTTCTGCAGTTCTCTTACTGCACATAACTGTTGCATTGTGGGAAGTCTTACTATGAAATCTTTCTATGCTTACTATGAGCACTATTGCTTCTTTTCTCTCTTACATTCTGGGAAGTTTTTGCCTCTGCACATAAGTCTGAGAATGTTCTGAACAGTTCCCATTGAGTTCATGAAACAGTGTATCCTGACCTGTTCTTAATGCATTGCTGACCACATTTACGGAACGTGATTGTTGTATTCCTTCATGTTATGTTCTCTCAATATCAATCTTTAGTTATAATTTAATTAGGAGGTTTCATGCCTGTCTAGTTCCAGCTCCGCTCCCAGTCTTTTGAACTATCACTGATTAATGTAATATGTAATGCCCGCCTTGTACCTATGTTAACCAATCAGCAACAAGATGCTTTGTGTTTGTATCAGCCAATCAGCCACAAGCACACCTGTGGCAATGTTTGTAATATTCAATAAAGAGAGTTCCCGGGACTTGCCCCGGGCAGACGTCTCTCCTTTGACACCCACCATTCGTCTGTCGTGATTTCAACCCAACATCTGGTGACCCCTGACGTGCCAGATCCCTTACGCAGCCAAACCTCATACTTCACCCGACTGGAAAAGTCTCAGCGCGCTACTTCGTGAGTATGGGAGGGGACTTGACTAAGCTCCAGAAAGAGCATGCTAAAGAGTTGCTTTATTTAGTTAGACAGCGGGAGGTGGGTGTTAATATTTCCTTAAAAGAAATTGAACAATTGCTATGTGAGATAAATTGCCAATGCATCTTTTATCCAGAGGCTGGATCTTTGGACGTAGAGACTTGGCAAAAGATCGGAAAGACCCTTTTGCAGAACCTAGGGCTCCGATTCATTGTCTGCTCACTTGGCAGAAATGTGCTGATGCCGTTGCTAAATTAGGGCCCCAATTGGGACCCCAGGCGTCTCCTCTTCTGGCCATTGCAGACAATCCCCCACCCTACCCGAAACTTTTACCTCCTTCTCCCAGCCAATCCCTCCCTGCTTCTCACCCTCCTCAGCCTGCATCCTCCCCCCCCATCCCTCCGCCTCAGCCTGATTCCTCCCCCCCCCATCCCTCCTCCTCCTGCCACAGCCCCTGTTTGCTCTATAGGAGCTGTGCGTGCTGCGCTCTCTCTGGCAAGGCAAAACGGGCTCCTGTCCTTAGAGGAGGAGTCTGAGTGGCCAGGTGAAATGCCGTCTGCTTTCCCTATCTCTTATTCAAACCCTGGAACTGCTCAACAGCAGATTTATTATGAATCGCTTCCTTATTCTGTAATGAGGGAATTAAGGAAAGCCATTGCTGATTCTGGTCTGAAATCCTCTTATGTGACAGGGATGCTAGAAGGCATAGCAACTGGTTACATTATGCTACCTCAGGACTGGAAAGACCTTATGCGCATGCTTTTGTCCCCTGCTCAGTATGTGGTGTTTGAGAGTGAATTTAAACATAGCGCTTCAGCCCTGTCTGATCCTCAACATACTGCCAATGAACTTTATGGTGCTGGTCAGTTTGCTGATATAACTGCCCAAGCAACACTGACACCTGTACATTTTGTTCGCACCGCGACCTGTGTACAACGCGCCTTCGGAAAGTCCCTGTTTCTGGGCAACCGCTGAGCTCCTTTGTAAATATTAAGCAACAGCATTCGGAGCCATACCATCAGTTTATAGATAGATTGAAAGAATCAGTCACTAGGCAGATTGATAACACCACTGCTCAAAATGAATTGATGAAAAATTGGCCTTTGAAAACGCAAACACTGATTGCAAGAAAGCTTTGCAGTCAATCATACATCGCCCTAAATATGAACTGGCCGATATGATTCAAGCTTGTGCGGATGTCGGTAGCCAGAGCCATGCGATGTCCTTGCTTGCCGGCGCAATCCAAGCAACCTCTAAGCCTACTGGTAACTGCTTTAATTGCAAGCGCCCAGGCCATTTTGCCAAGCACTGCAGAGCCCCTGGCGGGGGGGGCAAACAAGGATGGTGCTGCCTCTAAGGCTAAACCTTCTGAATTTGCCATTGATTTGATCAATCAAGAGACCAAAGACTCTGTTTTACCTGGTGAAATTGTGCTTATGCCCACTCAATTGGCAGGTCCCCTGCCTCCTAAAGTCGCAGGTTTAATTTTACCCAAATTTTCTGCGGCAAAGGAAGGAATCCAGGTTATTCCTGGAGTTCTGGATCCTGACTATGTAGGCACAATAATGGTTCAACTCTGGAGCCATATGCCCATGCAATTAAAAAGGGTGAGTCTTGGGCGCATTTGGTGGTGCTCCCTTCTCATCCTACTGCTTCTATTATGGATACTAATTTGCACGAGCTCTCTTCTTTCCCTCCACAGCTGTTAGCTGTAGTCCAGAGGATTGGTGAGAAGAAACTTCTTCGTAAGTATAAAATCAATGGTATTGTGCTGGAAGGCTTGATTGACACAGGCGCAGACGTTTCTGTAATTTCTAGTAGTTGCTGGGACCCCACGTGGCCCCTTGAGTCTGCTTCTGCAGTCTGGGGTGTGGGTGACCCCCAAACCTCTTCCAAAAGCGTACAGTGGCTGCCTGTTTCTCTGCCTGATAGCTCTGAAACCATTGCTTACATCCAGCCCTGTGTGCTGAAAATCCACCTCAATCTGTGGGGAAGAGACTTGCTACAACAATTACAAGCTACCATTCAATTTAATGAGTAAGCTTGCACTTCCCCTCAACTGGAAATCTTCTGGTCGTGTCCTGGCTATACGTTTAATTACATTCCAGCAATACATCAGCCATGGCACACCTTGCTGTTTAAGCCGTTTGTCCATCATTTTACCCAAGAAGCATCATTTATCCCGCTCTCGATATCACTGCAATATTGAATTGACTAATGATTGTGATGCTTTTGTCTCTCTTCTCAGTAGGTCTGAATATATCTCTTTAGCTGTTTCTCTCTTAGGAGTCCCTGGATTGGCTGTACGGAATCGTATGAACATTACTTCTTTAGCTTGTTATGCAGCAAAAACTCTGAATTATATTTCACAAGCCCTTCACCTTTTGAATAAAGAACAGTGCACTCCACAATGGACTTTTACAAAATCCTTTTACAAAATGGACTTTTTACATTATATAACCCCCTTTTGAATAAAGAACAGTGAACTATATAATGGACTTTTATGAAATCGTGCTGCTATCACTATTTGCTCATGCTTCATCATTATGGCTGTGAACAAGTGAATGACATGTGTTGTTTCAATATTACTGACAATTCAAGAGCCATTCAAAGCCAAATCTCTCATTTGCAAAATCTTACACATCACATTAAACAGGACATTGGTTTTCCTGGCCTCTGGGATTCTTTCACCCAGTGGCTTACCGCTTGGTTGCCAAACCTTACTTGGCTTCGTAATCTTTTTCAATATGCTATTGTTATAATATGTTTATTAACTTTACTATGCTGTTTTCTTCAATGCGTTCCTAGCCTCATGACTCTTTTCTCTCGGCTTCTCTCCCCCCCTCCACCACCCAGTAAACTCCTTGCTGCTTACATTGCGAAATGGCAACACCAACAGTAAACCTTAGGGGAGATGTGGGCGGATTTATTTTGGGCATGCGCTGGCAAACCACGTATCCTGAAGTACTTTTGTCCCATCGACCCTGGCAGGCTTATTTCGGGCATTCGCTGGCACACCACTAATCCCGAAGTATTTTTGCCTTATCCACCTGGAATGCCTCGCAAACAAGAAAAGAAAGGGGGAGATGAAGGGAAGTTTTCTTTCTGCAGTTCTCTCACTGTGAAGTTCTCTTTCTGCAGTTCTCTTACTGCACATAACTGTTGCATTGTGGGAAGTCTTACTATGAAATCTTTCTATGCTTACTATGAGCACTATTGCTTCTTTTCTCTCTTACATTCTGGGAAGTTTTTGCCTCTGCACATAAGTCTGAGAATGTTCTGAACAGTTCCCATTGAGTTCATGAAACAGTGTATCCTGACCTGTTCTTAATGCATTGCTGACCACATTTACGGAACGTGATTGTTGTATTCCTTCATGTTATGTTCTCTCAATATCAATCTTTAGTTATAATTTAATTAGGAGGTTTCATGCCTGTCTAGTTCCAGCTCCGCTCCCAGTCTTTTGAACTATCACTGATTAATGTAATATGTAATGCCCGCCTTGTACCTATGTTAACCAATCAGCAACAAGATGCTTTGTGTTTGTATCAGCCAATCAGCCACAAGCACACCTGTGGCAATGTTTGTAATATTCAATAAAAGAGAGTTCCCGGGACTTGCCCCGGGCAGACGTCTCTCCTTTGACACCCACCATTCGTCTGTCGTGATTTCAACCCAACAGTTATTTATTTTAATAAATATAGTTTGTATGTGTCCAAGGACGAATGAAAGTCTAACTTGTATTTTTGCTTCACCTTCATATTTTAAATGATCTTAGAGTGGCTGTCTTATTCCAAAATAATTTTAGAAATACACTTGAAAGAGAAACAAAATAAAATAAAATAAAATAATTCCTTCCAGTAGCACCTTAGAGACCAACTAAGTTGGTTATTGGAATGAGCTTTCGTGTGCATGCACACTTCTTCAGATAAGCTCATTCCAATAACTAACTTGAGGTGCTACTGGAAGGAATTTTTTTATTTTCTTTATTTTATTTTGTTTTGACTACGGCAGACCAACACGGCTACCTACATGTAACTAGAACTTGAAAGAGAAGTTGGAGAAATACAACTCATTACCAAACTAAAAACTATGGAGAGACCTGGTCTGAATAGAGATAATGGATTCATGTCCCATTATACATACTAAAACTAATTTTGGTCATCTATCCTTTAAAAATCCTTTGCCCTTCCCTGTGGAACCAACTGCCATAACAGTCATCAACAGTTAAAAGGTTGAAGCGATCTCTGCTTCAGAGTATCTGACAAAGTGTGTATTACACACGAAAGCTCATACCTTGAAAGCTTATATTTAGTTGATCTTTAAGGTGCCACTGGAATTATTTTTTAAAAATCATCTTTCAGTTTGTTATTTATTATGACTATGACAGATCAACACGGCTATCCACCTGAATCTATATTTTAAATGAGTTCATCTATTCAATTAAAAAAAAAAATCACATCAGCTTAAAGAAAATTATCGTTTGACCAAAACTACGTGCTTAAGATCCAATAATAATAATAATAAGCATGGCAGAAAACTGGAAAGTGTTTGGGACAGATGCTTGGAGCTGTGCATGGCTTTATATATTATCACTTGCAACATAAGAAAAGCTCTGCTTGGCTGCCCTATAACCAGCCTAAAAAGTTCAGGGTGGGGACACCCAGCAAGCAGTTTGGGGCATCGTATCCCCCTGTACATATTAATGCTTTACTTTGTATTCATTAAGGCTGTCCTCGTGATAATGATAATTAAAGGTTCATTTGTCATCTGTTCTTCAATTGTACTCTGATCAATCAATTGCCTCACAAAGTTGTAATGTAACTTCCAGCTGGTATACATTACACAACTGATAGCTAAATTTGCACTGGCAGATCAGAAGATGTGGTCTAGACATACTGAAAATTATGATGTATTATAACATTTTTTTCATAATATTTTATTGAGTTTTCCAATTTAATAATCCAATAAAAAAACGCATTATATTCCAAATTACAACACAATCCAGGAGAAGGGTCCAGCAGGTTCTGCAAATTGGTGCTGCCTATCAGGAGTACTCCCCTTTCAGTAACCCCCCTACACACTCTCTAGCAATGAGAGCAAGAGGGGAAGGTTGACCAGCCAAGGGAAGAGAAGTAGCTGGAGTCTCTGGTGCCACCCAAGCTTTCAGAGCCCCACCGCCATCACCAGTCTATGTTATCTAGGAGGAGTTACAGAAGGAAGGAGTATTTACTGTAGATCAGCTGGTGCATAGAAGTGAACGTCTGGCCAAACATCATCTGCTGGACACCAGGACTTAAATACCTGTTTGTGGGAATTTGCGTTTGCTCCAACTTTCTGTGGCTACAACAACTGTGCCTTAAGGAACTGATGCACCTGCTCCCTGTATCAATGAATGCTATAAACTAGAAACCTTTGGACTACTATCTGATTTTGTGGAGAGCCGGGACAGACGGCCAGGTAGCTGTGGAAGCCTCACACCCCACACACCCACACCCATCAGGAAGCTGTCTCCAAATCACTTCCTCCTTCAGGATCCCCAGTTGATTTTCTGCCTTGTGGAAGTAGGCAGAGTTTTTTTGGGCTCCCACATGGGTATAATAGCTATTATTATTATTATTATTATTATTATTATTATTTTATTGTTGACTGCCCTCGCTCCTCCACAAGGCAACAAGGTGAAATTGTTGCTCATTTTCCCACTTTGGTCAGGAATAGTATTTCCTCCAACAGCAAAGAGATAGTACTACAGGGTCCCTGATCCAGTTCACAGTGGGAGTCCTTCTGGAGTGCAGGAAATCAGGGAAGATCAAGCCCAAGGAGAAGGCCAAGAGTATTCACCAGCCACATTCCTCTTTCTGTGACATGACAGCAAACAGAAAAGTTCATTATGGAGTCTGACTGGTGAAAGGGTCAGGTTCTGAAGCACACCACCTTTCTGGCCCAAGCACCACTGCCCAGAGAAGAAAATGGCTCATTTAGTGCAATAATTGGCTATCCGTGAGCCAATGGATAGGACAGCTGCTCCTGTTTTTCAGTTCACAGTAACTGTGACAGGAGGTCTTTGGATCAGCTGACTACCACAAACTGCTGCATTTGCTGCCCGAGTGAATGTATAACAGCCCCTTGGCAGAGTCTGCCGCAGCTGTGGTAAGGATGAATAACCTGCTTTTGCCCTTCCTTCTCCCCATTGTAATATCTAACGGTTTCTGTATTCTGTAGTTCAGTGGAAGGAGAGAAAATAAAAACCCCAAATGATGCTGGCCGCATAATTCTCTCACACACAAACACATCATCTTGAAAAATGCTAGCTTTAATTTAGGATTCATTCTCCATTCTCGCTCTACCATTCCATTTTCTATTTTCAACTTGGAGCCAACAATTTTTGGTTGTTGGGCCAACTCTTCACTGGGCTGTCCCTTCTCATGGGAGAGTGAGTTTTAACTGTTACAGGCCGAAGAGAGGCTGGGACCAGGTACTCTGGGTCTACATGTTTCTCAGATAAGCCCCTTAAGTAAACTTTTTGCATATTAAGAGGCTTGACAGGAGATATCTGACAGGCTGGCTGACAGGCTATCTGTCAGGCTATCTGTCCGGATATCTGACAGGCTATCTGTCCGGAGATGTTGCCTCCAATGCCGCTTGCATTCCCCATCATTCTGCACTGGCACCCCACGTTGGACGGTGCTGGTAGCATGTGCCGACAGCGGAAAAGCCAGCAAAGGAACCCACAGCTTGGTGCACACAACAGGATGCGTCGCACAGTGCCCACAACGTTACACGGCGCTCCGGGTGCTGCGCGCACAGCCGAAACAGTTAACCGCCATGCGGGGGGGAGGCAGCAGGCAGACAGCACGGCGACTGTGCGTGCTGCCCAACATTTTGTCCCCCCCACCACAGAACCTGCACCCCCCTTCGTACGCCCCTGTGCGTGGGATGCTGGCACCCCTTTTGATTGGTGCTGTGAGTCCCTGCGAGTCCCTAAAGGTTCTAAAGGTACTGTATTTTTTGCTCTATAAAACTCACTTTTTCCCTCCTAAACAGTAAGGGGAAATGTGTGTGTGTCTTATGGAGCGAATGGAGGCTGCACAGCTATCCCAGAAGCCAGAATAGCAAGAGGGATCGCTGCTTTCACTGCACAGCGATCCCTCTTGTTGTTCTGGCTTCTGAGATTCAGAATATTTTTTTTCTTGTTTTCCTCCTCCTAAAACTAGTCTTATGGTCTGGTGCGTCCTATAGAGTGAAAAATATGGTAAACAACTATTTCCTAAAAAAAAGTCAACAACTTTGGGGATCCCCCCCTAAGAAAGGTCAACAACTCTGGGCAACCTAGGGGCGCTGGGTGGATCTTTGCACCCTGGTGCCGCATATGCTTAAGACAGTACTGTGAATGAGCTCAGTAGAAGGCAGTTCTCTCCTGTTCTGCTTAGAGTGTCTCCTTCTTTCCTCTTTACAGACTTTAGTTTCAAGGATGGGACTGGGGCAATGACAAGAAGATCGTTGCCTCCACTTGGGTTGACGGTGTGCTATAAGACTGGTCTCCTCATACTGCAGGGTCTTCCATTTTACAGCGTGTACATTCTAGAAGGGGAGGGGAGGGAAAGTGCCCTGCTGCAGGAATTCCTTTCCTCTTCTTAGATGGCATTTTTGAGGGACAGGCAAGGACAGTGCCATCCTGTTTCGTCACCCGATATGAAATGGGAAGGTGCCGCCCCAACTCACCACCCCCAAGCCTCCCTTTTTACATATATAGGTACCGTATTTTTTGCCCTATAGGACACACTTTTTCCCCTCCAAAAATGAAGGGGAAATGTGTGTGCGTCCTATGGGGCGAATGCAGGCTTCAGGAGAGCCCCAGCGCCAGCCCCACAAGCTCGGGGGACAGCGGGGAGGCGGAACGCCGCCACCCCGCTGTCTCCCGATGTGGTTTGGAGGCTGACAGCGGGGAGACGCATGCTTCTCCCTGCCGCCAGCCCCGCAAGCTCAGGGGACAGCGGGGAGGCGCAGCGCACCTTCCCACTGTTTCCAGACCTGGTTTGAAGGCTGGCGGCGGGGAGAAGAGCGCTTCTCCCCGCTGCTGGCCCCACAAGTGCCTGGGGGGGAAATAAAAGTTTTTTTCTTTATTTCCCCCCCAAAAAACCAGGTGCGTCCTATGGGCCGGTGCGTCCTATGGGGCGAAAAATACGATAAAAATTTTATTTGATTTTACAAATATAGGATTATAACAATCCAAATTACATATCCCTATTTAGAGATTTCTCCAAATCGCTGGACTTCCCACCTTCCCCTCCATGGATCCTATTGTCCACCTTCTTAACTGCATATTATTTCATAGTCCATATTTTATATCTTTCCATATTATCCATAATATTCGCTACATTACAAGTGTTATTAAAATCCTGCTAAGGTTTTCATCTGATTACAGTGGTCTCCTAGATAAATTATAATTGTTTCCCATTCTTTGCTGAAGTTTTGGTCTTCTTGGTTCCTGAGCCTTCCGGTCAGTTTTGTCATTTCGGCATAGTCCAACAGCTTGGTTTGCCATTCCTCTCTGGTAGGGACTTTGTCTTCTTTCCATCTCTGGGCTAGTAGCATCTGCGTTGCTGTTGTCACATACATGAAAAGTCTTTTCTGTTCCTTTGGAATGCTGGTACCTACAATTCCTAATAAAAGGCTTCTGCGTTTGTTTGTTTGTTTTTACAAAAGTTATTTTAAACATTTTTTTCAATTCATTATTTTGGTATTTCTTAGAACGGCCAGCTGGCAGGGAAACAGTTCAGGGCTAGGAGGTGCCTGGAGGAGCTGGTCCTGGAGCAGAGCGGATGGAATGAGCCCTGCTTCCTATCTCTCCCATTCAGGCAGCCTGATGGAATTACCAGGGAATAAGTTCCATTGCAAGAAAGCTAAGTGGCTGTCCAACGAGGCCTTACAAATAGCGGGGGAGAGAAGGCAAGCAAAATGCGAGGGAGATAGTGAAAGATACAGGAAATTGAATGCAGATTTCCAAAGAATAGCAAGGAGAGACAAGAAGGCCTTCTTAAACGAGCAATGCAAAGAAATAGAGGAAAACAACAGAATGGGAAGAACCAGAGATCTGTTCAAGAAAATCGGAAATATGAAAGGAACATTTCGTACAAAGATTACCATAATAAAGGACAAAAGTGGTAAGGACCTAACAGAAGCAGAAGACATCAAGAAGAGGTGGCAAGAATACACAGAGGAATTATACCAGAAAGATATGGATGTCTTGTACACCCCAGGTAGTGTGGTTGCTGACCTTGAGCCAGACATCCTGGAGAGTGAAGTCAAATGGGCCTTAGAAAGCACTGCAAATAACAAGGCCAGTGGAAGTGATGGTATTCCAGCTGAACTATTTAAACTTTTAAAAGATGATGCTGTTAAGGTGCTACACTTAATATGCCAGCAAGTTTGGAAAACTCAGCAGTGGCCAGAGGATTGGAGAAGATCAGTCTACATCCCAATCCCAAAGAAAGGCAGTGCCAAAGAATGCTCCAACTACCGCACAATTGCACTCCTTTCACACGCTAGCAAGGTTATGCTTAAAATTCCACAAGGAAGGCTCAAGTAGTATGTGGACCGAGAACTCCCAGAAGTGCAAGCTGGATTTAGAAGAGGCAGAGGAACCAGAGACCAAATTGCAAACATGCGCTGGATTATGGAGAAAGCTAGAGAGTTCCAGAAAGACATCTACTTCTGCTTCATTGACTATGCAAAAGCCTTTGACTGTGTCGACCACAGCAAACTATGGCAAGTTCTTAAAGAAATGGGAGTGCCTGATCACCTCATCTGTCTCCTGAGAAATCTCTATGTGGGACAAGAAGCTACAGTTAGAACTGGATATGGAAAAACTGATTGGTTCAAAATTGGGAAAGGAGTACGACAAGGCTGTATATTGTCTCCCTGCTTATTTAACTTATATGCAGAATTCATCATGCGAAAGGCTGGGCTGGATGAATCTGAAGCCGGAATTAAGATTGCCGGAAGAAATATTAACAACCTCAGATATGCAGATGACACAACCTTGATGGCAGAAAGTGAGGAGGAATTAAAGAAACTTTTATTGAGGGTGAAAGAAGAGAGCGCAAAATATGGTCTGAAGCTCAACATCAAAAAAACGAAGATCATGGCCACTGGGCCCATCACCTCCTGGCAAATAGAAGGGGAAGAAATGGAGGAAGTAAGAGATTTTACTTTCTTGGGCTCCATGATCACTGCAGATGGTGACAGCAGTCACGAAATTAAAAGACGCCTGCTGACAAACCTAGACAGCATCTTAAAAAGTAGAGACATCATCTTGCCAACAAAGGTCCGTATAGTAAAAGCTATGGTTTTCCCAGTAGTGATGTATGGAAGTGAGAGCTGGACCATAAAGAAGGCTGATCGCCGAAGAATTGATGCTTTTGAATTATGGTGCTGGAGGAGACTCTTGAGAGTCCCATGGACTGCAAGAAGATCAAACCTCTCCATTCTGAAGAAAATCAGCCCTGAGTGCTCACTGGAAGGACAGATTGTGAAGCTGAGGCTCCAGTACTTTGGCCACCTCATGAGAAGAGAAGACTCCCTGGAAAAGACCCTGATGTTGGGAAAGATTGAGGGCAGAAGGAGAAGGGGACGACAGAGGATGAGATGGTTGGATGGTGTTCTTGAAGCTACCAGCATGGGTTTGATCAAACTGCGGGAGGCAGTGGAGGACAGAAGTGCCTGGCATGCTCTGGTCCATGGGGTCATGAAGAGTCAGACACGACTAAACGACTAAACAACAACAAGTTCCATTGAACTCAGTGCAATAAGGGACCCCTGACCATTAGGTCCAGTCGTGTCTGACTCTGGGGTTGCGGTGCTCATCTCGCTTTATTGGCCGAGGGAGCCAGCGTGGTCATGTGGCCAGCATGACTAAGCCGCTTCTGGCGAACCAGAGCAGCGCACGGAAATGCCGTTTACCTTCCCACCGGAGCAGTACCTATTTATCTACTTGCACTTTGACGTGCTTTCAAACTGCTAAGTTGGCAGGAGCAGGGTCCGAGCAATCCCCGTCGCGGGGATTCAAACCACTGACCTTCTGATCAGCAAGTCCTAGGCTCTGTGGTTTAACCCACCCGCGTCCCCAACATGCAGAATACTGCGCAGTTAAGTAGCTATTGAGTGTTAAAAATGCAGCTTGTGGCCTTCCCTTTGCATACTACCCAGCTCCCCAAATTCTACACTTTGAAAATTTAGCACAATTCCACTTTGTTTGAAGCTCCAGGCACCCTCAGCTGCCCCCTCTAGGTGATAGAGGATGCCCTAGGAAGGTGACTAAACGCTGTAACTTCTCATTACCCACAGAACAGTTCAAGGCTTCCCTCTAGTGGCTAGAAGTTGTCAAAAGGCATGTTTTGATGTGATTCAATGCAGAGGTGAACAGCCTTCCAGCAGGCAAGATCAACTTTGCTTTCTACCACACACCCATAACTGGAGCCAGGTACAAAAGGCATGCACTTCAAGATTTTGGAGGCTGGGAATTTGTCTCGAGTAATGGAACTGAGGTGAGTTCACAGTCCTTCCATCCAAATATCTGTTCCTGATCAGCTCCTTCCTCCCAGCTTTACTCATTTTAGCAGTATAATTTCAGGGGGAAGTTGTTTTGTTGTTGCCACAGCATATCACCCAGAGATCTACCAGTAGTTCCCGATCTATTTTGTTCCTGCCCCTGTGATGTAGCCCAAGTTCCTACATATTTTGGATATTTCTTGGCAGGGGGCCCTTGACAGTGTCTTCCTCAGGGGTCAGCAAACGTTTCCAGCAGGGGGCCAGTCCACTGTCCCTCAGACCTTGTGGGGGGCCGGAGTATATTTGGGGGGGGGGGGATGAATGAATTCCTATGCCCCCAAAATAAGCCAGAGATGTATTTTAAATAAAAGCACACATTCTACTCATGTAGAAACACGCTGGTTCCCGGACTGCCCCTGGGCTGGATTGAGAAGGCAATTGGACTGGATCCGGCCCCCGGGCCTTAGTTTGCCTACCCATGCTCTTGCTCCTAAGGAAAGCACTGGGCTGAACACAATGCAATGCTTTCTCATAGAGGAGGTGCGGATCTGTGACTTGGGTAGTCCAAACCATCGGGTAGTCTGACCATCAGTTCCTTATGTGAAATTGTCAGGCTTGAATGAGGCCGACGGAATAGGTTGCAATGCCAGCTTGGCTCTGTGGGTTTGTGTGTGGTGCTTTCAACAGTTACTCTAGTTTGCAAAGTGGTTCACAGGCCCCTGAAGTCTGGCAAACCCTGGTGTTAGTGGTTAGAGTGCTGGACTTGGAATCTCATATTCAAATCTTTGCTGAGCTACAAAGGTCACTGGGTCACCTTGGGCCACTCACATGTCCCCAATTTAACCTACTTTGCAGGGTAGGATAAAATAAGGTGACTATTGAGTCTGCCACTCTTGAGCTCCTCAGAGGAAATGTGAGAGGTGATTGTGTTGAGAGATAAAGGGTGTGGGGAATATTCTGGCCCCTCACTCTGAGAATTTACACCTTCCTCTGAGAGTTGGAGAAGAAGATTAAAATCTTGTAACCACAGGCTAGTTGCTGTGAGATCCAGCTGTCTTCTCTATGCCCAAATGGGGCTGAGGCAGGAACTCAGTTCCTCTCACATTTTAAAGTGAACCCTACCTAATTCACACATCCCAAAACAAGAATTGAATAAAAATGCATCTATCTTGAGAAATTCTCCAGTTCTCCAGCTAAAACATGTATATTAGGGGAAAGAATATTGGCGAGAACTATGCACAAAAATGCATCTAGGGAAATCTGCTTGGGGAAAAAAGTACATAGGGAAAATTTGCAATAAAATGCTAACAGATTTTCATGAGGACTTTAAAAAACACACCCACACACTGCAAAATATGTATAGCAAAAATAGTGCTCCATCAGTGTTAGATTGATTTGATAATCATGAACTATCAGAGTGTCAAATTTAACATAATACAGTAGATAATAAACAATTGTCCAAGTTCTTATTTGTTCATCAACCATCAGGACAATATTCAACCACATAGTGCCTTTGCTTTATTGTAAATATGCAGACTGCATATAGATTACATACATGTTTGCGATAATCAACATTTGTAAATAAAATTTTGTTATAAATATGAAAAAAATCACAAACTGGTGTAGATATGCGGCAAACTGAGCTGAAGAATGGGAGCATAAGAAACTGAAGTTGAGAGATTGGATCATCTGTCGGTGTCTCTTGGCTTTTCATTTTTCCAATTTGAATTTATGTTCCCCACATTTCCACATCAACTTGCAATTATTATTATTTTTAAAGGTCCTCATGAAAACCCAGCAGCATTTTAGTGTGAATTTCTCCTGATATGCATATTTTTCTATGCAACTTTGCCAAATGTATGCACTTTTACAAAGCAATTTCCCCTAATAGAGCTTTATGTTATTTTCACTAATATACATCAATATGCACACTTTACCTTAGTATATGCATTTTTGTACGCATTACTCGGCTAGCGAATGGCAATGCAAAAAGCAGGTTTTGAAGATGGCTTCTGCTCATGTATTGTTTTGGAAAATATGAATTAGGCCTGTTCACTTTTACATGTGGACTGAATCAAATTCCTTCTCCTCCTTATGAGTTCCAAGCCACTTTTTGCATGGACACCCGACCCACCAGCTGGGCTCCTTAGACATCTCCAAATGTCAGTCTTCAGAGGCTCGATCCTTGCAGTCCACTCCGGCCCAGGTAGCAGCTTTGGTTCCAGGCCCGGCTTTCCCGCAAGCTTTGTGGGTAGGTGTTTCCTCCTCTCTCTCTCTCTCTCTCTCTCTCTCTCTCTCTCTCTCTCTCTCTCTCCCCGCTTGACTCAGCTCTCCTGCTAGGGCTGTTTCTGAGCTGCATTGAGAAAGTACAAGGCAGGCAGAGGAGGAAGAGGAAAGTGGGGATGACTCAAGAGAGCAAACTTCTGCTTTGCTCGAGAAAGAGCCGGGGAGGCTCCTCCAGGATCCTTCGGCTGCCACAGTGACACTCAGTCGCGCACACCCCACCTTCCTGTGGCCGGCTGGGTCTTGCAGGGTAGGGACCCCACCTGGGCAGGTAACTTCCTCCTTCTCCTTTCCTGTTGGCAAACACTTCGGGCGTGAGGCTCAGGAGTCCCACCTTTGCAGGAGCATATGGGAGAGCTGAGACAGGATCCGGGAGGGAAGGAACTGTGTAATATGCTGCGGAGTTGGTTTGGCTCTCAAGTTTCTGCTTGTCTCTCCGTCTCCCAGATCCTGTTCAGCTGCGAATACCTGTTAGGGGAGTGCCTGGAGGGAAGTGTATGTATATTTGTGTGTGATGGCCGCTTGCCCATGCTGGTTGCCCGAGAGCTACAGTATGCATATGCTATGCCCGCGGTGCAATTTCAGTCATTTTAGGCTTGGAATTAATGGGCTGTTTTTTTGGGGGGGGGTTGAAAGGTGGGCCCCCCTTGTTACTTGACTTTACTGGTTTCAAAATGTGGTGAGCCAGCGTTCTTGTGTTTCCGGGAGCCCCTCTGCTCACTCTGCATGCTGTAGGACCCCTTTGCCACAAAATCCTGCCTTGCCCTGTTCTCCTGTTTTGATGCCACTCAAAGCCGCCACACTTCCCCCTTCGCGTGGAGCACCCAAGAAGATTGGCAGGGCAGGGTGTGTTTGTGTGAAAGAACGGTTGGTTTGCAGACCCACTGAGAGAGGGGTCTCCTAAGGGGGTCCCCAGGCACCTCAGAGCTAGTGGTGCTGCCAGGGTGGGACTGTGGGGCAAAAGTGCAGAGCCCCCACCTGAGCAGGAGGGTCTCCAATCACAGCAGGGCCAGTTTTACAATTGTAGTCTCTGAAGTCAAGGGGAAGGTATAGCTTGGTGGTGGAGCCTTGCATGCAGAAGGTCTTGGGACTCCCGGTCTGAAATCCTCAAGAGCAGCTGTCTGCCAGTGCAGAGAGTACTGAGCTAAATGGACTGTTGGACTGACTCAGTGTAAGGCAGCTTCCTGCGTTCCTATGTAACCATTTTGAAGTAAGTGAAGGAATGCACATTACTATTTAAAGCTCCCCGGCCCCAGCCAGGAGACCATTGGCTCTAGAGTCTAAAATTACCAAAGTGCACTGCTGTCCCAGAGGTGGCACATGCGCGACCCCAATAAAAACAGCAAAGGCAGTGAACTGGCAAGTCGGTAGGCCGTCCATCCCTTTGCATGCAAGATCCCTGTGCTTTTAGCAGCTGGCAAAAACGGGAGCATTTTGTTCAGCTTGCGTTTTCATGCAAAGCTACCTGATTTGCAATTCCTGAGCGAAGGCATAGCTGTCCTTCAAAATGCATACTTCTCTGAGTTTTTGTAGAGCATTTCGCCAAACCAAAAAATGCAGAGATTGGTGAAAATGATGTACGAAACAGCTCTGCATTAGAGGGAAAGGTTAGCAAAAAGCTTATATTAGATAAAATTGGGCACCAAACTGCATATTTTAGGAGAAATTGATGTGAAAATGCATATGGATTTTGTGCAGATTTTTGTGGGGGAAATGGCCAATTGGTACAGAAACAGGATGAACTGAACTTGAGGTTGGTAAAATGAGAGCATGAAAGAATCCAAATTTGACAGATTCACGTATCCCTAGACGGGAATCAAACATGGAGTGGTGTTGCCTGTCATCACCCCCTTTGCTCTGAAACAAGTTGTTCCTGGACAGTAATGTTTTTTCCTCACAAAATGTACAACTGCTTGACCAGATTCCATGAGCTGTTAAAAACGGTGACTGTAGTGTCCCACCCCAGAGTTGGGTGCAGATAGATAAAGGAAAGTGCAATGGGGTCAAACAGCGCTAGGCTCCTTCTCCTTAGGTTAGTCGGAATTTGGAGGGACGTGAGCTGTCTTAAAGCAACAACTACTGCTCATATTTGGGAAGAATGTTCTCCTTTTAATATTTTTCTTGTCTCGTTCCCTGTTTGATAGCCTCAGAAACTAAACAAGGGCACCCTTATCTTGCAGTCCCTCCAATTAAGATTGGCCTTTATCTGTTAATCAACTAATTGTTTAATTGATTAATCCAATTAAAGTTGGCAACATACCCTGAGCTCATTTGTATGGGGTGTGTGCTGTATATAAATGCATATATGGCTGAGGGTGTTCTCTGTTTGGCTAAGGTGTACCTGTGTGTCCAGCAGGTGGAGTTTTGTAAGTGCTTTTAGTGTGTCACGGGGCTATTTGCAAAAGTTTGATCAGCTTATGCATCTGGTTGTTTTTGTTTCTGCTGTGCTCTTCTGTAGTCTGTGCACTGTATACTGCTTATTTTCCTGTATCCCGCCCACAATAGTGGCTGAGCACCTCTCTCTTGTTTCCATCGGAGACAGAAATAGAACTGCAACCTGAACATATTTAGGAGTGTGGTAAGACCTCAGCCACATTGGCTCCTTGTGTGAGGAGGAGGCATGTTTGTTTGTGTCTGTAAAGGTCCTAGTTCTTCAGAAGAACTCTGGTCCTTGAGTTTGCTTTTGGCAATTTCCTCAAGACAGTAGTCATCTTTGCCTTCAAGGGATGCTCATGGGACCACAATCGTTTGAGACTGAGGGAGCCTGCCTAGCTCAGTTAGTTAGAGCGTGGTGCTGATAACGCCAAAGTTGCAGGTTCGATTCCCCGTATGAGACAACTGCATATTCCTGCATTGCAGGGGGTCAGACTAGATGATCCGCAGGGCCCCTTCCAACTTTACGATTCTATAATCTCCCACACTTCCGCTTCTCGTGTGATGAGTAAGCGTGGGTCTGAGAGCTTTCCTGTCAATATTTCTAGGCTTGGGTCCTAGCAGTTTTCCGTTTGCCCCGCCGCTTTCCTCAGAAAAACCTGATTGACATTTGCTCTGATTTCGCAGTAAGCAGTGGGATTCCCCGGAAGGGAAGTGGCAGGGCAAACGGAAGTCTGGATGAGCCCTAATATTTGTTGATTGTCTGGGACTGCAGTGGTACCTCTGGTTATGAACTTAATTCATTCCAGAGGTCCGTTCTTAACCTGAAACCGTTCTAAACCTGAGGTACCACTTTGGCTAATGGGGCCTCCCACTGCCGCTGCGCTGCCAGCACACAATTTCTGTTCTCATCCTGAGGTAAAGTTCTTAACCCGAGGTACTACTTCCGGGTTAGCGGAGTCTGTAACCTGAAGTGTTTGTAACCTGAGGTGCTTGTAACCCAAGGTACCACTGTACTGGTTGCTGAATTGTAACACTTGGACTGCAGGTGTTTTATAAACCTAAAAGCATGTATGTACCCTGGAGTTGTTGGTTTCTTCCTGAACAGTAATGACTTCAGTCACTGTGAAATTTGGAGCACTGCTTTTAACTACCTCAGTGTTTCTCAAACTTGGGACCCTAGCTGTTGTTGGACTACAACTCCCACCATCCCTAGCTAGCAGAACTGGTTGTCAGGAGTGATGGGAGTTGTAGTCCAACAAGAGCTGGGGGGCAGGACCCAAGTTTTTTTTAAAAATGAGGTAGTTAAAAGCAACGCTCCAAAACATGTTTGGCCAGGCCACATTCACACCATACATTTAAAGCACTAGGATACCACTTTAAACAGTCATGGCTTCCTGAAAAGAATCCTGGGAGTTGTAGTTTGTTAAGGGTGCTGGGAGTTGTTAGGAGGCCCATATTCCCTTCACAGAGCTACAATTCCCATAGTTCACTGTGAAGTTGATTGGGAATTGTAGCCATGACTGTTTAAAATGGTATCACATTGATTTAAATGCCATATTATATAGAATGATGATGCCTTTCTAGCATAACAGCTTCTTGTTTCTAAATCACATGGCAAGATCCAGGCCTTGTCTAAGCTGGTTCTTTCTTGGTTATCTGAACACAAAAATGCTGAGCTGCTGCCTTTCATCTCTTACTTAAGTGCCTATCAAGATGTGAAATGTTACTTTAATGTGTTTGAATTCTTTAAAAAAAATATTTGCAAAGGTAACAAAAACAAGAAAAGAAATGTGTTTGAGTTGCAGCAATCCCAGAATACATACAAACATATCCAGTTAAGGAGCTGGGACCGAGCAATGGGAGCTCACCCCGTCGCAAGCTGTCTGCAGACAAACACCAGCCCCCTCGGCCAATAGAAAAAGATGAGCGCTGCAACCCCAGAGTCGTCCGCGACTGGACCTAACGGTCAGGGGTACCTTTACCTTTTTATCCAGTTAAGATTTAAGGTAACATCCACATATTGAGCTCGGAGGAGGGGGGTTTAGGCCTAATCTGCACTATGTTTTTAAAGCAGTATTATGCCACTTTAAAACAGCCATAGCTTTCCCCCCCAAAATAATCCTGTGAACTGTCATTTGTTAAGGGTGCTGCAAGTTGTTAGTAGACCTCTGTTCCCCTCACAGGGCTACAATCAGGGGTGCCTTGTGACAGTGCCCCCCCAATCACTTTACCACGCACCTTTGTGCCAGAAGGATGGGAAACTTCTGTATTTGATCTCACTTCAACAGCAGCGGTTTGTCACCATGCAAATAAACTATATGTCATAAACCCCATCGTAGGATAGACTTCAGTGTATACAGCCTATTAATCACTCCTGAGTTTTTATGAAAGGAAACTTGACGAGCCATTGTGGCATAGTGGTTAGAGTGCAGGATTAGGACCAGGGAGACCAGGGTTCAAATCCTCCACTTGGCCATTGTTATAAGAAAAAACTGCTCCTTTTCCCTTATGGGGTACCCAAGAGCCCATATAAAGTCCTTTTGTAGGTTTAAGGCAGGATTTGTGAGCGAAGAGACAATTGGAAGGGTTTTCCCATTTCCTCCCTCCTTGCAGAGAAACATTTGAGGTCAATTTGGGAGAGACAAAATGGTTTCAGGACTTTTTTCCTGTACTGTTTCAGACATGCGGTTTATATATTTATATATGTGTTTGCTTGGAACATTTATTTTATATCTTAGACCTTATAATTCTCGTAACACCATGAAAACAACTTGCATACAAAAATGTCTTATATTAGGGGCAAGGGGGGTGGACTGCTTGCAATGTGTGTATCAGTCACAATTGTATATACAAATGTGTATATCAGGCTAAAATGCTGACAAATTTTCATGGGGATTTAAAATAAATAAATGAATATATTGCTGAAGTAATGTGGCGAGTTGGATTTAGGATTGGAAAGACAAGAAACTGCAAGAACTGTTCATGCTGCCGTTTAAAAGATAACTTGAGTTTAATGAGCAAAACAGATGCCTGGTGTGATTTTATTTCTTTAAAACTAGAAAATAGCTTAAGGCTTAAGAGTGGTTCGGAGAGGCTTACAAATCATCAAGCAATCAATAAATGAGAGTCTCTGCCCTCAGGTTTGCAATTTAAAAAAAGACGCAGCACTGAAGGAAAATGGTTTAGGAGAAAAGAGAGAGTGGCAGCGAAGCAAAGTTATCAGTTGCAAGTTGTTCTAATGAACAGCTAGAGTGAAGCAATTCAGGGAAGGAGGCACAAAAGGTTCTAGACTCTTAGCTGTGCCCATAAGGTGGCCCTGCTGCATGGTTGCTGCCAGGTTTGGGCTGAATATGATTCAGATGGATTGGGGAGGACAAGCTGAGACCTGCTGCAAGCTGCACACTCCTGAAGGGAGTGGGGAGAAGATCAAGGGAGAGAAGGGTTGGATCTCTTTTGCAGGTGGCTGGGGATGAAGCCTGCAAAACAGCCTGACAGCCGCCAATCTGCCTGTGGGGCACTTGTTAACACAGGGTGGCGGGGGAGGGAAATGGGGAATTCCTTCTTCCTGTCCCAGGGGAATGAGTCCCTCAGGGTGGAAAGCAGGCTGAGCTGGGCTGGTTCAGTGTTGAATGTTGATTTTCTGGGAAGAGCGCTAGGCAAATCCCGGGCTGGATCTCTGGGTTGGAGTAGAGACCCGGTTCCTTGTTCCTTGGCGGGGCAAGGCACTCCTCCATCCTCAAAACAGTGGGCAGGCCTGCCTGCCTGCCTTTCTTGGGGACGAGGCACATCCCATTCCACAAGCCAAGCTGTTTACTCAAAATACCATTATGCAAAGCAAGGCATTTATGACCACAAACTATTTGCAGAAACGTTTGCATGCCTTTATTGTAGATGGAAGTGTTTGAAACGTGTTGGGTTGTGTGTGGATATGGTGGCCTATGAGTTGCAGGGGCAGAGAGAAAAGCAGTTGAAGGAGCTGTGTGTGTTTAGCCCACAGTGTGTATTTTAACAGAGGGGTTGGGAGCCTCTGGCCTGGGGCTGAATGTGGCCCTCTAGGACTGTCTGTCTGGCCCTCAGGACTCTCTCCAGGCCCTACTGGCCCCACTCTGTGCCTTCCTTGAGTTCTTTCGCCTGGCTGACCTGTGATAATGGCTGTGGCTTGGCTGAGCTGTGCTTGCAGAAACTCCCTGCTCTTGCCCAGCTTGGATGTCACCTATGGTGCATAGGGAAGAGTCCCACCCATTTCTCTGCCCACTTTTGTCTCTGCCCCTTCTGCTTTTCCTCTGGACCCACCAACCACTGGAATGTTGCCCCCAAAAAGTTACGTATTAGAGATGTAGCCCTCAGGCTGAAGAAAAGTTCAGATGGAACATACAGAAGCCAAAAAACAACAACGACAGAAGGTTTCTCCTGATCCGTCGTCATTTGATGCTCTCTCTGCCACTGGCACATGGTGATAACCTGAAGGAGCAGAAATAATTTTGAATGCTGCTTTATAAAAATGGAATAAACGTGTCTGCTCCACCCCTTACTCATCAAGCACTATACCTGAGCAGCCAGGTGCAACCAGGCTGTCTCCTGAACCACCAGGTATTGCCCTTTGCCCTCTGGTATTAGGTGCCACAGCTCTCCAATCAACCCTCTCTCTGTTTGAGAGAGCTTTGGCAGAAGTTTTGGGCAAGGGAAAAACAACCGAGACTGGCTTCTTTTTTTGTCAAGCAAGCCGGTTGCCTCATTCTGGAGATAATGATATTTCTGGCTGTTTCTTATGCAACCTTCCTCCATCCAGTTGCCCAAGAATGCACCATATCTTTCCCAACACAAGCTTCAGAGGGAAGCTAGAAACTAGATTGCTGACTGTCCGAGAGGAGGTGGATGGGGGCCGGGGGAGGTGACGTAGTCTTAGATAAAATGTGGTTGATATAACCCAGGGCCAGGGGTGTGGAACCTCAGGGCTGTGTGGCCCTTGGAAAACTTCCCCAATCACATTCTCTTCTCTACTGGCCACACCCCTCAGTATGTTGCCTACAGGGCAAAGGAAACATTCACATTTATTGCTCCACCCACTTTTGCATGTGGCCCTCAGAAGATTGTACAGAAGGGAATGTGGCCCTCATGCTGAAAAAGGTTTCCCATCTCTGTAAATAACCTATAGTAATGAAACAGCGCTGCCTGTTTATAGTCCGTTCCTGTGATTCAGTAAGCAATATTGCACACCCCTGAAATTTCTTGCCACCCATTGCAAACAATGAGTACTGTCCTGACCCAAGACATTTTTTCTGCACCAAATTCCCCGCTCCTGGCAAGGGGTGGGGGGCTGTCCATTACCCCTTGCTCTGAAAAAAAATCCCGGATCTGTACTTCCTTGCATCTCACCATAACCTACCCACTGCTACACTACAGATTATAGGACTGGGCCTATGCTACAAATGATCAGAATCTCTGTATCTTGGCATTCTTGACCAAAGTGATTTTGAAATGGGCAGGTTTAGTAATTAACAGAGCCCCCCCCCCACATGGCCCTTAATAGGAAACACCTGCCGCAATGTCTTTGTGATCACCTGCATAATTGCTAAGCAGTGAGGCAAAAGTTGGAACATGGACAAACCTTTTTGTTTAGTGCCTGAACGCTCTTTAAATAACAAGCAATGTTTAACCGTGTCTTGGGCTTGAACCTGAACCGGAGAAATGTTGTGGGAAGGGAGCAGCAGACTGGAAGCTGTGAGCTGAGCCCGTGTGTGTGTGTGTGGAGGGAGAGGCTGTGTTTGTGCAGGGTGTGATTCCTTGCACAGAGTAAACTTCAGGTGGCTGTAAAAAAGGAAAAGGAAAAGCCCATTGAAATCTCTCCAGCATGCAGGTGTGTGTGTTTGCAAGTAGGAATTCCCCAGAGTTCCATCCTGGACTTGGGCAAGGGCTAGGCTGAAAATGAAGGGAGTGCATGTGTCTGCGAGGGACTGTAGCAGCTTTCCTGGGGAACCACAGACCCAGGAGCTGAATGTGGCCCTCCAGAAACTCTCCATCTGGCCCCTGGAACTTTCTCCAAGCCGCACCTCTCCCTGGCCCTCTTGCTTGTCTGGAAAGGGGGGGGGCTAGCCCATTGTACAAAGGTAAAAGTTGCATTAGTTGCCCCACCCACTTTTGCCTCTGGCCACATGTGCCTCCCAAAAGGTTGCTCAGGAAAGAATGCAGATCTTGGGGTATAATGTTGGGCCTCCAGACCTACTCTAGGCTTAGGAATCACTTATAACACCCTAAATATGGAAAGAAATGGAATGTGACCCTAAAAGTAATCCTACTTTCATAACATCTGAGCTGAGTGTCACCCAATAAAGCTGAATGGTGGGAGATTCAGGACAGGCAGAGAGAAGCCTTTTTTCACACAGCCCTCGGGATGGTCTCAATTTTGTTTCTCCACTTTCCAGTCTTAAATTAAGTTCTCCACATGCTGCAGAAATTTGCATAATAATATACATATATATTTAATCCCTCCTGAAAATTAACCAGCATTTTAGTGCGGATTTTTGGCTTTGGGAAGGCGGTGCAAGGGCTCTGGGATGCTGCCAGAGCCTTCACAGCTTTTGCACAGATGTGGTGGGAATAAATAAACCGAGAATTGGTTTCCTCCGCTCTCCATTTGTTTATTTATTTCCCACCCAGCCATGCAAAGTTGTGGCTGTGTAAGTAAGTACCTACAACACCCAGGATCAAAAGCGACATGACTCTGAATGGCAGTTACTGGGCAGCCATTGCCTCATATAATCTACTTGTGGGCTTCCCGTGTCCATCAGCTAATGTAGGGATGTTGGACTAAATGGGTGTTTGGCCTGATCCAGCAGTGCTCTTCTTTTGGTGTTTTAAACTAATCTGGGTGTTCACATTGTCTGCTATAGATAAAGGCACAAACCACATCACATCCTGTGATCTGTCAAACTGGGTTTCCTGCTTTGCTCCCTGTTTTGCGGGTTGGGGGTAGCAGAAGGTGTTTGTTGTACAAATGTTTGCATCCCACTGAAAAGGCACAACCTCCCTGTAATTGTTCTGGATGGCAGGATTATCGTCTCATCTACATGTTTGGGTGCTGAATCGTCACCAGCGTATTTCTTCCTTTCTCTCTCTTTTTTGAATATTCGAATATTTTTGAAGTAATCTCTGAATGCTTGATATCTGTATTTAACATGGGATTTCAGTACTGGATAACATTCAGTTCAGAAGTGGTGGTCAGGGCAAGTGAAGAGGCGATGTTAATATGACTTGAGTAAAAATGCCTCTTCCAGATTATTGAGACATGAACTTTTGTCGCTTAGGGGCTGTTTCATCAGATACAGGAAGTGGACCAAGAAAGTGGCAGGTTGAGGCATCCTGCACAATAGCACTATGAGAAAGCAAGAACCCAAGGCAACAGGAATGTGAAACCCACATCCGCATTATTGTAGCATTTTCTTTTGGTTTTTGCATTTTTCTTGATCTTTAGCTTCTCAGCCTCTAAAATGCACCTTTTACCTTTGGATTGGTATAGGCTAACAGGGGTACACATCTGGAATACACATCTATAGATCCTGTCCAAGGTATTTTGGTGCCTAAGGCAGATTTATTTCCCCTAGTATAGTGCATTCTTATTGTTCATTTTCACTAATATGTATTTGTATGCGCAGTTTACTTTAGTATATGTATTTTGTACACATTACTGGAGTACAAAATCTGGAGAAGTGCGAATTACAAAGTGTTTCCCTGCAAATTGTACTGGAAAGTGCAAATTAGCTAGGTTTGCCTTTAATTGATAACTGAATTGAATAGACTACTTAACATTTAGGGGAGGAATTCAAAATAGTGTATGAGATTTTTTTTTAAATCCTAAAACATCATAAAATTACAACAAAATGCAAATCCATAGAACGACTGTTTAGAGTGGTATGTTACAGCTTTAAATGTAAAGCACAGGCAAGGCCTTAGTTCAGTCTGCTTGAATTGCACCCCTTGAGTTGCACAGAAGCTGTTGCAAAGTGTCCTGCTTTAGGGTACTCCATCTGCGTTTTTCTTCCACTGCGTTTCTCTTCCATCTTCAGGATACAGCACAGATGCACTGCAAGTGTGCCTTGTTTCTACTCTAGCTGTGTCTCTTTCTCCGTAAACACAGATGGGGTTGGATAACTTGTTGTAGAACCCCTGCTGTATCTAATGGTTCCATGTTCACAGTTTGGCCTTCCTTTGAAAAACCATAATCCAGAAGCATTGTTACTTAGATGCTTCCCATCCTGTGGCTGTAGAAGCATTTCCCGCCAGTGTACAGCTGAACTCCTGAAGCAGTTTCTTGAAGAGATGCTTTGGGCTGCAGTTGCTACCATCCTTGACCCATGACCGTAATGATAGGAGGGCGTTGGACAAGGGGGTGTTTAAAAATAAGGACAAGGAATCCGTGTCAACAGATTTCTTCTCAGAAATCACCTGGGGAGACATTCTCCACAAAAGCAGTACTTGGTAATAGGAAACAAACCCTTTAGTTTAGGTACATCTGTACAGCACAGATGTAGAACGGTCTTGTTCGTCATTCCCTCTTCCCTCAGGGAACTCTGGGAACTGTAGTTTTGTGGGGGGAGGGCTAGGGATCTCAGATAGCTGTCTCAGAGGCCCAGCCGACTGCAGTGCCCAAGGTTCTTAGGAACAATTCATGGCAGTTCAACTGATTTTTAAATTAACATCAATGTGTTCCGCTTGAGAATGAGCTTCTGGCATTAAAATTGTGTCTTTCCTGCCTTTCTCTTTCAGCTGGTTGTGGCCTTGTCTCTCAAAATGGTCGATCAGGACGGAGTGTAGCCTCCCATGGAGCATCACCTAGAAGGCTTCTTGAGAGCCTATGGCAAAGAGTGGGATAATAATACTGGCCTGTTGGCTGGACCTCCCGTTTCCATGTCGCAGGATGAGGTACTGACAAGCCAAGCCAGAAGGGCCTTTCAGAAGAGCAGCGTTTAGACCCTGGTGAAGTTGGCTTGCGACTCTCACACGGAGTACTTCCCTCCCCCCCGCCCCCCATGGATCAAGACATTGGCATGGACTCCTTGCTGGACCTCAGCTTTCTGACTGAGGAGGAGCAGAACGCCATTGCGGAAGTGCTGCGGAGAGACTCGCAGCTGCGGATGTCAGAGGAAGGACGCATCAGGTGAGAAGCAGCTTTGTGGGGGTAGCTCCAACATGTATGGACACAGAGGCTTCCTTATACCAGGACCAGCTGGTGAAGACTGGTGCATTAGGGCACTGCCCCACCTGCTGGGGGTCCGCTAATCGGGCCCAAGCTGCCTTGGTCACTGAAAAGCCAATAAATGCCGTAGGCAGAGGAGATTCCCATAAGCACTAATTTATTCAGCTGAGTAAAACAGAGCGGCCAAGCCACACTCACCAGTGTGATGGTGAAGCCGCTGCAAATAGCCTTTGTTCATACTTTTTATAGGCACCCCCCTCCCTTTCCCCCTTTCGAGGTTCCTTGTGCTGATTGAAACCGGACACCCTGCCTGGAGACCTTGAAGGGGAGAGTGCCGGGCAGAGGGAGGTTTTCCTGAAAATTGCCTAGCAACGTTATCTGGTCTTCACATATTTGTGGCTCACCCTCCTAAATTCTAAAGCAGGCAGTTTTTCACAGAAGCAAAATGGCATCAGTTAGGCTAACCAAAAAACAGGACAAGGACAGGGCTCTGGGGCTCTTCCTGAGACCCCACACACCTACCCCAGTCTGCCCTCAGCAAGCCTCCACCTGCCTTGCTTGCCTTTCCAGGTTTGTGGCACTGATAGTCTCAATGATACCCTTGAAGAACTCAGCAGGGAGGAGGCTGGGGACAAAACTAGACTTAGTGGGCTCTGCTAAAAAGTGAAAGATATACAGCTGAGGAGAAAATAACAGGCTGAGAACCTCTCCCTCTCTTTCTCTCATTATGGCAACTGGCTGAAAAGCAATACAAAACAAACTGGCTAGGCTGGTTTATTTTGTATTCTGCCGCTCCCCCCCCCCCCAATCCTAACTTGAGTTCTGTTAACAAAGGAGCACACTTTCTTTAGCTGGAATGGAGCAAATCGTAGCTATAATTCACCTGAGTCAGTAAAAATTCTGGGAGGGGCCCTGGCTCAGTGGCAGAGCATTTGTTTTACATGCACAAGGTCCCAGGTTCAATTCCCAGCTTCTCCAAGTAGGGCTGGGAGATCATCTGCCAGCCAGTGTAAACAATACTGAGCTAGAGAGCCCAATGGTCTGGTTTGGTATAAGGCAGCCTCCTTTGATTCTGTCTGTATAGGAAGGAATTCTTGGGGGCAGGTGGAGGATGAATTTTTTCAGTCCCTGGATTCTCTCTTCGTGGGCATTTGGCGTGGAATTTATGAGGCACCTTTGGAAGGATTTCCTAGCTCAGCTGCCTGAGTGGAAATGGTTTTCAGAAATGGTTCTGAGCTGAAATGGTTCTGAAATGTGGTGCCCAGTGATGGGGAGTTGCAGCTGTTGTGCAGCTTTTGGCAATTGCTGAAGATGTGCCGTTTCACCCTGGCCTCAGACACCTGCGATATATGTTTTCAGGCCCCACCCTGTTCCTGTGACTGCAGTTGGCTTTAGTTGTTTTTAATGCTGAATTTAAAATTGTTGTAAACTGCCCTGGGAACTGCTGGTAAAGGGCATGTCGTAAATTTTATTTTTATTATTTCATATGAGCCAAAGCCTGCAACAAAATGTTGCAGCATGAAGTGCTTCAGTTCAGAATTCTAGCCAGCCAGCCATGCCTTCTTCCAGGGTGCTACCATTCTGTCACCCCACTCCACAATTTTTCACTTTCTGCCCGCAAAAGTCAGTCAGCATTCCATGGCCAGATAGATAGCAGGCAATGGGGATCTTTGACCCTCTATATATTTGAACTACAGCTCTCATAATTCCTGGCTATTAGCAGTGCTGGCTGAGGCTGATGAGAGATGGAGTCTATCAACATCTGGGGGTGGGACACAGGTTCTGCATCTCTGGGATATAGGATAGGGTTACTTATTCTGAGACAGTCGGCACAACATTACATATGTCAATTCAGAAGTAACTCCCATCGAGTTCAGTGAGGGTTACTCCCTGGTAAATGTGCCTAGAGCAGCCTGAGATTCTGCTCTAGAGAAGCAATCCTCACCTGCCCGCTTCTCTTTCTTCCCTCAAGCAAACTGCGTGAGTCCGTCTCGGATCCCAGCTGGTTGAAGATCCTGTCAGGGGACTGGTTCTGCGATGTCCGTTCAAAGCGGCACCGGCACAATCATTTTGGCTCAGACATTGTCCGGGCTTCCATCCGTCGCAAGAAGAAACCCAAAGGTAAGGGAGAGAGAAGACCCTCCTCCTGGCTGCCATCCCTGCAGTGCTAAAGTGCTGGTCTCTCTCCTCACACTTCTAAACGGGGGGCAAAAGGGATGTGGATGTATTTAAGTCCACAAGTGGGATGGGGGAGTCTGTGGTCCTTCAGGTGTTGTAGAACAGGGGTGCAAAACCTCAGACCTGTGTGCTGAATGTGGCCCTCTGGACCCCTCTATCTGGCCCTCAGAAGTTTCTCTAGTCACATACCATCTCCCCGAGTCACTCCTCTCACTTGCTCTGCATTACATTCTCCTTGGGTGTTTTTGCCTGGCTAGAATGTGCCCTTGAACAATTAATAATAATCATAATAATATATGTATTACCCACCCTTCACCCTAAGGTCCTAGGGCATGTTACAACATTAAAACACAATATTAAAGACAGTTTAGAATACACACACAAAGATATGTACAAGGCGTGACTGGAAAGTTCAGTGAATGGCCGCAGAAATCGTACAGTGAGAAATATTTGAACATACAATCGGCATCAGAAACCCAGGAAATGCTCACAATTGTGTACTGAGATGAAGCTGTAACTCGAAAGACAGTGTATGAGTGGTTTAAGCGTTTCCGTGAAGGGCGGCAAACCATCGAAAATGATCTTCAGTCTGGCAGACCCTCAACAAGCAGAATGGCGAAAAATGTCGACAGAGTTCATGAGTTATTGATGCGGGATCGGCGTTTGTCCGTCCGAATGATGGTGAAAGAATTGCATATTCCACGTGAAATCGTTAACTGAGGTCACTGAGTTGTCCCACCCTCCATATTCTCCCGATCTGGCCCCACCAGATTTCTTTCTTTCCCCAAAACTGAAATCTGCACTGAAAGGGCACAGATTTTCCAACATTTCACACATCCAAGCTGCTGTGAGGAGGGAACTGAAAGCAGTATGAAAAGAGAACTTCTCCAGAAGTTTCCAACAGTTCTACGAACATTGTCAATGGTGCCTTGTATCAGAGGGGGGCTACTTTGAAGGCCTGTAAGGTATGTATGTTCAAGTATTTCTTGCTGTCCGGTTTCTGTGACCATTCACTGAACTTTCCAGTCACACCTTGTATATGTGTGTGTCTGTATGTAGATGCACACACACACAAACATACACACACAAACATCTGTCTCCTCTTGCTTGCTTGGATGGAGGATAGAGATGGGTGTGTGTTGAAACTAGCCTGCCATACAAGGGTAAAATTTATATTTATTGTCCTGCCTGCTTTTGCCCCTGGCCCTGCCCACCAGTTGCATGTGCCCCCCCCCCGAAGGGAATGCGGCCCTCAGGGGAAAGACTCTTCCTCATCACAAGAGCATGAGAAGAGTGTGCTGGATCAGGCCAATAGCCCATCTGGTCCAGAATCCTCTAACTCCCAGTGGCCACCCAGATGCCTGTGGGAAGCCTGCAAGCAGGACCTGAGCACAGGAGCACTTCCCCCCCTCCCCACATGGCTTCCAACAAGCAACATACGGAGAGACGCAGCTTTTACTTGTCACAAAGCAGGTGAACAGGACCCAAAGCAACGAGCCAGCTTAGGAGACCTGGAGGTGATCAGTGAACCCCCAGCGGAGGAGGAGAACGTGGTGGATGCAGTGGACGGGTGAGAAGCATGGGCAGTTTGGGTGTGTGGACGGGGGGGACCTTGCCTTTTCATTAGGGAATGTTGGCTCCTCCAGGAGAGAGGGTCCAATGTCTAAAAGGAGCCTCTCCACCCCCATCATTATACCCGGACACTGAGGTCCAGCGCCAAGGGCCTTCTGGTGGTTCCCTCACTGCAAGAAGCTACGCCTTCTTGATAGTGGCACCCACCCTGTGGAACGCCCTCCCACCAGATTTCAAAGAGAACAACAACTACCAGACTTGTAGATGATATCTGAAGGCAGCCCTGTCTAGGGAAGCTTTTAATGTTTGAGGCATTACTGTATTTTAATATTGTCTTGGAAGCCGCCCAGAGTGGCTGGGGAAACCCAGCCAGATGAGTGGGGTATAAATAATAAATTATTATTATTATTATTACTAAAAGCTGGTTCTTAGGATGAATAGCATCAGCTGAGGGCCAAATGACATCCTATGTGAACTGCCAGGCTACCAGTCATGTCTGGGGCTTAGAGGGGAAAAAATCAAATCCTTGGTATTAAATAATGAGAGCAGCTTTGTTTAAGGTGGATTGCAGCTTAGGGGTGGTTTTTAGTCAAGATCGCAGCTGGGGAAGAAGGGTTATACTTTATGGAATTCACTGGAACTCAGTTCTGGCCCCTCTCAGGTGGGCGGCATAGCCATTCTAAGAGAACAAGGGAGGTGTTCATGGTAATTTTTGGCACCTCTTTTTCTAGAAAAAAATAGCACTGGTTATACCATCCCTCCCTACTGGTTGTGGTCCTGATGAAAATTGGAGGGGCTTTTGCACCTAGGGTTACCTTTTTAAAATATCCTGATGTGTCTGATAGCCAAGCAGTTAGCATAGCGTACCATTTAACCCTAAACAACCAAGATGGATAAAGAAGATAAATATTTTTAAAGGAGGCAGTGTTTTAGCACAGGACTGGGGAACCTCTGGCCCTCCAGATGTTGGTGGATTACAGTTCCCGTCACTCCTGATTTTTGGCCCTGCTGGCTGGGGATGATGTCAGAGGGGGTGCATTATCTGGACGGGCCAACATCTCCATGATTTAACACAAGAGTTCCAAAACTGTGGTGTGTGGACCACCAGTGCTCTGTGAGCTTCATTCAGGTGGTCCATGGCATGTCTGTGGATTTGAGATTGAAGACAGGATTTGGCACCTGCATCTCATCAAAGGTTCATCTTGATTTTTAAATCTATTCATGTTGCTTCTTTTAGTTCTTAAATTGTGTTTTATGTTTTACAGTATGCATTCTGTGGAATTTGAACTGTAACACAATAACATGCAGTATATAAGGAATAAAGGAAGCAATAAAAATGCCGTCGGAAATCATGCGGCATCTAGCACAGCACATCTACAACAGGCAGAAGAATCATTAAGACCCTAAATAATTTTCAAGTTGTCCATGGGGGCAGATGGGGGAATTTGGGAACCACTGGCTTAATAGAATCTTGTAGCTACAAAGATGAGGCTGCAATCCTAAACCAGTTTACCTGTGAATAAGCCTCAATACCTGCGAATAAGCCTCAATAGCTTCTGAGTAGGCATGTTTAGAATTGCATTGCTTAGCCAAGTTGCTGGGCAAGAGGAGAGGGCAGCAGTGACTGCTGTTTGCCTGTATGTAAGCAGGGGGCAGATTCCTGCAAAGAAATATGGATTTTAGCAAACCAAAGACTGAGTACATGTCTTTATCTCCTTTCTGCACTAGCGGAATGTGTTTGTGATAAGGCTGTGGTCTAAGTTCATCAGAAAGTCAGTGAGCATTAGCTGAGATTGGCGTTGGGTCTTAGAGGCTCACCAAAGATCTGCATGACTTCCAAGTGAATTATCAGCATCCTTTTTTATGTGTAAATGTGTTTATATTTGAATGTATTTTTATTCGTGGTTAAGAATATTGGGAACTGTACTTTACCCCTCAAAGAGCTACAGTTTCCAGCAATGTTAACAAACTACAGATCCTAGGATTTTTCGGGTGTGTGCTTCAAACGTATGAGATAGATGCAGAACTTGCTCCTTGGAGAAAAAAGAAAATAATTTTATGAACCAGAGAGCTTTCACCTAAAGAGGGAAAATCTCTCCATTTCTTCATAGGCTCCCAAGTGAGACAGATCCTCAGACATCCATGTCGAAAGAGACTCAGGTGAGTTCACTTGGCTGGTGGGGTGAGCTTCACTGTGATAACAAAACCTATTTGACAGGGGGGCGGAATAGGAATATAGAAAGCTGCCTTACACCACTGGCCCATCTAGTTCAGTACTGCCTGCACTGATTGGCAGCAGCTGCCCAGGTTTTCAGACCAAAAGGTTAGTACTGCTCAGAGTAGATCAATTGAAATTAATGGGCAAGATTAATTTAGGTCCACTAATCCCAATGGGTCTACTCTGATTTCAGTTTAGTTGGATATGACCCCACGAGTCTTTTCCAGCCCTACCTGCAGATGCCGGAGATTGAACCTGGGACCTTCTGCCCACAAGGCAACAAGCCTTCTCTTCATCTCCCATTTATGGAAGGGCATCTAATATTCCAAGTGGGTTTTGATATTGGGGCTTGTGTTGTGTTTCAAAACAAAAGTCCTGGAGCAGCACCTAGCACATTTTGAACATAAGGAGAGTCATACTGGGTCGCACCAAAGACCTGTCTACTTTTCCACAGTGGCCAATAGTCCTCTCCCACCTGTGTTCCCCATCGACTGGCATGCTGTCTGGAGGCAGGAGATAACTAGCTTGTCTAGCAGCTCTTGATAGCCAGACCTTTAAAGCCTATTTGAAACACATTTTCTGCCCGCTGCCTCAGCAGGAATACAGTAGTACCTCGGGTTACAAACACCTCGGGTTACAGACTCTGCTAACCCAGAAGTAGTACCTCGGGTTAAGAACTTTACCTCAGGATGAGAACAGAAATCATGTGCTGGCGGTGCGGCGGCAGCGTGAGGCCCCATTAGCTAAAGTGGCACCTCAGGTTAAGAACAGTTTCAGGTTAAGAACGGACCACCGGAACAAATTAAGTATGTAACCAGAGGTACCACTGTACTGGAAATTGTAGTTTACTCTTCACAGTCCTGCAGTTCCCAGCACTCTTAACAGATTGTAGTTCCCAGGATTCTTTGCGAGGAAAAATAAAACAAGCTTTTGAACGTGTGTGTGCCGCCTGAGTCAGACTGATGGTCTGTTTGGCACAGCATGGTCTACTCTGACTGGTAGCCGGTCTCCCAAGTTCTGTTGTGGTCCCTGACCTTTTGTCTTAGCATTTTAGCAAGAGATGACGGGTGCTAAACCCGGGGCTTCCTGCATGCAAGTGTGTCGCTGCCACTGAACTGCGGTCTCTGCTTTTGGTTAGACACAAGCTCAGCGGTTTCTGCTTGAGATAAAGGCCAACTTGAGCTTTCCAAATAGTAAATCTATCTTATCTGCCATGTGTGTGTGTGTAAATAACTATCTGTGGCCAGAGCCAGAGCCAAAAAAGGGGTGGGACCTGTTTTCCCTCCTTCCACTGCTTCACTCTCTCTTTCTGCCCCTCCTTGCCTTTCAGGCTGCAGGGAGCAGGATGTGAGGCAAATGTATGACCTGACAGCTTGCAGAAGGCGTTTGAAGATTGGGAGGGGGGGCATGCCCACCTCCAGGGCTGGCCCTGCACATTTTTCAGGCTGAGGAATAGGTCACGGTGGTGCCCCCTGCCCAAATTTCTCCTTCTATGTTCAGAAGGCAGCTGAATTTTAGCCCATACCTTGGCCACATATTTAAAGCGCTCTTATTACCCATTAACAGTAATAGCTTCCCCCAAAGTATCCAGGGAGTTGCCGTTTGTTAAGGGTGCTGAGAATTTTAGGAGACAACCCTATTCCCCTCGCTGGGCTACAATTCTCAGAGTCTCCTGGGAAGAGGGATTGCCTCTGGGAATTGTAGCTCTGTGAGGGGGATAGGGGTCTCCTAACAGCTTTCAGCCTCCTTAACAAAAAACCAAGGGTTTTTAATAATAATAATAATAATAATAATAATAATAATAATAATAAAATAAACCTTTATTGTCACTACACCATCTGTGTGCAGTGAAATTAAACGAGCCCCCCAAGGAGCTGTGCACTTTAAATATATGGTGTGTTGTAACCAGGCTCTTAAATCTGATGTGCAATGAGGTCTCCAGGGTTTGTTAGGTTTGTAGGTGGGCAGCAGCATGGGGAGGGACGCTTGGGCAAAAATGCCTGTGCTCCTTCTCTGAGTCGGCTCGCTTCCTCTCGGCTGCCGTCATCGCTGCCTCTTTTCTTGCCCTCTCTCTGTGTGTCCCACCCACGCAGCCGCCCAAAGGAAGAGCACAAGCACAAACGGGGTGGGTGGGGGGTGGCATTATTCCATCTCCATGCTCTGTTCAGGCTATGAGAGGATTTCCAGGGATTGGCAAAGGGCTCCCCTGCGGGGGTTGGGCCTTGGTAGATGTCTGATGATGCCAGCTCATCCTGACCCTGCCAATAGGTCAGTGGGGAGCAGGCAACAGAATGACACCAGCTGTTGGTGCTCCTGAAAATGTCAAGGCACAGATTTGGCTCCCTGAATGAAACTTCAAAATGAACATGCTTTAAAAACAACAACATCCCAGTTCCTCATTTTGAGAACCAGGCTTCCTAAAACCTACAGGGAGAAGGCGGCTGGTCTTTGTTTGCATTACTCTAAATGCAGAAGGCAGCAGGTTTTTGTTTTTATGTTTTTCACCTACAGATCGTTTGCCTGGGAGGTCTGAGGTGCTTTCATTATCTGTGCTCCTTTGGCATGAGTGTCACAGATCAGCTTTCTGGAGGGATGGGTGGTAGTAATTGATGCTGTTTGCATATGCAGATAAGAATCCAAATACATTTCCTATTATCAGACCATTTGTAGTCATTAAACCCAGCTTGTGGCTTCTCTCTCTCTCTCTCTCTCTCTCTCTCTCTCTCTCTTTCTCTTTCTTTTTAGATGGCTGACTTGACTTTGCAAGATGTGATCCAGTCCCCAGAGCAGATACCTGAAAACAAGCCAGGTAAAATAACAGCATCAACAACAGCATCACACACAGGGTGGTGTTCAGTTACATTTTACTGAAGAGTAGACCCATTGAAATTCAAGGGCCTAACTTTGCCATGTTCATTCATTATGGTGGGTCTACCCTGAGTAACACATAGTTGAATGTCACCCAGTGTGTGTGCATGCGTGAGACAGTGTGTGTGCATGCGTGAGAAAAAGCAGAGGTTAAGCAAACTGGACTATTATTGAGACAGTGATTTCCAAAGTCCCAGGGCAGGTTGCAGCACACTTTAATCCAGTTCTGCCTCCCTTGGCGGCGGCTGAAAGGTGTGTGTGACATGCAGCACAGGGAAGCTGAGGTTCCCAAGCAATTTACTGCCTTGTACAGCATCATGGCTGGCTGAGCCACCCATCAGGAAGACCCTGGTTCAAATTTCACCACAGACCATTCATGGTGAAGTGGCTTGATAACGCCACAGCCTCTTAGCCTCAGTCCTTCATCAGTATTATGGGAGTCGCCTACCAGGTTGTTGCAAGGATAGCAAGAAGACTGTGTTTCTGAAGCTCTTTGGAGGCTTGGAAGCACGATGCCCTGCTATGTATTTGTTCTACTTCAATCTTGCACAGAACTGAGTTTCCCTCCCTCCCCTAATGTCCCTATCTTTTAATGTAGAGAGAAGCGACTCGTTTAGTAGCCTCAGCTCAGAGACTGGAGAAGAGGAGCAGCAGAACAGCAGTGTGCCAGCCATCATGGTCACCATGCAGGTATGAGGTGTTGCTAGGCAAGTGAATAACATCTTCCCTCTGGACCAGGGGTGGGCAACCCACAGCCCTCCAGGTGCTGTTAGACTACAGCTCCCTTCAGCCTCATCCTGCAAAGCTGGTGTCCAGGAATTATGCGAGTTGTAGTCCAGCACTATCTAGAGAGCTACTGGCTGCCCACCCTTGATGTGAGCACTGTGTACTCTAAATAGAGGCCTGAGTAAACACAAGCCAAGTAAAAACTATTGTGTGTCCTAGTGCATGGGACTTGAGACTGGGTTAAGATTTATGTTCTGTCATGGAGAAATTGAGTGGCTGTTTTGTTTATGTTTATGTCATCATAGAATTATAGAGTTTTCTCTACCCCAATTCCCAATCTGGAAAATTGGGTACAACCTGTCCATCATTTGCCCTCACTGAAAGAGTTGAGGGTTGTTATTGTTGTTTTTTTTAAAAATCACTCCTGTGGCACAGAAAGTTCAGCTCTGCCTGCATCATTGGTATTTGAGTAGCTCTCTTACTCAGTGGTGTCCTGCAGCTCAAAAGTCCAGAAATTGCCATTATTAAAAGGTGCTACATTGTAGGAAGGCTGTGAGGATAAGCTCCCGTTTTCCTAATTGTTTTTCTAGAAGCATAGAGTTGGAAGGGACGCCAAGGGTCATCTAGTCCAACCCCCTGCAATGTGGGGCTCAAACTCATGTCCCTGAGGTGCAGAGTCTCATGCTCTCCCAACTGAGCTGTTACCTACCTTGTCTTTTACATCCTTAGAGCAACGAGAGTCTTGAAAATGGCCAGGAAAGCACTTTGGATACATCACCTCCAAAGAACAATGCAGTGGGTTCCCGGAATAAACTGATGAGCACCAGTTCCTCGTTTTCCAGTCTAAGCTCATCCACAGTATGTGACTGGGGAGGGGTGGGAGGAGCAGTGGCTCAGTGACGGGGGCAGCTTTTTAGCATGGGGAATGGAAGAGAAAATATATCGACTTTCACTTTACAATCTGTCAGGGGGCTATCAGGGGAGCAGGTTCATCAACAGGTCAGAAGGGAGACTCAAAAGTCAGCTGTTTTATTCAGGAAATTAGTATACCACAGATATCACTCAGGTACAGCTGCCTTCAGTGAAGGCATTGCCAAGACTGGCTCTTGACACCTCCTCCTCCTTCTAAACCAGAGGTCGGCAACCTAAGGCCCATGGGCCGGAAGTGGCCCATGAGGGTCACTTAACCGACCCATGAGCTGCCCCCGAACCGAGCCGCCTGCTCGGCGTGTCCCTGTGCACTGCGCTAAACCGCTGCAATGCAGCGCGGGGACTTTCTTCCACGGCTCTGGAAACAGCTTCTGCGCATGCCCAGACACACCAGAAATGGCTTCTGCGCAGGCATGATTTTCGGCGTCTGGGCATGAGCAGAAGCAATTTCCGGCGCCACAGACATGCGCAGACATGATTTCCGGTGTTGCGCTGCGCTGGTCGGGCCCACAGAGGATCTCCATGGGAGTGATCTGGCCCCATGCCTTGCCAAACCCTGCTCTAAACCTTTTCCGGATGTCTTCCAAGCAGACACAAATTCTGGAGGGTAGGAGCTCACCCCACCCCACCCTGGGCTTTTCTTGCTTTCTGTTCAGCTATGTGTAAAGTTCTGTGTGACCTTGGAGTCAAGGAACAAGGGGAACTCAATGCAGAGGGACTGGGCAACTGTGAAACTGTTGCCCCTCCTTGTCTTCTCCTTCAGATCCTGAACTCAAATTGTGTCCCTCTGCACCCAGTCCTGTCCTTGGAGGGCTCCCTGCCTCTGGTTCTTCTTCTTCACTAAGCCTCCTGTGCCTTCCACCTCCCAGCTTCCTCTCTCCTCTGATCTGTCTTCTGTGTCCCACCACCAGTCCCCTGGGTCTGAGGCTTCTTCCTCCATGGCTTCCCTAGGGGGTTTCTCAGCTGGAGCCTCCCACCACCCGTCATCATTCCCAGCCAGTTCCAGACAAACGTCCCCCCATTCGTTTTCCTCCCCACCAACCCCACAGTTCATACGATTGGGAAGTGTGCGCAAAAGTGCATAAATGAAAATGACACACACAAATACATTATATTAGGGGAAATTTCTTGGACGAATGTGTATGCTAGGCATTTTTCACATGGACTTTTAAAAAAATGCAAACGGATGTGGAAATGGCGCACACTGAATTTAAGATTGGAAAAATACAGAAACTGAGAAAAGCCAAGAGGTACTTCTGTCCATTGCTAGTCTCCAGGAGGACCCTCTCTTTTGGAAGTAAAAGCACAGATTATTTGTTTTTTAAAAAAGGTAGGGCAGTGAGGGTAGAAGGAGACAAAACTGTACAACGAAAACCATAGAATCACAGAACTGTAGAGTTGGAAGGGACCATAAGGGTCATCTAGTCGAACCCCCTGCAATGCAGGAATCTTTTGCCCAGCATGGGGCTCAAACCCACAACCCAGAGAGTCTCATGCTCTGCCGTCTGAGCTATGCACCCTTTTAAAGGGAGGTTGTCACCTGCCCTGGGATGGCATCCGATTGGTGAATAGAATTTTTTTTATTTCAGAAATCCCTGTGGAAACCCTTAAAATTGCCATTAAGGCTACAGAAAATGAATTGGCTCCAAAGGCCCATCAGGCTTAGATGAATTGATTTCTAGTTTCAGAAGTCAGATTTGCATTTCCCCTCTGCTCACACCAAGGATTTCCCCCCTTTTGTTTCTTAGCGAGTGGCAAAGTAATTTATTGCAACCAAGAGCAGGATTCCTTTGCACAGGGTACACTTGGGAATAATGAGCACTTTTACATGTTCTCTTTCATCTTCGCCTGTGAAGGCTCATTATGGAGAGCTCTGGGTTCATCCCGGATCTCCTGTCCCTCATCCATGCTCTCTGTTTGGATCCTGCCTCTTTTGACCCTGATCCCGCCTGCTTTGTTGCAGATGAGTGGCAGCATGATGAGCGTGTTCAGTGACAACGACATTGGAAATGTGGACGTCCGCGGCTGCATCCAGTTCTCCCTGCAGTATGACTCCAGGAAGAAGGCGCTGCATATTCAAGTCATCCAGTGCCGAGACTTGGCTGAAGCCAAGAAGCAGCGATCAGATCCGTAGGTTTGGGGTTGGGGGGCTTAGAATCGTAGAGTTGGAAGGGACCCCAAGGGTCATCTAGTCCAACCCCCTAAAATGTAGGAATCGCAGCTGAAACATCCATGACAGACCACCATCCAACCTCTGCTTGCTCTTAGCTGTCACTTGTCAGCTTCCGTGCAACTCCCTTGATCTATCCAAGCAGCACAACTATTGCAGGTGGGTTTTTAGAGCAGGTGCAGGGAACACCAAACCCAGCGGACAAATGGGGCCCTCAAGCCCTTTCTGTTTGGCCCTCTCCCCAGACCACACCTCTCCCTGGCCCTGCTTTGCACCCCAAGAGTTTTTGCCTGGCTGGAATGTCTGATGACACCTCTTGCTTGTCTGGATGGAGCATATGTGATTGCATGTAGAAATTAGCCTAGCTAGCACACCAAAGTAGCATTAACACCACTGCTCTTCCTTCTTCCTCCCAGGTACGTCAAGTCCTATCTCCTTCCTGACAAATCCAATCACAGTAAAAGAAAAACTGCTGTCAAGAAGAGGAGCCTAGATCCCATCTTCAACGAGACCCTTAAGGTGAGGGTTGTGAGAGCACTTTAAGGAGGATGTGGATGAATTCAGGCCCGTGCAGAAAGAGGGGCAGCCAGGTACACTTGCCCTGGGCCTTGGAGGGCTAAGCTGGCAGGGGGGCCTTGCCAGGGGCCTGCTGGACTTACATTGTCATGCCAAGAATGCCCTGTTTTTCCCAGCCGATGGGGGACTCCTGCCCTGGCCCTCAGACAAGCTCTGGATGGGCCTGGGTGAACTGGAAAGGGTTCAGAGGACTGCAAGGAAGACAGGCAGTGGGGTATGGGAAAAGAGTCCTGTGAGGATGGGTTGAAGGAGCTGGGCATGTGTAGCCTAGAGAAGGGAGTGTTAGACAGGGACTAGGATACCACTCTTTAAATACCCAGACTACCCCCAGGCAAAAGAGGACTTGGTTGCCCCAGGCGGCAGGACTATATCTTATGAACTTAACTTGCAGAAGGGTTGATTAGGCTCGTTCCCATTGTTTTGTTTTGTTCTCCCTTTTCTTGCTTCTCTCCTCTTCCTGCCCTCCTGCAACATTCCTGGCTTTGCAGTACAAGATTGAGAAAGCTGACCTGCAAGGCCGGATCCTGAACCTCTCTGTCTGGCATCACGATGCCTTGAGCCGAAACCTCTTCATGGGAGAAGTGGAGATTGCGTTGAATTCCTGGGACTGGAGCAACACGAGTCCTCAGTGGTACAACCTCCAGCCTAGGGTAAGTTTCCTCCATACAGAAATTGCAAAATGATATAAACGGCTCTGTCGTAAGACAAACGAGCAAAACTACAGCAACCAATGGTCCTGGCAACACCCTATTTCCCTCACCCTATTTCACTGGTGGCTGCTCACACATTTTCCCTGTTGCCCCGCTCCCTCATTTTTAGCTTACTAGGGTGCTGCTTTATACTGAGTCCAACCATGGCTCTGTCCAGCTCAGCAGGGACTGGCAACGGCTCTCCAGTGTTTCAGGCCAGGGTCCTCTTCCAGCCCTCTCTGGCAACCACAGAGGTTGGGCCTGGAACCTTCTGTGTTTGGAGCAGTTGCTGTGCCACTGAGCTATGACTGTGCCCATTTGGACACCTCTTTTGCGAGCAGAGTAACTGGAAGAAAGCAGACAGTTCAGGGAGAAAAGAAACTGGTCACATTTTACCACTAGCAAGCTGAACAGAAAATGGGGCTTGTCTTTCCTAGGTCAGGGGGGAAACTCCTCTGAACAACCTTTTCCTCCCATCTCCTCCAACTTTCAGGTCTCAATCAACTTCTGGCTTCAAATTCTTCTTCTTCTTCATTGACAGCTAACTCCCAGACTGGCTCGAACTTGCAGCCAATTGGAGTCTGTGGTCATCCAGACCAATTACAGAATTATCCTTGTGTCATCTCTACTTTGTGCTTCCAGCACATTTAATGCAAGGCTGGGCAACACTGAGGGACCCGACTTGGGGGGGGGGCAGGATTTGTGTGTCTGTGTAGTGGGGTGCAAGCTGGAAGTGGGCACAGCCATAGCCTAAAATGGGTGGGGATGCCTTTTTTTCTCTCAGGCATAGGCTTTATGCCACATTGAGAATGAACTGAGCCCTGGTTTCCCATTTGTTTTGCAAGCAGCGTTGGAAATGTCACCTCTCCCCAAAGCTAGTTCACCAGGCTCATGCAGTGCGGCAGGTAGATTGTGGAGGTGGATGGGGGGGGTTAGGACAGCATAACTGGATCTGCTGCACTGAGTGCTGAGCCTAGGGGGAGCCACAGGGTGTCGCAACTGTGAAGTAGTGCATTGAGCAGAACGGAAGATGAGAGACCGGGCTGCGGGTGGGCAAGGTCCACCCCTGAGGTAGAGCACAGCCATGGTGGCTTGTAGCCACTGGAAGCCTTATCCTCCGTGAGTTCGCCTCATTCCCTTTTAAAGCCGTCCAAGCCGGTGACGATCGCTGCGTTTAGCAATTCCCTGGCGGCGTTTCCTCAGAGGGTGTGCCTGTGAAGGGCTCAGTGCAGTGCAAGTCATCCCTGCAACCCAAGCAGCAACTGTGCTTATTATTCCACAATAGTCAAAAGGGCTTGCTGCATCAGTAAGCTGGTGCAATCAGTGTCTGAGAGCCGTTGCATAAACCCCCACAAACTGTTACATTGTTTTTCTCCCCACCCCAAATGCACCTCTTCCTCTTGAGCATTTCAAAACCTGCTTCTGGAGAATCACCCAAAACAATACTCAGACACCACTCAGGGCTGGGCCTGTCCCATCACTGCGTCTTAAACTAGAGGGTGATTCAAGCTTTGTTCTCCTTTCTTAAACATCCAGGGCTTTTTGCTGCTGTATGGGTCAGCAACTGAAGGCCCAGGCCCAATCTTGGCTCCTCAAGGGGCATCTCTTGGCTTCAGAGCTGCCGACACTAGAGGAGGCAAAAGAATGCTCTTTGTGTTTATTCTTCTATCTATCTCCCATCTTTCCTCCAAGAAGCTTCAGTTCTCCCCCCTCCCCATTTTCTCCTCACAACAGGCCTGTGAGGTAGGTTAGGCTGAGAGCTGGTGAATGGGCTGCCCAGTGGGCCTCATGGCTGAGTGGCTGCTCTGAGCCCTGGTCTCCCAGCACTCAAACCACCACAACAGATTCTCTGGACTGAATAGCAACAGGAGTTGCAGAAAGAATGTTAGAAAGTGGGTGGCTTTGAAAGAACGCGGGTCAAACTTACGGAGCATAAGTATGCTTCAGAGCACCAGTCATCGGAAATGGCAGGATGGGAGAGGCCTCCTGCACTCAGGTCCCACTTGCAGGCTTCCCATGGGCATCCTTGGTTGACCACAGGATGCTGGACTAGATGGGTGACTGGCGGGATCCCACAAGACTCTTCTTACATTCATCTCAAAGAGTAGCAAGGGGGAGCCTTAGTCCATCATTCCACATGCCTTTCTCAATATGGGCCTCCAGCAAGCACCGTACTCCAGCAAGGATATTATGTGTTTATGTGATAAACCAGGTCAGATCATTGGTTCTCCTAGCCTGCTGGCAGGGTCTCACGCAGAGGTCTGGAGATGCAGGGGACTGAGCCAGGGCAGACGCACAGCAGGTGTCCTGCCAGTGAGCTCCTCCCCTTAAAGGGTGACATTAGATGGGAGTCTGAGCCTTGACTTTGCACCCTTTGAGATGCCCCCTCTGAGAAGTCTAGTGGCTACACAGGGTGCCATTTGCCTTTCCTGAGTTTCTTCCTTCCCTTTTCATTTTAAGAATACGCTAATAGCTTTCTGTGCATATAGGAAACCACTTTATACCGAGTCAGCCCAGTCTAGCTCAATACTCTGACTGGCAGCAGCTCTCCAGTATTCCAGGCCAGGGACATTGCTTGCCATACCTGGAGGCGCCAGAGATTGAAGCCAGGACCGTCTGCATACAGGGTGGATGCTACTTCCGCTAACCTACAGACTGTCCTCTACTTTCTTGGTTGCAAAATGTTTAATGCAAGATGTTCTATTGACCATGCAGGAACCTCCCATGTGGGTGTTGCTGTTCCGTCACAGAGGGAGGAAGTGACACAGAAGGTTTTCTCTCCCCGCTCCCACCTTTTGTGATGGATTTCCTTTGCTTCTTTCCCAGACCCCAGTCACTCCTGATGCTCTCTGCAGCCGTGGCATCCTCAACCTGGCACTGAAGTTCATCCCGGCTGGATCAGGAGGTGAGATCAAGGCCCTGTTTCTTCCAGACCTCCCAGCAGCAGCACCACCCTCTGGGTTTTTGGATTGGGGTGGGAGGATTTCTGCAAGCCCCCCCTCTCCCCGGTAGACATTAGCCCAATTTGACTTGGCGGGGGGGAGGGGAGAATCCTTAAAGAAATAATGGGAATCAGCCAGCCACGAACCAAACTGATGTTCCAGAATCTAAGACTTAAGTGAGAGGTGCTGGGAGGTGAGAGGCGGGGGGAAGCTGGAGGAATCCTAACTTCCTTCAACCCTATAGAGCAGGCATCCCCAAACCCAGCCCTCCAGATGTTTTGGGACTACAATTCCCATCACCCCTGACCACTGGTCCTGTTAGCTAGGGATGATGGGAGTTGTAATCCCAAAACATCTGGAGGGCCGAGTTTGGGGGTGCCTGCTATAGAGGCTTGTAGACAGAAAAGTCTTGAGGATGGAAGATCTGCCGTGTACATTGGGTGCCCAGGTGAGTTGTTGTTGCTGTCCTGACGGCAAAGGAATTCGGTTGGTCTGATGTCTTTGCGAAGAAGACATGCCAAATGTTCACCTGCCATTTCTTTGCCTTTGCCTATATTAGCTGGACTATTGGAAGCCCAAAGCAATTTTGTTTATTATATTTACATATCACTCATCCATCCATTTTCCTTATTGCACAGTTCAGCAGAGTAACTTGTAAAAAGGCTAGAAAAGGGGAGAGAAGGAAAGAACAGGCAGATGAATTATAGCCTGATAGAATCAGGGAATGGAATGTCCCAGAGAGGTCCTGATGTGGCTACAGCCCCATTGGCCTAAATTGTGTTTTGAGGGATTATCTGAACTGGGCAATTATTTATTTGTTTCAAATGTGTGTGTGGAACATAGGAATCTGCCTTATACTGAGTCAGGCCTTTGTCTGCCTAACTCAGTGTTGTTCACACGGAGTGGCAGCAACTCTCTGGGGTTTCAGGCAGGGTTCTCTCCCAGCCCTACCTGGGACCTTCTGCCTGCAGGGCAGATGCTCTCCAACCAAGATATGGCCCTTCCCTAGGGGTATTGCTGTTCTTCTGGTATTCACGGCGCCTTGACAAAAAAACCCTCAAAAAAACATTGGTATAATAAAAACCAAATGCCAGAGTTAAAATCGAGAGAACAAGGTAGCATTCTACATAAATAGCAACCATAAATGCGGCAGTTTGGCTAGGAGCAGACAGATCAACCCAGCAGAAGACTAAGTAAATAGTCTTCTAGTAAATTGCCCGATACTCAAAGGTAATGACAAAGGCATCAAGCAGATCTCACTAGGGAGGGATCTAGTCCATCTTCATGAAACTACAGGACTGGTCACCTACCTAACCTCTGCAGGTATGGTCTACCTCCTCTCAGTGATGTCAGCTGCTTGAAAAGGTTCATATGGGGTCAAGTGACCTTCCAAGTACACTGGTCCCAAGCCACTTAGGGTAGAGGTGGAGAACCAGATATTTTTGGGACTCCCTTAACCCCGGAGTAGCATGGCTAATGGTCAGGGTTGACAGATATTAAATTCCAGCAGCATTTGGAGACCACAAGTCCCCCACCCCTGATTTAGGGATTTAATCATCTTAAGAACCAATAGCAGTTTAATCTGTCTTGGATCCAGCTGTCAGCAGGAGATTCCAGCTACCAGCAGGATTGATTCTAAAATTCGGTAGGTGTTGGGTTGGAAGAGATGGTGCTTGGCCTCTGAATCCACCTTCATTGTCACGGCTTTCTTTCAGGGGAAGGGCTTCCTCCCACTGGCGAGCTTCACATCTGGGTGAAGGATGCGCAGAACATCATTCCCCACCGGGGCAGCACAGCAGACTCTTTTGTTCAGTGGTAAGTGCCTGTTGCTGTTGGGTCCCTTCCACATGACCTGTCTATTGAGCATGCATCCTGATCTGTTTGCAGAGTTTACAAAGGGGAGCTCAGTCAATGCCTGTTATTTATTTAGCATTCATTCTGACTGGTGTGCGTTATGCAATGTTGCATCAAGCCGTTGCCATCCCACATTTCCCAGTGAATTTCGCCATCACTTTCCTTGTTGCAAAAATCCTGATTTTGGGGTGGGGGTGGGGAAGCGGGTTTGTTACAGCCAACAGAACCAAATCAGCTTTTAATTAGGCAACCTGGATTTGCCAGGATGTGATTGGATCCCATCAATCTGGAATTGTCCTTAAGCCCTCTTGCAGTGGGGAAGGGGCTAGGGTTAATGGAGGGGAAGGGGTGGTTCAAATGCTAAGCAGGGCACTGTATGCAGCCTGATGTATAGTTACAAGAGCACGTTTCCCGCTTTGGACTCAGAGTGGGCAATCACAGTTTGGTTTTTAGAATGAGCTCCTTGCCTGTAGAAAGCCAGCACAGCAGGGACACAGCTCTGGTGAGCCTGCTCTCCTTGCCTGGCTAGTTTTCTATCTGCAGGGAGTCATTTTGTTTCTAAGGAGGGACCTTCTGAACTGCAATCCATCACCTGCACTGGGTTCTCTCCTGGTCCTACCTGACGATGCAGGGCTTGAGCCTGTGACCACCTGCAGTCAAAGCAGATCCTCTGGCCACTAGGCTTCAGAACCTTCCTTGTCTCCCCTTGCAGCTACATCCTCCCCGACGACAGCAAGGTGAGCCGGCAGAGGACCCGCATCGTGAAGAAGAGCCTCAGCCCCACTTTCAACCACACCATGGTTTATGATGGGTTCCAGGCCAAGGACTTGGCTGAGGCATGTGCAGAGTTCACCATCTGGGACCAGGAGACATTCTCTAAGCAGCAGCTCGGAGGCATCCGGCTCAGCCTTGGCACCGGTGAGGTAGCAAAGTGTTGTGGGAATGTTGGGTTTTGAGTTTTAGACTGTTGAGGGTTGGGTGGGTGTGTATTGAATCTGCACCTTATTGAGGGAAGGAAAATGAGCCAGGTTCTGGATTCCAGATTAGAGGGGGGCCTTAGTACAATGTCCCCAATCCCTCAGTTGGGTTATGTAGGCCTGGTGTCAAACAGTAACAGAGTTCCAGTTGGCAGTGGAGAGGGGGGCCAGGGACTCTTAACTTTCCACAATGGCTGAGAGTGTTGTGGGAATTGTGGGAAATTTAAAGGGTGCTCCCCCAGAGTATTGAGAGTATTGGAGGGGAAACAGTTTAATGGAGAGGTGGGCAGGACAGAGGGTGCCCAGAAATGCCACGTTCTGGTGCCTTGCAATACACCTTTCTGTCTGATGGTCACACAGGGAACAGCTACGGCCTGCCCGTCTCCTGGATGGATTCGACGGAAGAGGAGCGCCATGCCTGGGAGATGGTGTTCAAGCAGCCTGGGCAGTGGGTGGAAGCGAGTCTTCCCTTGAGGACCAACTTGAACCCTAGGACCTAATCCCAAACTACAGCAGGACACCCGTTCTTGGAGTGATGGAGGAAAAGCTGATCGGCTTCCCTAGCAGCAGCCTCCTGGATGCAAATGAACAGGCCCAGAATCTCTGCAGGACTTGCAACCACAGTGGTTTCTGAAGGGCAGCCCCTGGCAGAGGGACAATAGATTTGGTGCCAGGAGCCCATGGGCAGGTTCAGCCTGGGCTGGCTGCTCTCCCAGACTTAAGGAGGGAGGTGAGCAGGTCTGACTCTTAAAAAGGACTTCTTTGAAGGCCTTGAGATGGTTTTCACACTGTACTTTAGGGGACACCAAAAGATGCCCCATGACAAGAACCATGCTGTGGCTACATCCATCTTCAATCTCTGTCCATCTCCTCCACATGCTATCAACATTGACAAGAGGCAGTGTCATGCTTTGTTTAAAAAATTTTTATTTACTTCCTCCACCCTGGGCATTGCATTTCCATCCTTGTTGGTATTACGGCAAAACCTGAACAATCCCACCGTTTCCTTTCTGCCGTCCAATGGAACACCCAGAGTATCATTTCCCAGCCTCAATGGCTGCTACACTAATGACTCCTGGAACTGTGTTTTCTGCAGCAGGCCAGAGACGAATCGCCATCCAGCACTGCCGTGAATGATGCAACCAGGGCTTTTTCCACTGTTGACTCTGAAGCGACCTCCCACCCCTTGCAGGGTAGCTCAGAATCTCCCTGCCTCTCTTCCTCTGAAATCCAGGTCACAGGACAAAGCACCCTTTGTCTTCCTTTGTCTCAAGCCGAGAGAGAACTGCCGATTTTTGCAGTGCCACAGAAATCGTCTCCTCCAGACGTGATTTGCTTGAGGTGCCAGAATAGACCAGTACCACCTTCCCCATCACCAAGGGATAAATGGAAACTCAGTTCACATCACCTCTGTGTGAGGGCAAGTCTGGAATCTGCTTACTGCTGGGGAAGAAGGTCTATGCCAACCAGATCCTGCTGTCCTCCAAGCAGATTAAGGGCTTCCCTTGGCCTGGCTCTTGCTCTGCTTCGGGCTGTAACTTCTGGCTGAGTGTTTGCCGATGCTCCGAGATGGCTTTCCAGAGGCGGCACACCATCCCCCCTCTGCCAAGACAAGACCATGGAAAGATTCAGATGGTGAACATGCTATATTGCGCCTCTCGGGTCGTTGAGCCGACGTGACTTGCAGTGCTCCAAGTGACAGGGCACAGCAGATCACTGGAAGACGCTATCCAAACACCTGGACCACTCAGAACCCAACTAGAGACAAGGGGTGATGCTTTGTACACAACTTGAATCAAGTGCCTTAACTTGTCAGCTGCTGCTTCCTAAGTAGCCTCCATGCTAATGGTGTTTCAGCTTTATAAGAGGTAGCAGCACTTGGGTTGCAGTCCCTCCGAGCAAGGATACTCAGGCTCCAGGCCTTCCTCCCGGGCTAACTGCAACTAAATTCTGTAACTATAATAAATAGCAAAAAATAAACAAATTCTGCTTAAAATAATCATGCGGGCAGAAGTTTGGATTTTATTTTTTTTAATCATGGGCTCAGTAGAGTGGTGAGGAGGGAGGGCTGCCTTTTGGGGGAGAGGAGCCAATATAAGTGCCTTACTAGATCTGATGACGACTCTTCTGTGTTGTGTTGAAAATGGAGCCAAAACCACTCAGGGGAACAGCGGAATGTAATTATGCACTGTCCTCTCTCAGGAAGTTGTGCACAGGGAAAACACACGGCTGCCCCGTGGACTCCGCATCTGCAGCAGCCCCATTTGAGTGCTCTATTAAAAAGCACAGAGGAATGCATTGCGCGAAGGCAGCCGTTGACACACCGCAGAGACTTCAGTGAGGAAGGTACAGATCTGGGAAGTCCATTTTGCAACCTAGACCCAATGAATTTCTTAATTGCCCCTACCTACCCCTACCTAAGCTGCCTCTCACCTACCTGATACGGGTATACCGGAGGTCGTCAGGCGTAGCACAGTTGAGCAAGTCAGGCAGGGTGAAGCCATGGTGTGAGAGCTAGGAAAGAGAGACATACAATTGCTTTAGCTGTGGCTGGTCAGAGAACAGGGAAGTTGACAGACACCTACCCACTCCAGAGAAACCACCTCTCTGGCTGAGAAAGGTAATGGAAGTGGAGAAGAGTGTTGTGCACTTATTCTTATTATTCTTATTTATTTATTCTTATTAACTGTCTATACTGCCCTTCATCAAAGGATCTCAAGGCTGTTTACAATATAAAACCACAAAAATACATAATGCAGTCACAAACCAAAACCATATCTCTCCTCAGTTTAAAAGGCCAGAGATAGTTTAATTAGCCACAGAGAAATATTTTCGTGTGGCACCTAAAGAGATGTAATAAAGGCACCAGGCGAACCTCCTCGGGGACAGCATTCCACAAATGGGGAGCCACCGCAGAAAAGGCCCCGACTCTCACGGTGGCCAACCAGCTGCTTGTAGAAAACGCCCACTTGTGATTCCCAGCAACTGCTTCTGACTATGGAGTCAGTACATAGACACCATGGTGAGTAGCTGTTGATAGCCTAGCTTCCCATAAGTTTGTGTAATCCACTTTTATGGCCATCCCCACTAGTGACCAACACCACATCCCGTGGGAGCAAATTCTCTAGCTTGCGTGAAGAGTAACTTCCTTTTGTCTGCCCTGAGTTTCCCAATGTTCAACTTCATTGAACAGCCCCAGGTTCTAGTATTATGAAAGAGGGAGAAAAACCTTTAATCTATTTTTTTTCTACACCATGCATGGCTTTACACACACCTACTACGTCCCCACTTACTCACCTTGCCCCTGCCTGCCCAAATTAAAAAGCCCCAGAACTTTTATTCACGGGGGAGTTGCTCCAACCCCTTGATAACTTTGGCTGCTCTTTTCTGAAACTCTCCCAGCAATAAAATGTCCCTTCTGAGTTAAGCCAACCCAATGACATTCTCTTCCCCACCCCCTACCAACTGCATTTAAAAACAGGCACTTCTGCCTGGAGGCTGGGCCAAACCATAGAGCCAGGAGCTGATGCTTAAAACGCCCCCCTCCAAAAAGGAATCTACCGTTGCAATTGTGGCTTTGTCAGCCCCGTGTTTTTCCAACCACTCTGCGAGGACGGGGTCTGCAGTCTCTTCTTCTTCTCTCTCCCAGGAATGCATTGGGGAAGTAGTGTCTCCTGGGAAAGCAGGTGAAAAAAGGAAGAGGTTTTTTAAAAGGTTTCTTCAGTGCCTTGTGTGATTAACTTCTGCTTCCTAAAACCATAAAGCATGATCTTCCCACAGCACCTTGCTTTAGGTGCATTTTGGTTCTGAAAGGCACCCAAACTGGCACCTTGCAGGGAGTCGGGGGAGAGAATGAGATGATGGGACAGTGGGCTAAAGATGCCACACGCAATGTCTTGCCTGGAGAAGAGGAAGAATGAAGTGTGTATCTGTGTGTGAGCGCACGGAGACATGTGCACAGGAGTGTGGAAGAGGACACAACTATCACTGCATATCTGTGTGTGATGTTGCACAAGCACAGAGCAGGATACTGGTGGCAAGGGCTGCTGCCAGTCAGTGTAGACGGCACCAAGCTAGATGAACTAACAGTCTGACTTGGCATAAGGCAGTTTCCAATGTTCCCATGGTTTCAAAATTAGGCTTTTCTCAATTTTTGCAGGGTATATAATTTCAACTTGTTTAGCACAGAGGTTGCATAGCTCTGCTTACAGCTGAGCCTCCTGGTGCCAGTGACCTCACCTCTCAGCTTGGCTCCTCTTAGAGCCCAGGAATCGGCTTCCACACTCCACAGTGCCTCCTGCAGAAGCTTCTGGCATTCCCGCTCCTTCTTCATCAGCTCCCACTGCAGCCTGGCAGGGCCAGAAAGGGTTAGAGAGTGAACTTGCTTGCAAGTGCATGCATAAAAAGATTAGAGTGGGGGTCAGATTGTTCTGCTAGCGTGTCCAACTGCAAAAAAGTAGGTTGCATTTGAGATTTTGGTGTTCCTGGCTGCCAGGGCAGTCACATCCTCTGCCCTAGAAATTCTCATCCTACTGAGGAGGAGTGGCTGGGATTAAGCCCAAGTGATGTGTGGATTCCGCACATGCTCAGACACACTCTCCTTTAACACTACGACACATATTTCAAAGGCCAAACATTGGCACTGAAAACAGATTGCTGTGCTTTACAGCTTCTGCGGCTGGGCCCTGAATGTAGCTGCATAAGACTACCCTGTGCCAGTGAGTAGTCAACCTGGTGCCTGCTGGATGTTGCTGGACTATTTCCATCATCCCTAACCACTGAGGTCACTGGCGAGAGTGCTGCTGTGCTCAGGTTCCTCTGGTAGGCTTCCCATCAAGGCATGTGGGGACTCGATGGGCCTTTGACCTGAACCATCTGGGTTCTCCTTATGCCGCTAATGGACTTGCTTGCCGGGGCTGGTAGGAACTGGACTCCAGCGACTATCGGTGACCACCATTCTAACACACAGCAGGAGGAGCCATTGTGATGCTTCCTTGAGATGCTGCTGGACTCCAGCTCCCATCAGCCCCAGCAAGCATGCCCAACGGCCAAGGATGATGGGAGTTGTAGTCCAACAGAATCTGGAGGGCGCCAGCTCTGCTCTAAAGCCCTCAAAAAATGGGGCAGAGGCCTGTTGACCCTTTGCTGCTTACCCCACCCCAGCCTAAAGGAGGGAAGCCAGAAAGGGCTTACCTTCTTGTCTCCGCCTGCAGCTCATTCAGCTGAGCCATGAGAGGCAAACGGCCATTCAGGGAATGCTGGGAGTCTATCCAGCTGCTGCTGCTAGTGCCGATCCCAGAACTTGGTGTGTCCATGCTGTCCTTGAGGGCAAGGTCCTGGCTTTTCAAAGACTGCAGCTCCTGGGGCAACAGACTCTCTTCCTCCTCATGGCTTGCGTGTTCGTGGCCTTCCTCCCGGGAGGACCACGGCTTCACCTTGAGTTCTGGAAAGGCAAAATGTGTGTGATAGTAGAGGGGCGAAGGGTGGGCAAGGCGGTTGCCCAACATAGTGGCAGACAGCGGTGATTCCACAGCTCAGTGGTAAGAGCGCATGCGTTGGCATGCAGGAGGACCCCAAAGCTGTTCCCTGGCACCTTCACTCAAAAAAGCACATTCCCAACTGTTTGTGCCAGGAACACACACAACACACACACATCCTGTGTCACCACCTGGGAGACCGTGGTTCAAATCCCCACTCAGCCATGCAGCTCCTTGGGTGACCTTGGGCCAGTTACTGCCTCCCAGGATAAAACGAGAAGGGTGAGAACCACAAACACCACCTGGAGTTCCTCGTATGAAATGACAGAATATGAATGCAATAAACATTCTTCTTCAGCTCCTCAGACCCAGGGTATTCCAGACTGTATTCAGAGTGAGCCAACCTTCTATTCCACCCATTTCTCCTACCTGTCAAGAGGATGGTGAAAGCTGCCTGGACCGCCTGCCCCATGAGGTTATCCAAGGCGAACACCCAGTGAGGCTTGATCTGGAGCTTCCGCAGCGCCTGCTTTACCTGTGGAGGTGGGAGACAGAGAGGAGACAGGCTCAGGATGCACTGGGCCTCCTTCCTCTACTTAGCTCTCTAGGCACTCCCCGCCCTTGCCATTCTGGCTTCACCAAAACACTGAATATAGTTGCCCCAGAGATGGCGGTTGAGGGGGTTGAGGGGGAGGACTTGTGGACTATCTAGTGCAGGGGTTATTAATCCTTTTTGGACCAATCAGCACATTTTGAGAAAGTGCTGTGGCCTGCATTTTGAATTTTATTCCTGCCCTTTGAGATGGTAGCTATCCCTCCTTCCTTTGTCTTATCTGCAAATTTGGTAAGGGTTCTGTCCATCTAAGACCATCCTGGTGTGATCCATTTTTCTTAACTAGATCCCTAAGACCCATCAACTGCAGCCAAGAGCTGGGTCAGTTGAGCAGACATACACTTCAGCATTATGGGGAGGATAAAAGGTACCCCTGAGCACATGCTGAGGAATTTGAGGAGCAAGCTCTCAGCCTTTCTGCAGGCAAAAATCACTCCGGCCTCCCTTCCAAGTTTTCTTCATTTTAAACATGCAGAGATGAAACAGCAGCAACAGCTATAAAAAAATCTAACAGGCAGCAGTCAGATCCTGCGGCCCTTCAGATGTTGCTGGACTACAACTCCCATGACCGCTGAGCCATGCTGGCTGGGGCTGATGGGAGCTGGAGTCCAACAGAATCTGGAGGAGCACAGGTTCCCCATCCCTGGAGTGGTAAGGTGGAAAGAAAGAAAGCTGGATATTTATGATGCAGCCATGTCCATGTACAGAACTGAAACAGTCCTGAAGCAGTCAGCTCCCTAGACAATCTTACTAGGCTACGAGTGATCACCAAAGAAGCTATATAGACACCCTCCAGTGCAAATATATATGATGCTTGTGCTGTCATGCTAGAACTTTCTCAAAGCCCGGTAAGTGCTTGCCAGGCTTCAGGAAGGAGGTGTGAGGGCTCTGGCAGGGTCCTAGGGGCCTCCTTCCTAAAGCTGGGCAAGGGCTTACCAGACTTTGAGAAGGAGGTAGGAGGGCTCTAGGACCTTGCCAGAGCCTTGCGCCTCCTTCCCAAAGCCCGGCTTAGGCTGATGCTGTGAGGGAATTAAATGGCCTCGCAGAGGGCAGCATATTACCAAGGTCCACCCCTGAGCCCAGGGCGGCTTCTGGGCATTGCAAGGGAACACAGAAGACACTTTTCATGAGGGATCCCAGCCGCACCGACCCAAGCCCACTTACGGTGTCCTGGAAGGTGAAGAGGGGCGCTTGCAGCTGACAAAGGCTTAGGCCATCTGCCTGCAAGCTGGTCTGGATTTGGAGCAAGTCGTGAGCCAGCTGCTTGCGGTTGGGGGAGCGGATGTATCTCTTGAGGCAGGAGACCAGCTGGGAGATGTGGTCCAAGGAGACTGGGCTCTGAGGGGAAGGCGAAGAAGGAGGCCAGGCCTGGAGGAGAGACACAACCGGAAACAAAACAGAACAGAGCTGAGCTGAGGGCCAGGGGAAAAGCCATGGCACTGTGCCTATTACCAAGTGTGGGAATTCTGCTTTGCCTCTGTTTATCATCTCTCCTGCAGGGATGGGATGAGGGAGGCGCTGCAGCCCAGAAACATCCGGAGGCCTGCAGATTCCTCACCCCCCAAACTAAAAGCCAGTGTGGCGTCACAGCTGGCATATTGGGCCTGGGAGACCAGAGATCAAGTCCCTGCTCAGCCGTGAGAAATTCACTGGGTGACCTGGGGCCAGTCACAGTCTCTGAGCCTCACCTACCTCACAGGGTTGTTGTGAGGATAAAATGGGGAGGAAGAGAACCACGGATGCCACCCTGCGCTTCTTGGAGAAAAGGTGGGATATAAATGCAAGAAAGAAAATAAATTGCACACGCCTTTCAGTTCCCCCTTTGCTCTGGGACTTGACGTCCAGTGGCTACCCTACAATATTCATAATCAAAGGTCGGGTGGCAGAAATGCTGCAGTTTCTCCCACGCCTTCCCTGGAGGTTGCTGAAGACCTGCACGCCCTGAGGGAAGGCAGAAGCAAGGGAGCCAGGCCAGGGAACACACACACCAACAGCTCCCAGCTGGCAGGAGAAGACTCTGCCAGTTTTCTTTTTTATATAATGTATTTGTTTTCATGTTTAAACTGTAAGCTGCCTTGGCAGAAAGGAGCTATATAAATCCAGAATAAATAAACGTGCTCCCAACACAACTTTTGTAAGAATCCACAGGGAGGATGGGTTTTATTCATTTTCCATTTGTACATTTGGGGCTGAGGAAGGAAAGAGGAGACCCCTCCCCCCCCCCGCAAGGTCGGGATTTGGCAACGCTTTAATTCAGCCTTCCTCAGCCGGGTGTTTTTTTGAACTACAACTCCCATCAGCCTCAGCAAACATGACAAACTGCCGGGTATATTGGGAATTGTAGTTCAACAACTGTCTGGAAGGCCCCAGTTCCTGAGCCCACAAAGGCCCGAGCGGTGCTTACCTCATCCTGGGCCTCAAAGAGCGCGGCAGAAATGCTGGGCAGCTCCTCTGTCAGGACCTTGTGGAGGGTGGCTCTCCGCTCGCTATCCTTCCTCAGCAAGAACAAGCAGCCGCTCTCCTCGTGGGAGGAAGAGGAGAGGCTGAGGTCAACATTGAGCAGTTCCTCAGGGGCCCTGTGTAGACATATAGCAATTGAGGGGATGGATCCCGAAGGAACATTGGCTGGGGATGGAGGGGTGGGAACGCTGCCACTCTGGGGCAGCTGGCAATGTGAGCCATCCGTGAGAATGCAGGTTGTGCTGAATTCTTACCAGAAGCACAGATAGGAAACCTCATTCAGAATGAGGGCTGCGTTCCCTTCGGGGGAATCTTGTGGGGGCCACTTGCCAGAGCAACAAATGAGACTCACCAGGCAAGCAAGAGGCATTGGAACCAAGGCCAGTGAGAGGTACCAAAGACCAGACTAAGGATTCTCAGGCCATATCTCTCAGCGACCTGAAGTGCTTTTGCCCAGTTGGAATGTGTCTTTGAACTGAGACAATGCCCTTTTTATATATATATAAAAGAAATTGCCAAATTATTCAAGGTGTGCAAGGGAGCACAAAAAGCCCTGAGATGGCAGTGGATCTGACCTTAGCCACCCCTGCTTTAAATTATTTCTGTTGTCATTTGGAAGTGTGTGGACATTGCAGTATCTATCGTGAGGACCTGTGGAAAATATTAGGAACATGTGACCCTCCAGATGCTGTCTCAGAAAGCTTGGCCAATGGTCCAGGATAGTGGATGTTGCAATCCAACAATGTCTGAAGGGCCACACATTGCCCATCCCTGTTGTAAGGGAATTAACGTTCCCCAGGAACAAATCTAAAAGGTTGTCATTGCTTTGGCTTGATTTACTTAGCTAAAAGTACAGAGTGCATCTGCTCACTTGTTTAGAACAGAAATCATATTGTGACTTGTTGAAGAGTTCAGAAGACATTGCACACAGATTGCACACTGCTATGTTATCACAGTATTGCTGGTACTGGAAACTCGCAGTGACAGGAGCAAAGGGTTGCCACCAGGTGGCGGTCAGATCCTTCTTTATTTTCTCAGCCACCAATTTTGTGCACAACCTGACCTGACTAGTTTAGAACCAGTATCAAGGCTGAAGAAGACGGGCCAGCAATTTTGGCTGGACCATTCACGATATTTACCATCTGGCCAAAACCGCCATTTGAGAGAAAGATGGCTTTCGTTTCTTTGCCTCCTCTGCGTCCTGTTTTTAAAAATAGCATATTTGTTTTCATTTTCTGTCTTGTACGCCGGGGAGCCTGTGCCTGATGGCAGGAGAAGTTTTCCACGCATGTGGGGCCACAAATATTAAAGTGGCTGCCACTTGAGACCTCCTGGACCAGGAGCAGCAATGCAGCTGCAGCTCAGGCACAGGCAGGTTTCAAGACAGAGCTAATGTGCATCATCACTGTGGCAATGTGGATAGGCAGTAGAGCACACCAAGTTCCCAAGTAGATTAAATCGTCTGTTCAGACACCAATACTTTTGTGGAGTCTCAATTCCATGGGGCACAAGCTATACTGTAAACCTGCCCAAGTTAAGCTCCCCACTCCCTGCTTCCCTTCTGTTCCAGGTCTTACCTGAGATAGGTGGGCCTCTGAGCCACTTCACTGGTGCTCCGAGACAGAGAGACATTCAAGGACTGCAACGATGAAGAACGTTTCTGGGACTCGCTGACACCCTCTGCTGAAATCGACCTTTCTGGCACATTTGGAGGAGACAGCTCGTCTGTAGGGAGAAGAGAGAGGAGTGCAAGGCTGGCAGCAAAGTAATGCTGAGGCACCTCCCAAACAATCAGGAGCCCCAGCCTGACTTGGCTCACAGATTGAGATATATATAATAATAATAATTTATTTATACCCCACCCATCTGGCTGGGTTTCCCCAGCCACTCTGGGAGGCTTCCAACAAAATATTAAAATACAATAGTCCTTCAGATATTAAAAGCTTCCCTAAACTGGGCTGCCTTCAGATGTCTTCTAAAAGTCTGGTAGTTGTTTTTTCCTTTGACATCTGGTGGGAGGGCATTCCACAGGCGGGTGCCACTACCGAGAAGGCCCTCTGCCCGGTTCCCTGGTTCCCTGCCCTACCTGTCACCACTGGGCTCCTGGATTTCCTCCTACTGGGTGCCTTCAGAAAGGGTTCCTGAAGCAAGGCAGCAGCAGTCGCCCGCTTGTCCGGATCAGCCTCAAAACAACTCAGGATAAAGGCCTTGGCTTCATCCGACATGGAATCGGGCACCTCGGGGTGGATCTTGAACATGCCCACCTAAGAAAAGGCAAACGACTGGCAATAGTATACACACAGTGCACCACCCGAAAACATGGGTCTTGCTGTTCATTTATGGTGGGAATTGACAGGCCAGGGTAGTCCGCTCCTGTCGGTTTTTAAGAAATGAGGAAGATGTTTTATTACACCAAGTCAGGCTGTTGATCCATCCAGCTCAGTATTGGCTGCACAGAGTGGCAGTGGCTCTCCAGGGTTCCAGGCCTATTTGAAAATCCCAGGGATTCAACCAGGCCCTTCTGCATGTGAAGCACAACATGTTCTGCCTCTGAGCTACAGCCCTTCCTCTTTATGAAAAGACACTAAGTCAAGGGCAGAGGCCTTGGTTTGTCAGAAGTGCTGGGTCACAGGCTGTTTATGGAACTATCCTGGTCCTCAAAGCTCAGACTGAATGATGGAGGCTGCTGTATTCTGATTGCTAGCCCATCTACAAAGCTAAGCAGGGTCTGGTATGGTTTCCAATTGGCTGGGGGGCCACGTGCTGAGATTCCTGCATTGCAGGGGGTTGAACTAAATGACTCTCAGGGTCCCCTCCAATGCTACAACTATGATTATATGCAGGGTCTAAATGTGCAAAAAGATCTAATGGAACATATACCCTAAAGGACTGCACTACTTGCATTCACAAATACACCACACTTGCTGTAACAGTCCCAGACAGAGGCTGGTGTAACTAGCCAATGAGTTGGCCTGCTCTGCTGGTCTTCCACAAAGCGCTGAGCAACCCAGGAATACCCAGCCCCAGAATCATCTAAAAGGAGTCTGCTGAGAGGGCTGGGGAGCTGATGATGACCATGTCTTCCATAAACCATCTCTCCCTTTTTGGTATCCTGGCTGCAGTTAGAAGGAAAGGTGAGAAGGAATGCCATGCTGCTGAGAAAAGGGAAATTCCCCTAGAATCAGAGCTGCTTTGGGGCTGGGCAGCAAGTGAACCAGGGAAGAGATTGTCAGTCCACTTGGACTACCCATTCTCATTTACTTCTTCCTGCCTAGTGGAGCAAGTGGGCAGAGACTGTTAGAATTCCTGCTCCACGATTGCAGTCATGGGATTTTTGTCTATCACATGACGGTATATGTTTTGATTCCACAGAGTGGGAAGTGACAGAGACAGGATGCTTGTGTTACTGTGTTCCGTGAAGTGGGACTATTGCCCTTTGTTCTTTTTCTCTTTGCTGTCTGATGCTAGAGAGAGAGGGAGCCATGTTGCAGTGCTCCGTGTGTGTTTATATGTAAATAAAGTAGATTAGCCAAAATGCTGAGTTGCTGAGGTCTGTTACGCATGATGCACAAACTCTGCGGATCCTTAAGTGTGCCGGTGTCAGTTGGCATCGGTCGCTGTGATGTTCAGGCTGAAGAAAGCTTCTGAAGCTCCTGAACGAAAGACCAGGAGGGAGAGAACATGCCAGTCGGGCATGTGCCTCTGCCAGGGTCCTACTCGAGTGTAGGCTGAGCTCCTGACAGAGACAACTCCTGCAAGGATCCCCTCCTCCCTGCAGGAAAACTGCCAAGTGTTCTTCCCAGCTGTGCAGAAGGGTGCAAATCCCAGCCTCACCTTGAACATGGCGGCCTGCGGGCTGCCCAGCTCAAAGAAAGGCGGCTTGCCTGTCGCCATCTCAATGATGGTGCAGCCCATGGACCAGATGTCAGCCGGCTTGCCATAGCCACGGGGTCCCTGATCAATGACCTCTGGGGCCATGTACTGTAAGGTGCCTGAGGAAGGAAGAGAGAAACCAAGAAGGAAGAAGTCATGGGAGCCACATCCCAATGCCTGAGAGCCCGGATGAGTAGGCTCTCTTCCCCAAATGACGCAGAGCTGCACACACACTTACCTGTGAATGTCTCTGTACTGGGGCTGATCCCTGCCAGCCTCTTGGATGTGCCAAAGTCTGAAATTTTCAACACTCCACTGTACGTGTTGATCAGGACGTTATCACCCTGTTTATCCAAGAAAAGCCAAGTCACTGCTTTGGAGATCAACAAGGCACTCAAGTTCTGAGGACTTCCTCCAACTGCAAACAGGCCTGGCACCAGTGTCTTGGCATCCCTGGACGACTGCAAGGGTCTCGGGACTACGAAGGCCCTGCTGCTGATGTCTGCCCTAGACGTGCACCTCAGGCAATTCCCTGCACAGCCTGCGAGTGCCAGATGGCTAGATCCAGCCAGCTTTTTAATTTCCCACACTGCCTCTGAGTGAGCATCGCTCTGTGGCATGGAGGGAACTGTCAGTATGCCTTTCATCTGATGTCAGCGACTGGGCTCAATAACTGGTTCTGCCCCGACTGGGCTACGTGACTGGAGCACTTTCAGAGACCTTCCAATCCTGGAAAGCAGGTCCCAGTGCACTGGACCCACAAGTGTGCATTGTGAGCACCAAACTCATGCAGAGTATAAATAACACAGAAGCTAGCTGTGAAGCATAACTCCTTTTATTTCTAATAGCTACTACAAACTAACAAACTACTGGGTTGCATGAGTGTTACATCTCCCACTCTACCATCTAGTCACTACATAGATAAGACTCTCTCTACACACAGTGTCAGGCAGTCAGTCAGGAGCGGAAGAGTAGAAGAGCAGTTTCCGCCCCCTCCTTTCTTAAAACATCAGATCAGGAGATTCTGTCAATGGGAGGGGTGAAAATATCAACAATCTCTCCCTTTTCATACCAGCCATTGCAGAATCTAACATATGGCAACCAGACCCAGCTGCCCAATGCTGTTCAAGGCACTGCCTTAGCAGCCAGGGAAGCCTGTCAGGGATGACCAAAAGAAGAGGGAGCTCAGCAGAAGACACTTTACCCAGAGCCTCTTCATTCCTGGACTGGGAACAGTGAAAAAAGGAGTGGCAGTGCCAACCCCCCCCCTTCCACAAAAACAAAACCCCAAGGACTGTTGCTTAGAAATTCAACTGTAGTATTAACTTCATCATCAATTTATTATGATCCACAGAACAGGAATGCGGCAAAAATAAAGCCATACAATGCTCCATAATCTTAAGCATCGAGCAAAACAGAAAGCAATGTATTATCTAAATGCCACCAGCTCAAGTATACATATTGACAGGATAACAAATGTCTTAAATAGCTCCCAAATATAATATTTCCAACTTCAGGTGGTTAATTGCCTTCTTGTTCTCACTGTCCCTGATAAAGAAAATCCAGTCATTACTAATGACACACGTAGGGTTTTATCTCCCGGTAAATATTTAACATAAAATTTAGCTGACCTTCCTGGTTTGACCAATAAAGGGGCAATCATCTGCTGATGAGCGCCAGCATAAAAATTATAAAAACAAAACAATATTTCCCACAGATGTTCCAGCTCCTGGTTATTACAAGGACAAACCCTCAAGGAACACCAGCCTATTCCTCCCCAGAGCAACCGAGAAAGGCATCACATTAAATCTGGCCAGAGCAAAAGCTGTGCGATAATTAACTGCATGCAAATTCCTAAAATAAGCAGCTAGCTGAAAATCATTAAGGATCGTCTTTAAGAAATGCCTAAGGAGCAAGGCAAGCAGGCTGTGCATGAGCTAGCCAAAATGTCCTGAAAAGAAATATCCCATGTAGTCTTTGTTTTACCAAAGCTAATGCAGAGTCAAAACCCAAATGAAGGAGGAAAAGGAAAGCTGCGTGAAAAGACCTGCTTGATCCCTGCCAGGTCTGGCAATGCCACACAGAGATCTAGCACCAACAACATGTCTACTCCTGGCAGCCCAAGCTGAGGTGGCTCTCACCTTGATGTCCCTGTGGACGATCTGGTTGTCGTGCAGGTAGCGCAGCCCCTCTAGGATTTGCTTGGTGTAGAAAACGATGGTGGGCTCGTTGTCTTTCAGGGGGCCCCACATGGAGCGCAGAAGAGAGGAAAGGCTTCCTGGATTTTTGGGGTGGGGATAGAGGGACATGGAACACTATAGAGGCTGTTTTCTTATATAGGGATTAGACAAATGCACGGAGCACAATGGCTACTAGTCATGTCCACTGCAGTCCTTGCATCAGTAACCTCAAGGCTGAATTACTGCAGTGCTCTCTGCGGCAAACCTTAACCCTAATATCGCGTCTCAGTCACTGAGGTAAGGGGCATCGTCGGTTATTCCCTGAGCTAGTGAGGCTCAGCTGACAGCAACAAGAAACTGAGCTTTTAGTGTCATCGGCCCAGTCGCGTGTGGCCAACCGAGATTCAGCTTCTCTTTTAAGCTTTGAACGCCTTTTGTGACAAGCTTCCTGTGCTGCTCTGCTGATGCAAACAATTAAGAAAGCATCTTTATTGGTGGTCTCTGGTGTGTTTTTTTTTAATTTTTACATGTTTTTTATTGCACATTGCATATTTACTGCATATACAGTGGTACCTCGGGTTACAGACACTTCAGGTTACAGACTCCGCTAACCCAGAAATAGTACCTCGGGTTAAGAACTTTGCTTCAGGATGAGAACAGAATTCGTGCGGCAGTGGTGTGGCGGCAGCAGGAGGCCCCATTAGCTAAAGTGGTACTCAGGTTAAGAACAGTTTCAGGTTAAGAGTGGACCTCCAGAATGAATTAAGTTTTTAACCTGAGGTACCACTGTAGCGAGATGAGCGCTGCAACCCCGGAGTCGGTCACGACTGGACCTAATGGTCAGGGGTCCCTTTACCTTTACCTTTTTACCACTGTACTTACCCCCAGGTACCTCCTCCATGAAGATCTTGAGGAAGCCATCTTGACTGACAGAGCCCAAATAGCGAACAATGTTCTTGTGTTTCAGGCGCTTGTGCAGAGCAATCTCCTCATGAAGGGGCTGCGAGTATCTGAAGTGCAAGTGTGACATGTATGAATGCAGACGTTCACACAACTCTCTCAGAGGCAGCAGCCAGGGGATGCCACGCCCCTCCCCCCATGCTGAGCATATTCCTGCCAAGTAGGATAGCCATGTGTCCTACTTTAGAGAGGACAGTCCTCTCTTTGAAGGACTCTCCAGTCAAAGTCCGATTTAAAGACAAAGAACCCTCAGAAGGAAGAGCAGCAGCAGGGTCTTTGAAGCTGCCCATAACCTATTAATTGGGAGCTAAGTGAATCACAGGCTATTATTAATAATAATATTAATGATGATAATGATGATAGTAGCTCCTGAGCAGAAGACTGAGTAGGCACGAAGGTCATCTGGTCACAGTCTTCCCTAACATGCACTGGATTTTTGTTTAAGTTACAATCATTATTCCCAAATTTGCGTCTACACATAACAATTAGCATATTTGGGTTTTGTGCAAATCTTTTTTGGTGATGCATAAGTGGGAATCTGATTTCAAAGACATCCCAGAGTTCTTGCAATGTGAAAGAAGCCCCAGATTCCCCCAGAGCAGTCTGGCCATTCTAAGGATAGGGGAAGGAAATAGTTGGGTTCACATTTTAGCATAAACATACCAAAGTCACACTTCCTAAACAAATGCACAAACTGAAAGATGGCTCATCTTTGAAATTTGAACTCCTCCCTAATTTTGTGATACAGCACTCCAACAAAAAATGTGCACAAAAATGTGTATATCCATGAAAACAATGTACAAAAAATGCCTTGTACTAGGGAAAATTGCTTGCAAAAGCATAGGCAAGACGGCATACAAAAATGGCAATATTTGGAGAAATGCACACAAAAATTAGTGTGAATGTTAATAACCTAACTAAAAGAGGGGAAAATACACACAAGTGCAGAAGCGTGATGAACTGAGCTCAAGACTAAAGAAACAAGAAGCCAAAATTGACATTATTAGTAATTCCTTCCCTGCTTTTCGCAACTCTTACCTGCTGTCACGCTCTGGGATCTCCTTAATGGCGATGCGCACCTGATTGCTGAGGTCCCGGCCAGCGTAGACCACCCCATAAGTGCCTTTACCTAGAATCACCCTGTCACCTGCTTCTGTGCGTTCGTAGTCATACTGTGCAAGTCAAAGAACACACACAGAGTTATGGAACTTAAAAGGTGAAATCTCTATGCGCAGCACCCTGTCTTGGCCTGTTCATCACTGGGCTTGGCCATTTTCCACATCCGCCTTCACAGCCATCGTTCGACAGGCCCTGACAAAAGTTCCCAGTTCCTGAAACCAAGGAGTGTCCTCTTCCGCCAGCTCACCTCGAGTTCCTCCAGGGAGCTGCAGCTATTCACTTCCTCACCCATCTCTGCCATGAAGGAGCGGACCAGTTCGCAAAACCTAATGTAAAAGAGTAGAGGGGGGAGAAAAAACCCCTAAGAGAATGGACACCAGCACAAAGAACCATCCTGTTATCATTGGGTTCAGAATCAAAGGCTAAAAGCCCAGACTAGACGGGTTGAATAAAAGACTGAAAATTTGGAAGAATTATGCAAACGGATGAGGGAGAGAGGACTGAGAACTAAACCCGAAGTTATTGCAGCTTAATTTGGAAGGAAAGGGTGAAAGGGGCCCCAAATCACTCAGGATATTTCAGAGGATGGGGCGGGTGAGTCGAAGCCAAGCAGGGAACACACACTCTATCTCCAGAGATCCTTCTAGCAGCTACTATTACTATTTTAATTTATTTGTTTGTGCAAAGCTCTGGGAGAAAAGCTATGTACAGTGGTACCTCGGTTATGAACTTAATTCGTTCTGGGGGTCCGTTCTTAACCAGAAACCGTTCTTAACCTGAGGTGCACTTTTGCTAATGGGGCCTCCCGCCGCCGGTGCACGATTTCCGTTCTCATCCTGAGGCAAAGTTCTCAACCCGAGGTACTACTTCCGGGTTAGCGGAGTTTGTAACCTGAAGTGTTTGTAACCCGAGGTACCACTGTGATAGTAAAACATCATTCCAGCAGGGTTTAGGGAGGGGCGGAAATGACAGCCACCAGTTGCCAGACAGAGCTGTAAGAACAGAGTTGCCCACTCTGGGAAAGACTCTGTCTAGAGCAGCATCCTGCAGAAGATGCTCCCTTTCCCCGAGTGGGGAATGTAGTTGGGTTGTGGTTGTTTTTAATTGTCCCTCTTCCAAAGGTTGCGGGTTGTCCCTCTGCTGCCCATTCATGTCCCCCCACTCACCAGCGGCAATGGTACTGGGTAGGGAAGTACAGCTGGAAGTCTTCTGCTGTGTGCAGAACATAGAGGAAGCAGCACCGCTCATCGCACTTGGAGATACTGGCAAGAAAAAAAGATAGGAGTGGAAGGACTTCAGCAAGTCTCCTTTCCTTATCAGCGCAAGCCTGTGTCTTGCTTTAAAACCTGCCTCTCTCTGTGTCCCACCACCCCAAGTTGCTCACATTAGCCTCAGGGGCTTACCAGCCACAGGCCAGACCCCATTCTCCTTGAGATGCTAGCTTTCTAGGTGCAATGATGTTTTATTTATTTCTATTTGCATGGAGGAGCATTGACATGTGAGCTACAGTACGAAGTGGGAGAAAAATACATTTTAAGGACAAACTGACCTAACTCACCAATCCCAGACTTCAGTGTAGATTGGAATGCACTTAATCTTGGGGGTGGGCTGTGACTCACGTCATAAAACAGATGCTTGGAATGTAGAAGGTCCCAAGTTCAATCCCTGGCATCTCCAGGTAGGGCTGGGAAAGATTTGTACCTGAAACTCTGGAGTGCTTCTGCCAGTCAGTGTAGACAACACAGAACTGGATGGAGCCAGGGTCTGACTCCATATAAGGCAGCTTCCTGCATTCCTCTCAATCAAATTACACACTTCTCCAAATTTTGCAGTGCATTTTCTTTTGATAGAAAATGCACAAAAATGTGTACTGGGATCTCATAAAAAGGCAGCTTCTCATGTGTCCTCTCTGCCCAGTGCTCTCTACTGCGAGTGCCACCTGGCTAGCTCTGTTTTCTCAGGGGAGGGGCTGTACATCAACAGTCTATTGGCTTTGCATGCCAATTCTTGTGGGTTAATCTCCAATGTCTCAGGAGGGCTGGGGAAGACTTCTGCCTGAAATTGTAGTGACCTTCGGCCACCCAGTGCACTAGGAGTAGCCAATGTGGTGCCCTCCAGATGTTGCTGAACTACAGCTCCCATAGTTCCTGACCATGGACCATGCTGGCTGGAGGTGATGGGAATTGGAGTCCACCATGGAAGGCACCATGATGGATGCCCCAGGTATAGGCAATAGTGTGCTAAATGCACCAGTGGTCTTTCTTGACAGTGTCCTATGTTCCTGTTTAAATCAGCCCTTTATTTCAGGGTCTAGAGATCTAGAACTTTCTTTTTTTTAGGGGAAGAACTGTAAGTCAGTGATGTATCTCAAGGAAGGACTGGGAAAGGCCTTGAAACCACAGCGAGTTACTGTTTCTTAGTGTAGCCAATACTAAGCAATGTGGCTTATTGCTCTGACCTGGTATAAAGGCTGCTTCTTATATGAAGCACTAGCCTAGCCTTAAAAACAAGGAATTCAAACTATTTGTTTTATATAAAAATAATAATCATCACCTGATTCCACGGATGGAAGATGTTGGGAATGTCCACTTGGAAATCCCTTCCTGTAAAGAGACCCAAAAGGTGAAAGAAACATACAAATGCCCCGAGTGGGGAAACACAGGAAATTGAGACACACACCTGGAGGGATAAACAGCCATGAAGATTTATAATGCATAAAGACTGGAAATCTAAACAGAATGAAAGTAATTACATGAACTTTCATCACTTTTTATTAGATATTTTGTGTTTGTATTTTTTGTAATTATAAGGGTTTTTAAAAAGTTCAATTTTTAATTGTTGTAACTTGTTTTGGAACCTTAGGGTGAAGGGCAGGTAATAAATTAAAGTTTTAAAATTTAAAATCAGAAAAAGAAACTGACCCAGGACACAATTCTGGACCTACCTCTTCTGGAGAGCCAATGTGGCTCAGCGTCACTGATTTTTGCCCTTCTTGACTGCAGACACTGAGCTGAGATGGTTGCAACACTCTGCCCAACTCTAGAATCAAGACCTGTTGGGACAGATGGTGAGTTAGATTGCTAGTTAACTTACATGCCGCTTCGTATTTCAGCAAAAACCTCAAAGCGGCTGACATATGTCATAGTGAGCATAGACTTAATTAAGAGAAGACGCCACACATAACCTCTCTGCTGGTTGCGCTTTGGATCTGTGCTGCTTGCCCATTTGTTACGGGACCAGGCTCCAGGTGTTACTATTAGTATATGAGGCCCTCAACAGCTTGAGACCAGTCTACCTGCAGGATCGCCTTAACCCCACATGTGCCCATTTGACTGCTTAGATTTGCAGAACCATCACCGAAACGAGCACAGTGAAGGTGCCTGCCTGATGGGAGGAAGTTTCAAAGCCTGGGTGCTTCCTTACAAATGTGGAATGAGTATTATGTGGTACCTGTAACAGTGCTGGTTCATCAGGGCAGCCAAGGCTGACTCAGTCCTGTGGTCAGGTGTGAGCACAGCTAATTGACTGTTTCATCTTATGGGATATAGTGATGATATTCTCAGATGTGATGCCTGGGGCTACAACTGGAGGCCAGGAGGAAAAGGTGTGTGTGTTTGTGTTCATACACACTATACATTTGCAGCATATCTCCCCACCCTGCCAAGAATCATGGGAGCTGCAGTTTGCGAAGGTTGCTGGGAATTATAGCTCAGTGAGGGGTGAACTACAGTTCCCAGAACTTTGGGAGAAAAATGCGCTGCAAATGTATGGTGTGTATGCAGCCTGTTGTGTGTTGAGATTATAAATGGCTGCAGAGGAAAAATGGCTTGAGAAAGGTAGCTCGGCATGTTCCAGAGTTTCTTGGTGCAAGCTGAGAGGGCTGCATTCGTGTTGCTCCAGGATCAGTTTTTGCATGGCAAAAATCAACCTGCGATGTTTTGCAAGCCATCAATCTGCAAGGTAAACAGGCCCCTGTCTCAAGGAAGCTACAATCCAAATTTCCACAGTGGAGGGAGACGAGAGAAGGAAGGGTTGGGAGAGACTAAAGTTCACAAATTTGAGCAGAAATAGATAATTTGGCTTTGTTTCACCTAGAGGTAAGAACTAGGAGTTATCCCAAAGGCTTCTCCCAAGGAGAAGATTTGTAGAGGGGAATTAAAGGGAGAGAGAAGCATCTGCACAATTTTCTCTTGCCCCGCAAATCTGTCAGCACATGAATTTCACACAAACAGAGAGAGGGTGGGGGGAGAGAGAGACTGTCCAGTCCTCTCTCCAACCCAGCTATGCAAAGCTTGCCCTGAATTTTCTATAGCTTAAGGGAGGAAATATGAAAGAGCACCTTAGGCAAGAAAGGCTTTGCTACAACAGAAGAGGAAATTTCCTAAGAATCTCATTCTGCAACTCTGCTGAAACTGACAGATGAGCAAGGCAAAGTTTTGCATGCTTAAGGTCACAGCATTGATATGGCCATCAAAATGCCATTTAATCCAGATTCAAACTTTCTGGGCAAAATCGGATAAATTAAAAAAGCCTCTTGCTGATGACCAGCTTGCAATTTCTGAATGACTCATTTACAGTGTTAAGTCACTATCTTAGAAGCACCCAAGATCTCAGGCAAAAGGGCTGGAAAACCCTCTACGACCTTGGAGAGTTGCAGAACAGAAAATCGTGGGGGAAATGGTTTGATGCCATGTATATGACCTTTTATGCAGACTGGACTATGCCACTTCAGACAGCAGGTTGGGCATAACCTTTTTGATAGCTACCCCATACAAAAATGAAACAGAACACACCCTCCATAAACAAAGAACTAGCATATTAGTTATGCTAGCTCACGCCTCATCTAGATGTGCTCATTTTCTAAGCCACAGTTTGAAATGGCAAAGTCCATTTTACCACCGGAGTGCTCTGCCACCCCCAGAACCACTTGGTTCTGCTGCTACTGCCTCTAGTAGGATGGTAAGCAAAAGATGCCACAGTAGTGTAGCAAAGGAGCAGGCAGGAGGAAAAGCTGGTAGTTCAGTAGAGATTTTGCCAACGCACCAACGTTCATTGCCTCCTTACCAGACACTCCTCTGTGGAGACAAAGGGCTGGCAGGAATCCATCAAGAAGCCCAGCCAGAAATCAACCAGCTCCTGTTTAGGTGACCAGGTGTCGGGGGCAGTGTTGAAATGACTATAGATTACGTAAGTCTCCTTGATAGATGTCAAGAACCTGAACCAATAATTGGGCAGGGGGCAGAAGAGAACAGAGTTAAAAAAGAGAAAGAAGCACACACTTCAAACAGACCCACACAGTCTGCAAAGGGTGAAGTAAGTTAAAGTTTCCATCCGATGCCAGTGGTCTGTGTCACATATTATTATTATTTCCTACATTTATAGACTCTCTTTTCAGTCAAGGAGCTCAAGGGAATGTACATGGTTCTTCCCCTCCTCATTTAATCGCCACAACAACCCTGACTGGTCCAAGGTAAGCCAGTGAGCTCCATGGCTGAGCAGAGGTTCAAAATCTGTTGTCCCACCACACTGAACAAGGAGGAAATCACTTCCTCTCAGAAACCTGCCCTCTCCCAGCACCCCCTTCGACACTCACAACTCCAGTTCATCTCAATAGGTTGTCAGCTAGTTAGTCTTCCTTGCCCCCCACCCCTACCCCGTTCCCATGAGGACACAAAGTTCCCACCACACACCAAACTGGAGCGTTGAGCTTGTAAAGTTTCTCCGAGGCCTGGATGATTTTGTCAAAGTCGCCGGTCAGGATACTGGCGCCCAGGTAAAAACCCACATCCCAGTAATGTTGCATCTTTTCCAAGCATCCCTTCCTGCCCAGGACACAGCTCACCTTCATACCTAAGGAAGGAAGGACCAGAAGCAAGGGAGGTTTTTCTAAACTGCAACAGGTATGTTTCGGGGGAGGGGGGCAGGGTCAGTGGCAGGGATTTCTGAGGGAAATTTTCAAAATGGTCACGACGTTCTGGCTAAACTGGGGGTTACCATTCTATTGGCTACAACATAACACATATTTCAAGCCTCATTTCAGCAGGGAGAAGCAGCAGAGGGAAAGAGGCCCTGAAGGCATCTTACCATTTTGAACAGTCACAGCTTCCCACAAAGCATTCTGGGAACTGCGGTTTAAGGGTGCTGAGAGGTGCTAGGAAACCACTACTCCCCACATGCAGCGACAATTCCCAGAGTTCCCTGGGAGCAGGGATTGGTTGTTTAACCACTCTGGGAATGGTAGCTCTGTGAGGGAAACAGGGCACTCCTAAGGCCTCTCAGCACCCTTAACAAACGAAAGCTCCCAGGATTTTTTTGGGAGAAGCCACCACTCTTTAAAGTACTATGATAACTGCATTAAATATATGGTGCAGATGGGGCAATAATTGCTCTTTTCATAAGATCCCGCCCACCACCTAGTCAATATTTCCCTATCACAAAACGTTCATTGAATTGGGCCCTTAACACTATCACTTGGAAATGAAATCAACCAGATTTTGTGTTTATATATATATATAGAGAGAGAGAGAGAGAATAAATAATAAAGAACACTGTCAATATCTTGGTTTTAGATCAGAACGATGATTCACACATGCGGCTACCCTTACGAGACGCAGATGGGAACAAGCAGCCCCGCACCTAACTGCCGAAGTTGCATGGAGGTTTCGAACTTGTGTCCAGCAGCGATGAGGAACACAACAGAGTTAATCCCAGCATGGAGGCTCGGGTCTGTTAAAAAGGCCTTGTGATACCTGAGGAATCAGAAGCACAAGGAAATATCAGACCTGAAAACTAACTAGGAAGGCTGCAATTCAGACCCAGCAAATAAGCCAAATGGGTGAAAAAAAGAGAGGACAGGTTGCTTGCAACTTCAATCATTTCTAGAAGTAGGAGTTTCACCTGGCCACCCTACCACCACCAAGCCATCCCACAAGCAATGAGCACTTCAAAGAGATTTCCACGCCTGCAGCCATAATTTAAAGCAGTAGCGCAAGTTCAGCAAAGATCCCTTTCCATTCCTCACCAGTAAAAAGCCTGGTCTCTCTTTTCGGCATCAGTGAAGCCAGAATCAATGAACATGTCCTTATAGATGCGGCCGCACATGCAGTACAGGTCAGGTGCTGCCCTTTCAGGCTTTTCCACCAGGGGCAGGATAACAGAGAGAGCCTTCTCCCGATCGCCAGGCTGGTTCCGCCTACAAATGCATATCACACACAGTCACACACGTAGCCAATGCAGAACACCAGCTTTGCCCATCTGCTACTGTGTTAGGACCTTAGTGTCGGGATCCACAGGGATGCCCATCACCGAGGAGGGCTGATGGCCCAAGCAAGGAGAGATCAGAATTTCCTGGTTACGAAGGCACAGAGACTTTGGAGAGTCCAAGGTGTGGGTTTAGCACCATGCCGCAGAGGCCAAACATCCAGGTTGTCTCAGCATAGTCATTTACTAGAGACCCTGCCCACTGGGTGCTGCCTTCTGGGTACTTAAAGGCCACTGCCTTCTGCTACATCCATTGGTCCCATCAAGATAATGGGCGTTCCAGCTGTGGGGATCCCTCCTCCATGCCCTCTGGATTCGGTGAGGAGTCTGCAAACCAGCCATGAGAGTCCATTGGCAGAGGTGTGTCCTCGGGGCTCAGGGAAAGCGCTGGTGTCTGCAGACACCCATGGGATAGACCAGGGAGTGGAAGCATCTCCTCATCAAAGCTCCCGTTGCCAGAAGACACCTCTTAAGTGTACTAATGTCCCTGGGCATCAGGGAAGCAGAGGGTAGGGAGGCCTAACAGGGCTGAGAATAGAGGCCCATCCTTACCTGACAATGTTCCTCACCTGTCAAGGGCAAAGGCATAGTGAAAGCAGATGTTGTGCTGCTCAGCGACATTGCAAGTCGGCAGGGCCTGTAAGGTCTCCACTAGGGTGATGATGCCATTACAATCCTGCAGAAGACATAAAGTGAAGCCGCAATATGCAGGCGTGCACACACAGCCTTCAACTAAACCCAAACGCAGTTCAGCCCCAAATACACATGGCTCCTACTCTAGGAACCTGCCATGAAACACCACAGACCAGGATGTGTAAGGGGCGGGAGGTGATGGTCAGGTGCTCAGTGGTAGGGCATCTATCCATGGGTGTTGAATGCCTGCAATGGCACTGATGCGCATTGCTGGAGTTGACTGCTGCAATGGAAGTACAGTGGTACCTCGGTTAAGAACTTAATTCGTTCTGGAGGTCTGTTCTTAACCTGAAACTGTTCTTAAATGAGGCACCACTTTAGCTAATGGGGCCTCCCGCTGCCATCGCACGATTTCTGTTCTCATCCTGAAGCAAAGTTCTTAACCTGAGGTACTATTTCTGGGTTAGTGGAGTCTGTAACCTGAAGCGTATGTAACCTGAAGTGTATGTAACCCAAGGTACCACTGTACTGGGTTGGCAGGGGGTCACGTCTGCCCTGGGAAACAGACATCAAAACATTCTGCTTGATGCCACTGACGGCATTTGGGCTGCATTCGTGCGCATTAACTGGCCACGGCATGAGAGTCAAGGGGCCCTGTGAATCAGCTCACCTGTGCGTCACGGTAGGACAGAATAAAGTTCATGACAATATCAAGGCTGAGGCATTCGACGCTGTCCAGTCGCTGCTGGATACTGGTCAGCTCACGGCTCAGCTGCTCCCCGCTGTACCTTTCGCGAGCCCTGCGGATGTCCCTTCGGATCATCTCCCGAAAGTAGCCACTGGAGAAATCAAGAAGCTTTCCTTTACTCTGAGGAAAGGATAGTGCCCCTTGGCTTACCCCAAGAGGGGAAGGCATGTTTACCCAGGGCCAGTGCTATATATATCAGAAGTGGGGGATCTGGGGGCCAAATGCAGCCCTCGAGGCCTCTCCCTCTGGCCCTCAAAACTCTCCCCAGGTCATGCTCCTCAGTGGCCCTTCTCCACAGCGCACATGTTTTTGCCTAGCTGAAAAGCCGTCCTTGCTCTCTCTAATCACACCTCCTGCTTATCTGGGTGGAGAACAGAGGCTGGTGTTTGTGTGCATGTAGAAACTGCCTTCTGTATAAAGGTAATATTTACATACATTGCTCCACCCACTTTTGCCTCTGGCCCCACCCACCACTGGTATGTGGCATCCAGAATGTTGCCTTGAAGGGAATGCAGTTCTGGGGCTGGAAAGGGCTCCCCATCCCCACTATATATTAACAAGAAATACTCATTCTCACAGTGTCCCATGCAGCCAAAACAGGACCATCTATGCACAAGAGGGAGGCATCAGCAGGCTTGAGGGATCCCCAAGTATGGAAAACCTTTAGCGGGGGGAATGGCCTAAACGGTGGAGGTGGGAGGAGGACCCAAAACAGCCCAGTGTGGACTGACTATGCTCAACAGCCACTGAACGCTGCACTTCTATTGGGGGAGGTGGAAATGAAATGGAGTATCCTGGGAAAGAGCATGACTGGCTAGAACCCTGAGCAGTCCCACTTGACTTCCATGTCTGTTCCCATTGCTCAGACAGAAGAGCTTTGACACTCAAGACTTTCTTCCACACATAGGGCTAATGTGTGGAGGGCATTTTTAAATTTTATTTGAGCTAATTTATATGCTGCCTAATTGCTAGAATTGCTAGAATTTCTAAGCGGTATCCCTTTTTTTGAGAGAGAAAATGGGTAAAATCAATGAAAACAGTATCATTAAACGAAAACAGTATCACAGTGGGATCATGCCTCCTTGCCCTGCTACTGACACTGCACTGTGAGTCAGCCTGCCAACTTTTGCCCATGGGTCTTGGATGTCTGCAAAGGGATGCCTATCTATAGGATGCAGGGCTGCCTGGTGTTAGTAATAATTTTATTTTATTTTTAAATTACCCACCCTTCAGCCTAAGGTCCCAGGGCAGCTTACAGATTTAGAACACAATATTAAAAACCATTTAAAACAGACTGCCACTGGTAACAGTGTGCTCAGTTGTGATGCAATCACAGAGGCCCACCACAGCTTCCTGCAAAGTTCTAGAAACAGTAGGAAGGATCCATTTATTCTGGTTTTCAGCAGAATGGGAAAACACACTGCTATTCTAGGTTACTTTCCTAAGATGAAAGGCTCCCCAAATGAGATGGCACTTCCTGCTTCTTTAAGTCCAGCAACCTGCAGGCCAGCTATGGCCCCAGGAGCCTCTTCATCCAACTCAGAGAATCCCTTTCTTTCCCACCTGCAGCAATTAGCATTTGAGCCAATTAGAGGCTTTTTTTTTTCCAAGCCAGAGAGCAATGTGGAACTGCAGCTGAGGAACAGAGAAGTTAACACTTCCCTTTCCATGCACTATGAGACACACTCTCAAAATCACTCAGATTTTTCAAGATTTAATTGCTCCCACAGAGGAAATTTCTTGATCTGGCAGGTTGCAGCTGGGGATGGGAGGATTAATCCTCTGCTCCCCATTCCCCCATGATCTTTCCCCCCACCCCAAACCTGCTGCATGACATTCAGGAGCTTGAAAACAGCCTCCTCTGAATGCCAATGGAAGGTTGTTTTCAAGTTTAATTGCTGTGTGGCTCTTTGTGGGAATTGTAGCTGCTGGGCAGGGAAGGATTAACTGCAATCTCTATGATGATCATTTCCCCCTCTTGAAATTAGGCTTGGGGGAAAGGCTTTCCCCTCACCCCCAAAGTCTAACAGCTTACTGGGAGGGAGTGTACGCAGTGTATTTAAGTTCTGGGGATGAGAAATGCTGTTCTCCTGCGCCATTCATTCTGGAACACAGGAAACTGCCATGTGTTTTTGCTTTGTTTCAGGGTGCTAGACTAGATGATCCAGCAAGCACTTTTTCTTACGTTAAGAAAACCATCCAGGGCTTGGAGGTTCGTAAGTGCATGGAATACCACAAAGGAACAGCATCTTCCTGCATCAGCTATTGGCCTGGCCACCCCCCACCCCCTCTCACTTAAGTCTTGCATGACACTGTGCGGCTGCCCTGTCCTCAGCTGCTCCTCTGGTGCAACTTCCTGTTTTCCTTCAGAAGCTCAACAGACCAACTCACAGCTACCCTTGAACAAGAACCTTTTTTGTCCGGTATTTCTCCATTCGCCAGCTCAGCATGCTACACCTCGGCCATCAAGATGTGCGGCATTTCTGTAATTATATCCCCTGCAGGGTAATGGTTACCACCTCACCTAGATCATTCATAAAACCAGGTCTGTCTCTAGAGGAGCTAGTTCTCACCCCAGCCATGCAGTTTCACCGAATGGATTGTTAAACTACCCTGGGAACTGTAGGAACTAGAGTTCCCAGGATTATTTGAGGGAATCTATGACTATTTGAAGTGGCATTACTTTTTTATGAAAAGGGAGAAAAACATATACAGTCATACCTCGGGATAAATACGCTTCAGGTTGAGCGCCTTCAGGTTGCGCTCTGCAGCGACCCGGAAGTAACGGAGCACGTTACTTCCGGGTTTCACTGCTCGCGCATGCGCAGACGGTCAAAATGATGTCATGCACATGCGTGGAAGTGGTGAAACGCGACCCGCACACACGCTGTCGCATCTTACTTTATGTTCAGGATGCGAACGGGGCTCCAGAACGGATCCCGTTCGCATCCCGAGGTACCACTGTAAAGTGGAATGAGACAGCCTTAAATATAAGGAGAGGGTGTGGCCAGAGTTCAACAGGTTCAAGTACCCGCTCTTATTAAGCAATAAGCTTTCCCTCTTTCTTGGGGCTGCCCTTGCTTCCCCAAAGGTAGTGTGTCAGAATCCTTCCCCTTAACTTGCTGGAAGGCCATCTTGCCCGATACTCTAACTTGAACTCAGTGAAATGCTGCACTAGATTCTGCTGCACCTCCCGGGATTCTTGAGAACTGCTGTGAGTTACAAGCCGTCCTCAGCAATTCTAAGAATCTGCCCCAGCTATGATTAGGGCACCGATAACAGAATGCAGAGGATCAAGACGGCCCTGGTATCTTTTTACGGAATCTCGAACATCTCAGTTTTGCAGTAAAAAAGAAATAACAGTTTACATGTTACTAGGAAAACTATGAAGACACACAGAGCCCAGCAAGAAATCATAGCCCAGTATTTTGCTTGCGGAAAGTCCCAAGTTCCACCCCCAGCATCCCTAAGTACGGCTGAGAAATGCCCCCTGGAGAGCCACTGCCAGTCACTGCTAACAATACTCGGCTAGAGGAACCAATTGTCTGACTTGGTATGAGGCAGCTTCCCATGTAAGGCAATGGGAGAGTCCGGCAAGCACCTCACCAAGATAATGCATAAGCCAGGCCCGAGTGCTGTGCCCTTTTTGCTACGGCAAAAACCTGTGACAATGTGTGGAGCGGGCTGTAGAATTTTACTGTTAATCTGGAAGTTATCACGCCAGACGACCCAGCTGCTAAAACAACCTCCCCAAAATACATTTGGACAGAAATACGAATAAGCTGGGATACTCTCTCAAGATTTTGCGGGGCCGCTTGAGTTCCCAGGCGACCATCTGCAGGCTTCCAGAGCCGCCACACCAAGAGGACCTTGGCTGGCAAGCAAGGCAGGGTGCTTAAAAGCTCTCTTTTTACACCTGGAAAACCACGTTGCAGAAACTTGCACTCTCTCACACACACCTCCATCCTCTACTACCTAGGCAAGATCACAGTGCAAGGACTTCTTCAGCCGGGCAAAAGCAGCTGTGGAGAGTATGGAGGATGTCCAGTGAGGAGTGTGGTCCTGGGAGGGCACAACTAACTCCCGTTGCTGCGCTAGTTGAGTTCATGTACTGAAAGATGACTGGGGGGGGTGTTACCAGGTGTTGGTGGAGGTGCCCTCCAGCAGCCTTGCAAGCTGCGCCGTCAGGGGGGTGAAGAAGGCCTCCATGGTGAAGTTGTTAGGCTGGCAAAGCTCGCTCAGGCACATCATCGCATTCGGGTCACAGCAGAAGACCTTGTTCTGGGCTGCCACCACGTAGGGGATTAAGGTATAGCTGCCGTTGCCATCCTAAAAGAGAATTAATGCTATGATCCCTCCACACACCTAGTTCTAGAACACACATGGCACTATGAAAATGTAAAAAACAAAACAAAAAACCCCCAAAACCCGCACTGGCATCCTCCTGGAAGTTGAAGATTACGTTATTCTTTCGTTTCCTTATTTGTTTTAAATCTTTCACATGCCTTTTGGGGAAAGGAAGACTTATAGGGCTTCCACTTTACTTTCACTGGTTCTGGAGCTGAGTTCTGGGTCAAAATTAAACTATTAGCTGAGGTGGCAGTAAAATAAGTGTTGCCACCTCTACTCTAGGAACTGTTTCTATTTTGGAAAATCTGCTCAGATTAGCAAGATAAGGATCAAAGCTATGTGGTCTGAAGGCACATGATGCAGAAACCTCACAAAGCTAAGCAGGTCTGGTCAGTGCCTGGGTGGAAGATCACCTGGGAACCTTATGGATGCCACCCTGAGGCCCATTATGGAAGAAAAACAGGATACAAGGCAGGTGTGGGGAACGTCTGGCCTTCCAGATGTTGCTGAACTACAACTCCCATCATCCCTGGCCATTGGCCATGCTTGCTGAAGCTGATGGGAGTTACAGTTCAGTAATGCAATGCAATGCAATAAATATGGAATGGGAAACCTGTGCCTCTCCAGATATTGACTCCAACTCCCATTTGCACCAGCCAGTATGGGCAATGAATGATGGGAGATGGAGTCCAACCACAACTGGAAAGCCACAGGTTCCCCATCTATGTAATAAATAAACAAATAAGCAGACCTACAAGAGGTAGTATGTACCCATTTTGTGGGGCGCAAAACTGTCCACCACATGAGTTTTGAGCAGTATTAGGGTGGGGGCAATTTCTCTAAGCAGCAAAGAAAAGAAGAATTTTGATTTCCAAAAATTGTGCCCAAAACTTGAATCTATGTGGACAGGTTTTTTGGGTGAACCTTTATGGCAGGGCTGGGGAATCTTTGGCTCTCCAGATGTCGCTGGACTCCAACTCCCATCAGCCCCAACTGACATAGCCAGTGGTCCGTCATGATGGGAGTTGTAGTCCAACACCTGGAGGGCCAAAGGTTTCCCAGCTCTGCTTTATGGACTGAAAGGAGGCAGCATTCAAATGTAATGGTATTCTTTCAAAGAGCAAATCCCTTTCTCTTCTTAGTTCAGTTCCCCCTTACTGGTGGGGTGATGGTGGTTCTTTTTAGAAAGCATACCGTATTTTTCGCCCTATAGGACGCACTTTTTCCCCTCCAAAAATGAAGGGGAAATGTGTGTGCGTCCTATGGGGTGAATGCAGGTTTTCGCTGAAGCCTGGAGAGCGAGTGGGGTTGGTGCGCACCGACCCCTCTCGCTCTCCAGGCTTCAGGAAGCTATCCGCAAGTCTTGCAAGCCCGGTGGGATGTCCCGCGGGCTCGCAAGGCTTGCGGGCAGCGGCCTGCAGCCCACAAGCTCAGGGGATAGCAGGGAGGCGGAGCGCCGCCACCCCGCTATTCCCCGACCTGATCTGGAGGCTGGCGGGGGGGGGGAGAAGCAAGCTTACTTCTCCCCCCCGCCAGCCCCACAGCTCGGGGATAGCGGGGGGCGGAGCGCCGGCACCCCACTATTCCCCGACCTGATCTGGAGGCTGCCGGGGGAGAAGCAAGCTTGCTTCTCCCCCCCGCCAGCCCCACAAACTCGGGGGACAGCGGGGCAAGCCGCTGCCCCACGGAGGCTAGAGAGGCTGTCCCTGAAGGCAGAAGAGGGAGACGGAGCACTCCGTCTCCCTCTTCTAGCTTGGGGATGGCTGCGCAAACCTGGGGGGGAAATAAAAAAAAATTCCTTGATTTCCCCCCCCAAAAAACTAGGTGCGTCCTATGGGCCGGTGCGTCCTATAGGGCAAAAAATACGGCAGTTGCTATTTCACTTTCAAACTACCCAGTCTCCAACATATATTTTTAAAATTCAACCATAAGGATTTTGCCATGCATGTTCCAAAAGCTGAAACAGCCGAGTTGGATAGATAATAAATCATGTGCAGTGCAACCTTATACACGTTTACGGCGAAGCCCCCACTGTGTTCTCTGAGGCTCACTGTGCTCAATTCCCAGAAACAGATAATGAGTTTCAAATGGTGCATGGTCAGAAAACCAAGTGGGACTTACTGAATTCTTCTGGAAGATCTCCTCCTAGAAAGGAGAAAGGCAAGGGGAGGTTATCATTAGCCACTGTACCAAAGAGCCAAACTGGATTTACTCGAAGGCTGATTAAGACTGTGTACACACCATACTTTAAAACACATCTGAAGCACACACAAATATCCCCAGTGTATTCTGATAAAGTTTGCTGGGAATTACAGTTGTACTTTGGTTTTCAAACAGCTTAGTTCTTGAATGTTTTGGCTCCCAAACGCCGCAAACCCAGAAGTGACTGTTCCAGTTAGTGAACTATTTTTGGAAGCTGAACATCTGACAGGGCTTCCACGGCTTCCGACTGGCTGCAGGAGCTTCCTGCAGCCAATCAGAAGCCGCGCTTTGGTTTCCGAATGTTTTGGAAGTCGAACGGACTTCCAGGACAGATTCCATTTGACTTCCAAGGTACGAGCGTATAACTCTCAGAGGGGTAAACTATAGTGGCATATAAAAGGCACCATATAAATGTAGTAATAAATACATTAAAAAAATTAAAAGCAGCTGTTAGGGACAATGTACAGAATACATGTAAGCTATTAAAACTTTCAGGAACTGCAGAGGTTCAGCAAGGCACCACCACCAAGGGTTTAAAATCCATAGACTTTCTGAAGAAGCACAAGAACTTCCTGCAGGCTTGTTTCTGGTGTGTTTCTGGTTTCCGGTGTGTTTCTGTATGATGCCAGAGCAGGCCAGAAGCCTCCCTTGAACTTGGTTGCCTATCTTGAAAACCCATGCCTGCAGGAAGTGAGGCAAGAAGGTCTCCTTCCAGTGACTTAATGCATCACTTTCTCTGGAAGGCTCCTGGGCCTCAACGCATGCCACAGAGTCACGCTCCTAGAGTAGCTATTTACACATCACCAAGGAGGAGCAGAAATGCATCACCACAGACGCGGATACAGACCTCCGTAAAAATGACTTGCGCTAACTGATCTGTATGAATGAAAATTTTGAAACCGTCACTATAACTTAAGCACAAATGCAATCCGTTTCATGATAGTGGGGAAGATTGTGAGCAGGTGATCTGCTAAGTCCGCTGCCCGGGTGCTCAAAGCCCATTGGGGTGTTTATAAAAAAAAACTGATGGAACAATGCATATCCCTTTGCACAACAGGCTACATTCAAGCCATGCAAAAGTCGAAGGCTTCTATACACACACACACACACACACACACACACACACACACACACAATATCTAGGCAAGCAAGAGGCATTATCATGATTCAAGGACCCATTCCAGCCAAACAAATGCAGTTGAGGAGGGCATGGGGCAAGACTTCTGAGGGGTGTGGTGAGGGAGGGCATGGTCTAAGGAGCATAGCAAGGGCCAGATAGAGATGACTGGAGGGCCACATTTAGTTTCCAGGTACGAGGTTTCCTACCCTTGTTCTGAAACCTAAAAAGACTCTGCTTATTATGGAGGTAACATGTCCTTCCATCACTAGGCAATACTGTCCAATTTGGCATCTATTGACCCTTTATCTAATATCCCACCAAAAATTAATCTCCAGCTTTGTTAATGTTAGGAACTTAGATGGTAGGTTATCTTTCTCCATATCTAGGATCCCACTCTTGCATGGCTGAAATTACACTTACTTGTATACAATACCCGTTAAATTTACCAGGGCTTACTTCTGAGTAGGCATGCATAAAGGTAAAGGGACCCCTGACCGTTAAGTCCAGTCGTGGACGACTCTGGGATTGCAGCACTCATCTCGCTTTATTGGCCGAGGGAGCTAGCGTACAGCTTCCGGGTCATGTGGCCAGCATGACTAAGCCGCTTCTGGTGAACCAGAGCAGCGCACAGAAATGCCGTTTACCTTCCCACCGGAGTGGTACCTATTTATCTACTTGCACTTTGACGTGCTTTCGAACTGCTAGGTTGGCAGGAGCAGGGACCGAGCAACGGGAGCTCACCCCGTCACGGGGATTCGAACCGCCAACCTTCTGATCGGCAAGTCCTAGGCATGCATAGGATCACACTATTAAGCCATTTATCATACTTGCATCGGGGTGCATCACTTCTTCCCCTGATAGCTTCCATATGTGCTTAGAAGACAAGACATCAATCCTGATCTGGATGGGTTGTACGACTACACAGAATGAAGCTGGAATGGTCTTTACTTCTGATACGCTAATGGAGAGCACAAGGGTTTGGTCACATGTAGGTAACAGTGAGATAATGAGCTCTCTACTGAAGCTGCTCCCTTGCTATGCTGCAGCCGTGCGATGTTTCCTTATCACATTAGATAGCTGTTAGTACAAGATCATGCAGAGTAACCACAAACTCATTAGAGCTCGCTGCTCCTATGCACAGGCAACCCCCGCAAAGGGGATCCAAAGCAATTCTTGCAAGCGTCATCATGCATTAATATGTTTCACTGAGAGCCAGTGTCGTGTAGCGGTTAAGAGCGGTAGACTCGTAATCTGGTGAACCAGCTTCCTGTCTCCGCTCCTCCACATGCAGCTGCTGGGTGACCTTGGGCCAGTCACACTTCTTTGAAGTCTCTCAGCCCCACTCACCTCACCGAGTGTTTGTTGTGGGGGATAAAGGGAAAGGAGATTGTTAGCCGCTTTGAGACTCCTTTGAGTAGTGATAAAGCGGGATATCAAATCCAAACACCACCACTTCTTTACATCATCTGTGTGAGATGATGCAGCTTTTCTACAATGTACTACTACCTTATGCAGTGCAGCATGGCGCCAAACCTGAAGAGGGACTTTTGCTCTAAATGGGTTGAACGTGGGGCAGGAAATGTCAGGCCTGAATGCTGAACGCAACCCTCCAAGCTTCTCTGTCTGGCTACTGGGACTCTCCCCAGACCACACCCCTTATAGGTTCTGCTCTGCAACCTCCTTGAGCGCATTTGCCTGGCTGTAATGTGTCTTTAAACTCTCATTCTTGCTTACCTGAATGGAGGAAAAAGGTTGGTGTGTTTGTGTGTAGAAACTAGCCTACTAAAATTTACATTAGTTGCATATGGCCCTGCAAAAGTTGTCCATAAAGGAAAGTGGCCCTCAGGTTGAAAAGTGTTCCTCATCCCTGCTCTTGCCCTCTTCAGTCATCAATGCTTCTGTGTTACTCAATATGGGACCAGGAACGTACCAGGTAGCACTGCCCCGTGGAGTCTGTGTGAACATCTTGACCATCTGGGCCTTTTGTACATGCACAGCTGTACAAAGGAAGGATTCCATGTGAGCTGGAAATCTGGGTGATTGGGGTCCTGGGTCGCATGGGAACCTTTGTGCATATACCTGCATACAGAAAGGCTTTGTGGGGACAGGTGGTCATGCTGTTCAGGTGGACCATAGGGGACTGGGCTGCACAGGGTCTCCCCACTTCCATGTTAGGTAATACAGAAGCATTAAGGTCAGAAGAGGACTTCTGGCATGCACAGAACTGCATCCCAATGCAGCAAGTAGCTGTTAAGAGAAAAACTTTCACAATTTTGAAGGTGAAAGCACCAGCTTCTTCGGAGAGCACACACTTTGCATGCAGAGGGTCCTAAGTTCAACCCCTGAAATTTCCAGGCTGGGCTTAGAAATACCCCTTTGGAGACAATACTGAGCTAGATGCACCAATAGTCTGACTCAGCATAAAGCAGCTTCCCAGAGAATCTGTCTCTCCCCACTCTCCACTGACCTATAGCTAGATTGCTGTAGGACTGATTTAAGCCTTACATGTTTAAGGTCTTGCCTGTTTGCTTGACACAATCTGTATCTGGGCAGCAGTGGGAGATGGAGGAAGGCTTCTTTTTGCAAGATGGCTGCAGATATTTTATACCCATCAAGCATTCGTAGAAGGGAATAAACTATTTTTAGGTGCGGTTTTACTAATATTATTTGCTGCTGAATGGTTGCTGTTATGACTTTATCTTCTATGATAAAGTTCATCTATAAGTTCTTAGCCCCCCTGTCCTGCAGACTGGAGGATGGGCAGGACAGAAGGCACTTGAATCAATCAATCAACCAATCAATCAATCAATCAATCAATCAAACGTTGCCCCGGGGGTAAATCTCCCTCTAAGGGCCGTATCCTACAGGACACTCGTCAACTTTGTTTTCTTTCCATTGACAAAATCTGTCATCTGCCACACATACATGCACTCACACCCGTGTTCTCCATTATGCACAAAAACATACTTGGGGGAACTTTTCAGCAGAACAATCGCTGCATGTTTAACATTTAAGAAACTCCTCCTATCCTTACTTCAGTCTTTCAGAGCAGATTCTAAGTGTCTTGATCATCAAGTCGGTGATGCTATCAGAGCAGGACTTTGGGGCAAAGGTCCAGGATTCCCCACCACCACCCACAGAATGAGCAGGAGGGCACTACAAATGCAGCAGGGCTGGCTGACCATTATTTTGAAGAAAGCGGGCGGGACGGACACTGCACATATTTCTACCAAAAGACAGATGCCCCAGAAAGTCCAGATTCTAAAACTGCCTAACTATTCCCCTGCATGAAGGATTTCCTAAAATCCCATCTGTTTAGCAAGTCTAAAGGCAGCCCACTCCTGCCCTACAGATGTTCCTCTGATCTGATCAAGTGGCCTTTTTTCCAGGCAGTCCAGCGTCTCAAAGCAATCTCCATGAACAGACTCCACCTGTAGAATTGAATTGCATCCCCAACTCACCCGGAGAGCCTGCAGCTCTGGAAAATCAGTGTAGCAGCACAGGAGGATGTTGTTGGTCATGCTGAAGCTCTCCCTCACCCCCAGGTGATAGAAGAGCGAGGGCTGGCACAGGCTGTTGCTCATCTCCACCACAACCACATCTGCAGGGAGGGAGAAAGTAGACACAGATACTACTACAGGGAGCACCAGCTTGCCCCCATCCTTCAGTTTGTTCTCACACCTCCCATCTTGTTTCTTGGGTTCAATCTTTTCTGAGACAGGTAGTTGGCAAGGGCTGCTGATATGGGGCTGTATACATATCATATACATATACATACATATACAAGAAGAAGGGGACGACAGAGGATGAGATGGTTGGACAGTGTTCTCGAAGCTACAAACATGAGTCTGACCAAACTGCGGGAGACAGTGGAAGACAGAAGTGCCTGGCGTGCTCTGGTCCATGGGGTCACGAAGAGTCAGACACGACTAAACGACTAAACAACAACAACACATATCATCAGCTTAAAACACAGCCAGGTTGTCCCTTTTCTCTGTTTGGGTTGAAGCCGAGTTGGGTGAAAATGCATCAAAGCACAGTTTTTCTCAAGAAACAATATAGTTATGAATTCCAGTGTTAGAAACTCAGATATATAAGCTAGGCGCCAAATGGTTTCTTAAACCAGGGTTACAGTCAGCAAAACAGAGTGTTCAGTTGCCATTTTGAGGCAAGGTGGCTCTCAAGTCTTATTTTTCAAATGATAGACTATCAGATAAATATCTGGCTAGTTCAGATGACAACCTTGATCTAGGTTAAGAACTTTGAGAACTTAAAGAAGAAAAGTCATTTAATCCATATATATATAGGCCTATTCCTACCTCTTTTTCTTAATGGTGACACAGACCGTTCATAAGTTAAGAATATTCTTCACAACTGTGAGCAGGGGAGTGGGATGGGGTAAGTGAAGACAAGCTACAACAATCAACTATAACGTTCACCGATCCTGCTCAGGTTGCGCAGAAAAATATTTTTTTAAAAAAATGATATTTATTAAAGTTTCAAAGAATACAAGAATTACACAAAAACAAAAAATAAAAATACAAGAAAATACAAAATACAGAAAAAAGAATAAAGTTTTTAAGATATAACAAAGAAATGAAAAATAATTTTGGTTCCTGAAATTCATTCTGATTGTGCAAATAGAATTCTACAGGATGTGTTGCTAGTACAGTGGTACCTCGGGTTACAGACGCTTCAGGTTACAGACTCCGCTAACCCAGAAATAGTACCTCAGGTTAAGAACTTTGCTTCAGGATGAGAACAGAAATCGCACGACGGTGGCGCAGTGGCAGCAGGAGGCCCCATTAGCTAAAGTGGTACCTCAGGTTAAGAACAGACCTCCAGAACGAATTAAGTTCTCAACCCGATGTACCACTGTATGTGAAAGCAGTCCAGATCCAATGATCTTGGGGTGGAGATGTCAGGCACCATCCTGGCGCCCAGGCATCTTCACTTGGTCACAATGCACCTGGTGCCTGCTTAATTTCGAACACTGCTCAATAACAATAACAATAACAATAATAATTTATTTATACCCCACCCATCTGGGCGGCTTCCAACAAAATATTAAAAATACATTAAAACATCAATCATTAAAACTTCCCTCAACAGGGCTGCCTTCAGATATCTTCCAAAAGTCGGATAGTTGTTTATTTCCTTGACATCTGACAGGAGGCCATTCCACAGGACGGGCGCCACAACCGAGAAGGCCCTCTGCCTGGTTCCCTGTAACTTCACTTCTTGCAATGAGGGAACTGCCAGAAGGCCCTCGGCGCTGAACCCCAAAAGGCATTGGCCCATGTCCCTCGTCCCCCCAGAGATTTAACTTCTATAGATCATGAGGATGGGGCTGAAACCTAAAGACAGGCAACAGTCATCCATTTGTGCTCTTGAACAAATATTTAAAAGGCATCCCCGAAAGGCAAGGGACAGCAGTTGATCAGAAGCAGGTACCAGAAAATTTAGCTTGTCCCTGGTAAATGGGGGCCTTTTCAAGCATAGGATGTGTCATCCAGCTTCTTGACTAGCTACTTGCCCAAGCTGCTCAACTCGTTAGGCAAGCTGTTCACTAGAAAGGTGTTCTACTCACACCCTTTGTGACTACCATGAAAATTACTTGGCTTCTGTTCTGTCTACAGTGCAATTTCCACTCATATGCATAGGCTCCCTCCTCTGTCTGCCTGTCTGTCGAAGTCTCTCTCTCTCTCTCTCTCTCTCTCTCTCTGTGTGTGTGTGTGCGCCTCTCCCTCCATCCTTCCCTCCCTCCCCACGCTTAGTATGGGGAACAGCTGTATCATGCTGCATTAGGTGATCCAGCCAACTATTCTGTTCTGAACCACAGTCACAGTTACTCTGAATCCTGGAATCCTTCACAAGATCTACATGAGCCAAAAGTGTGATGCAGCAGCAGAAAAGCTAATGCTATTCTAGGCTGAATCAATGGAAGTAAAGTGTCCAGATCAAGGCAAGTAATAGCACTACTCTATTCTGCCTTAGTCAGACCACACTTGGAATACTGTGTCCAATTCTGGGCACCACAATTTAAGTAGAATATTGATAAGGAGGGCAACCAAGATGATTAAGGGTCTGGAAACTAAGCCTTATGAGGAGCGCTTGAAGGAGCTGGATATGTTTAGCCTGGAAAAGAGAAGACTGAGAGGAGATATGATAGCCATCTTCAGATATCTTAAGGGCTGTCACATGGAGGAGGGAGCATGCTTGTTTTCTCCTGCTCTGGAGGATAGGATTCAAACCAATGGCTTCAAGTTGCAATAAAGGAGATTCCGACTAAACATTAGGAAACACTTTCTGACAGTAAGAGCTGTTCAGCAGTGGAAAGGACTCCCTAGAGAGGCAGTGGATTCTCCTTCCTTGGAGGTTTTTAAGCAGAGGTTGGATGGCCATCTGTCATGGGATGCTCTAGCTGAGGTTCCTGCATTGCAGGGGGTTGGACTAGATGACCCTTGGAACCCTTCCAACTCTAAGATTCTATGATAGGTATGCTTGGGGTGGAGTGGAATTAACCATATGACCCAAACATCACAAAACACAATTGGTACAGCCTGTGCAAAGTTTCTGTGAGAATCATAAAATGTGTAGATGATGACCATTTAAAACAGCAGTAACTGATAACAACAACACAGCCTTCATAGCCTTTAGGGATAGGCCATAGGTCAGTGGTAGAGCATCTGCTTTGCATTCAGAAAGTCCCAGGTTCAATCCCCAGCATCTCCAGGTAGAGCTGAGAGAGACTCCTGCCCCAAACCCCAGAAAGCAGCTGCCAGTCAATGTGCAATACACCGAACACCTACGGGGGGGGGGGGAGACCTTGGTCACCATTGAGTCCTGAATCAATAGACTCAAACTTGCAGAAGAATTCTGCTTCCATTTCACCAGGCTTGCCAGCTGTCTTTCGGGACACTAACAGCTGCTTATAAATGCGAGTAGAAATTCACTAAATGGACGACGTTCCCACCCTCGTGGGGACATGCAGAGGAGCCTTGCTGAGGTGGAAGCTGGCAACATCTGATCACGTCTAATCACATCTGCAGCGTCTCGGTCCACCCGAGACAATCTGGACGAAAACCGCGGCGTTAAGTTCTGAGTTGCCAATGCCCTCGGCTCCCCCACAGAGTTGACCTGGGCAGGTTTCCTTCCCAGGTGAACTGACGGAACCGCCAGCCGGCTGAGGCAGAGGCGCGTTTGCAGGGACTCACCTGCGTTGTAGAAAGTATCCAGGGGCGCGGTGTCCCCCAGCGCCACGGTGCCAAAAGGCAGCGTCGTCAGCTCCGTCGCCGGGACCTCCTTGCAGGCTTCCCGCAGGCATTGGAGAGGCAGAGGTTCTTCCAGATCCTCGGGGAAGATGTAAACCACGCTCAGGGGTCGGCCCCGACCGCTGCCGCCGCCGCTGCTGCTGCCGCCCCCGTTGCTGCCGCTGCCGCCGCTGCCGCCGCCCCCTCGGCCGCCCTGGCTCCCTGCAGAGACTGGCTTGCTGGGGGTGAGCGCGATCGCCAAAGGGTCCTGCCAGAGGCTCCCGGCGCTTCCCAGCTTGCTGCTGTCCTCTTCCATGCCGCGATTCCCTCAGAGTCAGAAAGCGCCTCTTTTAAAGAAAGAAACGAGCCATTGCGCGGATTCGCCCCAAACGAACCAACAGGCAGAAAAGTTGCGTTTGTTTTTCCGCCCGCCTCCGATTTTAGGGTTATTTACAGCTCCCAAACTTGGTCCATCTCAGCCCCACGTGGGATCGCCAAGCCCCGCCCCGCCAAACTTCCTCGACTAGTTCCCGAGGTGGGTGGGTCGCGCTGGGCATTTTTCTCCTTCCTGTGCTGCGCTGCTAGGGATCGACCCGCCGCCTTTCCTGTTGGCGCAAACACCCCGAGACCAGCGCCAGCGCCCCCGGGGCGATTATGCAAGAGGGGGCGGAGGAGGAGAGCGGCGAGCGCACACGCAGAGACGTCTCCATGGCGTCTGCTCCGCGGTGCCTCCTCCTGGCACCCGCGTCCGGCTCCTTTTCCCCCCTGCCGCTCCCACCTCGAGTGAGGGCGATATCCGGCACGTGCGCCACCTAAAGTATACAGCAAAGTAGAATGGCAACACGTGGTGCTCCTAGGGCCCACACCGGGCACACATTCTGACCCTGAGAATCATGGAAGCTGTAGTTTACCTTTCACAGAGCTTTAATTCCCAGCTCTTTGCAAACTACAGTTCCCAGGATTCTCTGGGGGAGTGCTTCAAAAGTATGGTGTGTATGCAGCTGGTGTTTAATGGCACTGTGGGTTAAACCAGCGTATAGGACTTGCCGATCAGAAGGTTGGCGGTTCGAATCCCTGTGACGGGGTGAGCTCCCGTTGCTCGCTCCCTGCTCCTGCCAACCTAGCAATTCGAAAGCACGTCAAAGTGCAAGTAGATAAATAGGTACCACTCCAGCGGGAAGGTAAATGGCATTTCCGTGCGCTGCTCTGGTTCACCAGAAGCGGCTTAGTCATGCTGGCCACATGACCCGGAAGCTGAATGCCAGCTCCCTCGACCAGTAAAGCGAGATGAGCTCCTCAACCCCAGAGTCGGCCACGACTGGACCTAATGGTCAGGGGTCCCTTTACCTTTACAGAGCATGATTAATGTGATTTCAGACAGCAGCTGTAAAATTCTGGAGAGCAACGGCATGTCAGTGTTTCTGAAACAGTGGACCTTGGACAGCTCTCAGGTGGGCCTCAGGGCCACACAGGGTAGGATTACGGTATGTCATGTTATGGCCCTAAACCAGGTGGGGGAACCTCTGGCTCTCCGGATACTGCTGAACTACAAACCCCATAAGCCCCAGCAAGCATGGCCATTGGCCAGGGATGATGGGAGTTGTAGTTTAGCAACACCAGGCAGTCCAGAAGCTCCTCACACCTGCCAATTCTAAATCACATTTAAGAGGCTGCATATCCTGCACCTGATGTCACCTGCCACCAATGCTGTTTGACAGCTTATGGACACCTGGCCTAAAGAAATGCTGATTTCTGCAGATTTAAACCAAACATGACATATAACATTGTAGCCATTTCATACTGTATATTTTTGTCACATCAGAACAATAATGTCTGTTTTAGAGCCTGTTTCCCCGGTTTTCTTACTTTTTTAACCAGTTGTGTAACACTTGAAATGTAGTGTATTTATTTATGAATTGGTATTCAGCTTGTGTGCAAATCCTGCACTGCCTCCACTGCACTGACGTGGCAGCCTGGAACATGCCATTCCTGGTCATTGAACCTCCCTGGGCGATGGAATACTGCAGGTTGATGTGTGAAGACACCAGTAGTATTTCTGAAGCTTTTTGTAATGAGGATGTGTTGGTACTAGAATCGGGGTGGGGCTGTGTGGGTTGGAGGCTGCAACCTGGAGAAAACACCTGGTACAGATGCATCTTTAAAACCACGTGGAAAACTGTTAAGAGCACAAGTAAGTCTTACTGGTTCTTAGTTGAGGCAGAGAGAGAGAGGAAGTGGAGAACTGAAAGAGGGCATATGGACAGAAAAACAACAGCCAGGGATGGAGAGGTATAAAGGTCTACAGCCAATTTTCCCGTCTTCTCCAGACAGTCCTACCAGCAGGAGGTCAGCGGGTGCACTGCCCAGACTGGATCACTCTGTTAGTAAATTTGTCCCACGTCACTTTCCAAAGAATGAGAGTTTGTTTCTAAGAACTGGAACACTTCTGGTTTTTTGTTTTTGTTTTTTAGAATGCCACCCAGGAGTGGAAATATTCTACCCACCTAAGACTGGCCTGCACAGGCCTTGCCTCACTGTGGATTTTTTTTCCTGATAACCATCATCCTTATAATGTGCTTAAGTAATTGTGGTGGGGAATCCCCTTTTTCTCTCTTAAAGGGTGCGAGGAGCAACATAAGGAAGTTCTTTTAAACAAAAGTTGTTTTTAGCTCAGGCTCAATTCCTGGCATCTCCACATAGGGCTGGGAGAAATCTCCCAGTCTGTGTGTAGACAATACTGAGCCAGATGGAGCAGTGGGATGACTCTGTATAAGCTTCCTGTGTGAGCCTAAGGGAAGGTAATAAAAATCTTTCCAGGCTGAAAAATTACTGTTCTTTTTCCATTGGTGTCATCAGTGCAGGACTTTTGGACAGAGTGAGCAGGAGAGCCCTCAAACCACAGCAGGGCTGGTGTACCACATGCTAAAGTAATTCACATTTCCATCCAAAGTGTGGAGTGCTTGTAAGATCACTACCACCACCACCCCCGCCAGTCAAAAATCACCTAACTGCACTACTGCTTACTCAGCTTGTCTCTTGCTAACAATTCTTAGTCACTTTAAAAACTCATGTGGTTCTCTTGGCTGGTTTCAAGATGCCAAAAACAGGCAGGGCAGATAGAAACCTTGACCATGTGGGCTGGGGTAAAGGAGGGTTCCCAACCCCTGCTTTTTACACACAGTTTGAGAGAAAGGTGTAGCAAAAATGGTTTTCAACCTTCCATAAAAACCTCCAACTCTTTCCTAGTAATTGCAGGCCACTGACCTGTAATTTCCCTAACATATAGAATACTTGCCAAGGCCATTAAGGTAATCTCCAGCAGCTGCAATTTTTCCATTGGCCCTTTCCTGTACAACAATGTTGTCCTGTTCCTCCTCATTAACCATTTAGAAACCACAGAGTGTATTCTGCCAGAGCTTTCATATCCCTGTACTAAAGTGTTCTGAAATGCAGAACACCCAATGAGAAAAAATTAATGACGTCAAGTTAAGATGGCAAAAGATGTGATAGGCAAATTTATATCAGAGAACCATGTTAAAATAGATTACACATTTGGCTGAGTCACTACCAACACATATGATGGGGAATTATTATAAGATGCTTTTAATGTCAGTTGGTAGAACATAAGACTCTTAATCTCAGGGTTGTGGGTTTGAGCCCCCACATTGAGCAAAATATTCCTCCATTGCAGGGGATTGGACTAGATGACGATTGTGGTCCTTTCTAACTATGATTCTATGATTGTTGGTATTTAACCTCTGATTAGGAAAGGTTGAGTATTGACGCTGGATATGAAAGGAACAGGGGGCTGATTTCTTGCATATGTAATGGAACTGTGATAAAGTTAAATGAGGGGAATTCTTTAAAAAAAAAAACCAACACCATTGAGGATATAATGGGATACATTGAATTTTTAATCCTTTCCAAATTTGGGATATTGGAAGAATAATGGTCAAATCATACAATGACTGGGAATTCAATGGGAGCTGGACAAAAATTTGCTAGCCACTGAATTCAAAGTGTTGGTGCTGACCTTTAAAGCCTTAAATGGCCTTGGCCTAGTATACCTGAAGGAGCGTCTCCACCCCCATCGTTCTGCCCAGATGCTGAGGTCCAGCTCCGAGGGCCTTCTGGCGGTTCTCTCATTGCGAGAAGCAAAGCTACAGGGAACCAGGCAGAGGGCCTTCTCGGTAGTGGCACCCGCCCCGTGGAACTTCCTCCCATCAGACGTCAAGGAAATAAACAACTATCTGACTTATAGAAGACATCTGAAGGCAGCCCTGTTTAGGGAAGTTTTTAGTGTTTGATGTTTTATTCTATTTTTAGTGTTCTGTTGGGAGCCGCCCAGAGTGGCTGGGGAGACCTGGCCAGATGGGTGGGGTATTATTTAATAATAATAATAATAATAATAATAATAATAATAATAGAGAATTCCAGAACTGCTTTCAGTGGAAGAATGAGAGAAAGACAGATGTGAAAGCAGTTTGCAAGTTTATGGCCCCCATTCATGATATTAAAAGTAATAACCAGCTAGAATTATTTGATGCATTTCTGTTGTTAAAGTGATAAATAAGCTTCAAAATACCATGGATAAATGATTAAGCATACTTTCCTTGGAAGTGACAAGTATAGGAAATACAATGTTATAGTATATTAAAACATAATTATTTTGTTTAAAAAAAGAAGAAAGGAAATGCAGAATACCTGTCTGACCTTTACCAGTTTAGAAACATATTAACTTTCTTGTAGGTTCCAGTAAGACACAAGTAAACAAAGGCGGAAGCACTAATTCCAGCAGGGAACTGTCTTATCTCCAGTGCGAGTTAATATCTATATGAATCCACTGAGAGTGGTCATTAGTTTTAGGGCAAGGTGCCATCAGTGGGCCAATGACACTCAGCTCCATTTCTCCATAAAATGGAGGGGCTGTGTAGTCACAATGGGTGAGATGGATGAGGAGAAACAAGCTGAGCTTGAAACCTGGCAAGATGGAGATGCTGTGGGTGAGTGGTTTCAGTGCCCCTGAGAAACTGACCAACTGCCTGCCCTGGATGGGGTTGCACTGCCCCTGAAGGAGCAGGTTCACAGTCTGCGGATGCTATGCCCATCTTTGTCACTGGAAGCCCAGGTAGCCTCACTGGCTATCTGCGGACAGTACGACAGAAAAGACAGTTTCTGGACTAGAAAAGCTTGCCCCCAGTGGTTCAAGCTTTCGTTACTTCAGGATTGGATTACTGCAGTGTGCTCTACATGGGGCTTTGCTTTTGCTCCTTGGATCTGGAAAACCACAGCTTGTGCAGGATGCTGACAGCGATGCGACCCTGTCAGCATCTAACACCTTGGCTCAGAGACCTGCACGGATTGCCAGTTTGCTATTGGGCCAAGTTCAAGGTGTTACTATTAGTATATAAAGCCCTTAACAGTTTGGGACCTGTTTACTTTCAGGACCACTACCCCCCATATATATATATATATATATATATCCAATCGGCCACTTTGATCTGTGGAACTGGCACTGTTAACTGACACTGTTAATATTTTAGTGTGGCAGCACCTTCACTTTAGAACTCCCTGCCTGTTTCCATTATTCAGGAGTTTTGTTGTATCCTTCGGTGCCCAATTAAAACATTTTTGCCTATGGCAATTTAAACTGATGGAATATGTGCAGCTTGCGAACCTAACATATAGAATAAGAGAACAAGAAGAACATACGTTTAAGGAAGATTGGAAAATGTTTATTGAATATGTGGGGGCAAATTGTGTACACTTGAAAACATTGGCAGATAAATTCAACAGTGTAAATAAGTTTTGATGGATGTAATAATGGAATACTGAATGTTTTAGTTTATGTAAAATATGCAGGGATTTATGTTATGCAAAATGAACCATGGAGCCTATCCGCAGAATCCAGACATGTGTTTTAATTTCTTTTTGGCATTGCTGATTTTAATGATATTTTGAATGTTCTTAATACTTGTTTTTACCTGTTGTTGTTGTTTTAACTGATACTTGTAATGTTTTAATGTTGCTGGGAGTCTTTTTTGTTAAACCACTCAAGAGTTTTTGTTACAATCAAGAGCTAAAGAAATGCTGTGAAATCAAGTAACTAAATAAATTTGTAAATAAACGTAAATATTACAAACCACCCAGGAGTCTCCAGTGATCTCCTCCCTAAAAGGAAACAAAATTGGTTAAGTGCTGTCCCACAACCCCTGGGATTTCTCACCACTCAGAGAAACGAGGTGCTCATAACAATATGTTTGTTAGTATACTTTTAACAGGTATTACTACTTCCCTCAGAACTATGATAATTGCTGTTGTGTGATGGGAGGCCAGTGCTAGAGGCTGCTAACGGAATTGTCAGCATCCTTAGCAAAATACAATTCCCAGAATGCTTGGGTGGGAACTATCAGCTAAGATGGTATAAAACCGATTTAAGTCAAGTAGACAACCACAGTCTGACAACAGAAAACAAAAGGAAATACCTGGTGGAAGAAGTAAAGAGGTTAACGGCAGTATGAAAACAGAGAATGGATAGGCCTGAAGCCTATATTGACTCACTTTTCCAATACCAATGCACTCACGGTCTTCCCGATTACAGCCCTAGCTTTATTAATGCCTCTTTCTCATCCAGATATGGCCCATGGTTGAAAATTGCCTTGTCAAACATTTTAATATCCCTACATAACCTCCCTTGGCAACCAAAGTGAACTGGATAGAGACTTACCTTGAGGTCGAGGACATCCTGTCCTCTGCTCTCTCCTATTAAAAGCTCCCGCAAAAAATCAGGACTGGAAAACGAAAGGACTCCGCTTGAAACCTTGGAAAGCTATTGCCAGTCACAGCAAACAGGTTCACACTGCCTATTTAAAGCACTACACTACTAAACAGCCATTGCTTTCCTCAAAGGATTCTGGGAGCTGTAGTTTGCTAAGGGTACTGATAGCTGTGAGGAGGCCCCGATTCCCCTCACAGAGCTACAGTTATCAGAGCGGTTCAACAAACAATCCCACTTCACGGGGAACTCTGGGAATTGTAGGTTTGGGAGGTGAATACTGCTCTCCTAACAGCTCTTGGCACCATTAATAAACTATAGCTCCCAGAATTCTTTGCGGGGAGTCATGACTGTTTAAAGGGGTATTATAGTGCATTGACTGTATGGTGTGAATGTGGCCAGAATTAGGCTAGAGGGGACTGCTTCAATTAACTCAAAACAAAGTCAGACATATCCATTTACAAAGGTTGCCAAATATTAAGTATTCTAACTGGCAGTGGTGGACTTTCGGTGTGTTTTATCTGCACACTGCTTAGAGAGCTCTTTGATCAAGTAGCTAACAAGCAAATAAATAAATAGCTAGCTGCAGTTTCAATATTTGAGCACTTTGTTGAATAAACCAGGTACTTTGGGCTGGATTGTATTTTTATTATTATCGATTTTGGCCTTTGTGATTTGAAATTTCTTGCTTCTTAGGCATCCTCAGTATGGACAGTAAACGTTTTGCCCTAATGGAGCCTCACCCTCACCTATTAAAAGCTTGAACAGATTTTGGAAGCAGAATAATCCCTCATGCAAAATGAAGAGACACACAAACACCCATATAGCTGCTTAATTTTTGCTTTAATCATTCCCTTTGGTTGCTTTCTAGGCCTCAAATGGGATCTCTTTAGCGAATCTTCATCTCTGTGCGCTTGTAGGAGGTGCCAACGCCCTTGCCAGTTGCCCAGTCAATGCCATAGGTCTGCCCTTTCCGATCACCAATAGGATAGCCTCCGTTCAGGTTGGACTTATAGCAGTTGGCATACCACCAAGCTCCATGCACAGTGACAGCGCAGTTCTGTGTCCCGGTGTCATTGTCATTGTCATGGGTGGAAAAACGCAGCCCGCTGTGAAAGGTCATGGAGTCACCTGCAGAGCAGAAAGAGGGGGTGTAAAAGTGCTCTCTTTTTTCCTTTGTCTGCTGCCCATTACATTTCTCTCCCCGCCCCCCACAGCATCAGTGCCTGAGGGAGCTTCGGTCAAAGTGCCTTTTCCATGTCAGTAGGCCCTAGTGGGCTCATCTGGTTGAGAGGAGAAGCAGCCCTTTGATCAGCATTGAGCGGCTGCAGGGTGTGAGAACAACCACTTTAATTTCCCACAGTGCCCCCAATGCAGTACGGCTCCAGGGCACTGTAGGAAATTTAAATGGTAGCTCTAGGAATGGGTGGGGACAGGTAAGGTGCCAGTGATGTGTCCTGTCAGGAGCTGGAGATCTAGCTAAGTCACTTAAATAATGCAAATGGAGTGCAGTGAAAAGAGAAATCCTGATAACTGTTTACTGAGGAAATTGAACAAAAACAGTGTATAATGTGAGGAGAAAGGAACAGAGAGGTTTTGTCTTGCTTTTGGCAGAAGCCTTGTACGTCAACCAAACATACAGAGGAAAACTCCCTCAGGCCAACATAACCAATCTGAGCATGTGCTACCTCAGCAAACATCATGCTGCTCTTGCTAAGCCACACCTCCCCTCTTGGCTAGCTGACTTTAACAGTAACAGAATTAACCCTTTAGTTGCACACAGGATGATTTCTGCTGTTACACTTCCAACAGCAGCCATTGCTGGAGTAACAAAACAGCAATCCCAGGTCTGGAATGAGTGAATACTAAATATGTTGGTCTTCAAAGTGACAGGGCCAGCTCAATATATTTTGCTGCCTGAGGAAAAGGACAAGATTTGCCTCCCCTCCAATTCCATGTACAACAGCTGTTGGATCATCCTTGATTCACCACATTCACCATATATCTGCCCGCAGCAGGCTAGAAAAGAGCAGGGATGGGTAACTGTTGGCCTGCCATATCCCTTCATTCCTCCCTGCTCCTGCTGCCACTGTGCTAAGCCATAGTTTGGCTCTGTTTCATCCAAACCCAGAGTTGTGGTTTATTTCCCCCCTACAGAAAAACCAAGAACAAACCTTGCTTAAAGTTCTTAGTTTGTTTGGAGAGAGACAAACCATGACCCCAAGTTCAAACGATGACTTAGCTCACAGCAGAGCAAGCAGGGAGAAATCTCACCAGGTGCACCAGCGCACTGCACATTCACCTTCAAACCACAGGTAAGCTTAACTATAATTAAAATGGCAGCAGCGAGCCTTCGGCCTGTGGGCCTAATTAGGCCCGCCCACCAGGCCTCTGCATTTGGCCCAGACGACCATTTTAGGCAAACCATGCCGACCTGTCAGTCACCTGATGCCATCTGATATCAGAGATCCGTTATCTCCAGTATATGCACTAAATGCCTCTGACCAGGTCCAGTTCCCCACTCCTGGTTTAAAGTGGCATGCGAACCTGGCCACAGTGCGTGTGGAAAGCAGGTTTGAAGTCCCTCACCTGCAGTGCCACCCAGGAATTGCCCCAGGACAAGCTGATACTTCTCCTCTTCTCCCCTGAGCTGGAAGGACTGGTAATGAGCAAAGGTTTTGCGGTCGTCAAAGTCTACCAAGTCCACACGCAGCTGGTGCTCCCCTAAGGAAAAGAGGACAGAAATTCAGCACAACTTTGCCTTTTGCACACTTGAGAAACTTACGTGTGATGTGGCACAAGAAATATTTCCAAAGCAGCCTCTAGAAGGTTGTCCACAATGGGACGTGGTCCTCAGGCTGAAAATAAATTATTATTATTATTATTATTATTATTATTATTACCCCGCCCATCTGGCTGGGTTTCCCCAGCCACTCTGGGTGGCTTCCAACAAAACACTAAAATACAATAACCTATGAAACATTAAAAGCTTCCCTAAACAGGGCTGCCTTAAAAAATGGTTCTTGCGCCTGTCATATCAAAACACATCACTGGGTGTCTTAAAATTTTGAGCTGGGGGCTGCTATCAGAAGAGTGGGGTGGAAGAGGGTAGTGGAGACCTTGTATTTTTAAATCCTGCACAGATAGGCTGCTGCAAATAAATCCAATATTATTGTTGTGATGGAATAAAAACACAGCTCTCTTTTGCCTCCCAGAGGCTCACAATAGCATAGCAGGTCCCTGCTACCGGCCTGGAAAGAATGTTTTTCCAGATAGGGATTGGCAAAAATGTCCTTTCTGGTTTCTTTCAGATTTCCAGTCCTAAGTTCAGTTCCCCACATGTTCACATCAGTTTTGAATGAATGAATGCATTTGTGTGCGAATATACACATTTATGCACACTATTTTCCCCAATATAATGCCCTTTTGTACATTGTTTCTAATACATTCATTTGTATGCAGTCTTTACCCTTGCACATGCACTTTTTGTACACATTACTTAGCTGGAGAACTGCACTGCAAAGTTCAGAGAAGTGTGAACTTTGAGGTATGGCTGTGCAACTTCAGCTTTCATTGTAAACCAAATCTAATTTCCCCTCCACCCTTATCCCCAGATCAAAGGCGGGGTTACCGTCCCGTGTCAGGAGATGAATGTTTTCATTGCCCAGCCAGAATTCCGATAGCTGGTTCCCAAAGCCTTTCTTGTAGTCATTCCAGGTACGGTAGAAATCAACAGACCCATCCAACCGCTTCTGAAACACCTGAGAAAGAGATATAGAAACAAACATAGCAGAAAAAATGAGTACATCGCCTGTAAATGTATTGTTTTCTCATTCAGTCTCTCACATCCAGTGTTTGAGTGGCAGGGGCTATGGCCTTCTAGTTGTTGCTTGACTTCACATCCCAGCACCCCAGCTATTGACCGTGCCTGATAGGGCTGCTAAGAGTTTGAGTCCAGCAACATTTGGAGTGCAAGAGGCTTCCCACCCTAGGTTTCACAGGCATGGAAGTGCAGACCTGGAAAATGAGATCCTGGATTTGGGCTGCGTTGTGTTGGAAGGTATGGGTAGGGGATTTTTAAGGGGGCCAACTTCTGGGCTATGGAGTGCAGGAGTATCAGTGTTCGTGTTTTTATTTTAATCTGCTAGTTAGTGGGTTGGAAAAACTGCCGTGTTCTCATGTTAGCGTAATGACAAAGTTTTCCATTGCACGCTCTCGCTCTCTCTGTGTGTGTGTGTCAGAGAGAGAGCTTGATTTCCCCATGTTGTATGGAATGTTAATGTTTTACATGAATTTTATTCTCTATGTTATTTGTGTATATGTTTTTTTTCAGTGCAAATTACTTGGAGACCGTTTAGATGACAAGCGGCGAATAAGTTTAATAAATAAATTATCAAACCCAACGGGAGAAAAAATCCCAATAGCAATACAGGGCGTAGTACACTGCAGTAGCGCTGCCTTCACCTCAAAGCAGCCACTCACCAGCCAGCCCCCTCCATCAGTATCCATGTCACAGAAGACCCTCAGGGGCCAGCAGCCTGGCAGATAGATGGTGTACCAGCCGCTCAGGAACTCCCCCTTGCTCAGCAGCTCCTTGCAGCTTCTTGGTGCTGGGAGAATATGCCAAATGACAAAAGGCAAGATGAAAGGCAATGGAGGCAGGAAATGTAGCAAGCTAGGGATACCACCATAGCTTCCAATTAAATGTCATTATATGATTATTATTTATATGCCACTTAATGCCAAATTAGGCTTCTAAGCTGTTTACAAGTATAAAAACCAATGAGAGAAACACTCAGATATAAACATCTGGAATTAAAACACATAATAAAAGGATCCAATTAAAACTCTAAAATCCAGAATTAAATCCTGCTAAACCAGAACACCAATTAAATAGGCCAAGAGGTCAAAGGAATGCCTGTGCAAACAGCTCAAAAGCCAGCAGAATGCCAATACAGATGGGGGCCTCTCTTAACCAGCAGGGAGTGAATTCCATAACATCAGTGCTACCAATGAAAAAATCTGCAGATATTGATGACAGTGCATTAAGACCACTCCATAGGTTCATTTTCACTTGTTTAATGCAGCGGTTTCCAAAGAGGGTGGTACCACCCCCGGGGGGATGGGGGGGGATTACCTAGGGTGGGGAGTGCTGGAAGTGTGAATGAGATTTTGAAAAGCTGGTATCACTGGATCAAGTTCATTGGTTTTGTTGAATTATCTAACTAATTGGTTTTAATTGGATTTTGAATGAATGTGCAATTAATTATGACTGTTGTGAATTTTATTATGTTATTATCTTCCCTATTGGGCTGTTCAAACCACTATTCTGAAGAAATATTTTTATAGGGTGGGGTAGGGAGCACTGGGGATGAGTTTGTGGAACCAAGGGGGCAGTGGACAAAAAGATTTGGGAGCTTCTGGTTTAATGTAATATTACTGTTGCTTACGACACAGTTTAAAGCTCACCTTTTTCACATTGTAGATTATAAAATGTCCACACAAAAGCTGGGTTTCTCATTTTGCTATTTGTGTTTGTGAGAGTGATCTTGTTTAGTCTGTCTGCTTTTAGCCTAGAAGTGTTCCTACAGGTCGCTAATGCAGATTACAAATTTTACTCCACATTTTTAAACTGGCCCTTGGGTAAAAGAGACATCATTTTATCTCTACGTTTTATAGCACTTCTACATTTATAAGGCGTGTGAAACTTCATTCACTGGAGCTTTTGAAGCATTTAGAAGCAGCCCCTGCTTTGCCTAATGATGTTGGGATTTTATCAGCAGCTTAGTCGCGTTTCGTACCACGAAAAGCGAATGTTAAACCATATATAATGAATGAATGAAAGGAAGGAAGAAAAGCTGTGGGATTTCAAAGTCTGCCTATGCCTTTGAAGAAAGGAGAATTGTTGGAGGCTTTGAAGAGCTCACAATGGGCTTGCTTCCTTATCGTGGCAGTCCTGAGGAACTACTGTCACATAAGCAATTAGGGTAGGCAACGTGGTGCCCTTCAGATGCTGCTGGACTACAATTCCCATCATCCCTGGTGGCACCATGTTGACTACCCATGGCGTAGGTATTTGGGGGCAGTTTGTGGATCATTATATAGTACACTGTTGTCTTTGTGTACTATATGATGTATTGATGCTTTTGAATTATGGTGTTGGAGGAGACTCTTGAGAGTCCCATGGACTGCAAGAAGATCAAACCTTTCCATTCTTAAGGAAATCAGCCCCGAGTGCTCACTGGAAGGACAGATCCTGAAGCTGAGGCTCCAATACTTTGGCCACCTCATGAGAAGACTCCCTGGAAAAGACCCTGATGTTGGGAAAGATTGAGGGCACAAGGAGAAGGGGACGACAGAGGACGAGATGGTTGGATAGTGTTCTCGAAGCTACCAGCATGAGTTTGACCAAACTGCGGGAGGCAGTGGAAGACAGGAGTGCCTGGTGTGCTCTGGTCCATGGGGTCACGAAGAGTCGGACACGACCAAACGACTAAACAACAACAACATATAGTACACTAGGGTTGAAGCCCTACTTGCTTCTCTCGCCAACCCCCTACACCCTCCCTTTCCAACTCACCAACTGCTGCCCCCCTTCCTTTGAACTTTGTCAGCCCCCACCTTCCTTCCCGAACACCTGGCCAACCCCTCCTCCCTCCCTTTGCACCTCACAAAAGAAAACCTTGGACCTCACCAGGTCTCTGCAACTCACCTGGGCCCCCTGCTGGCTTGCCTGCATCTCTGTCCTTGAGTTCCTTCATCCTTTCCTCACCTGGGCCACTTGCCTGGGCTGCCCACCCTCATCTCTGTTCTCCAGATTCCTCCCCTTTGCTTCACCTAGGTTAATTGCCTGAGCTGCCCACCTGCCTCTCCTCCTCACATCACCTCAACCTGCATCTCTGTCCACTGGTCCACCTGCTGGATGGCCCAGTAGCTCGTCACACTGTAGTTCTCAGTGCCACCTGTCTGGGGCAAACTGAACTGCAACGTGACAACATCCTTGCAATTTTATATATTAGAGTTTGAGGATTATTATAAAGTTGAGCCACTAGATGGCAGAGGGTGCATTTCCCAAGAGAAGCAAGAAAGAAACTCACCGGTTTGGCAGAGGGCCAAAAGATCTCCTCGATCACCTGATATTTAGAGAAAACAAACTTGTTACTAAGCAAATCGTAACAATACACTGAAGGTGAAATGATTCCAAAACCCACAATTGGGCAATACCTTGATTAGGACTCCCCAAATGTCACAAACTTGTGGCATGCTTTCCAGTTCTCCAGATGTCACCCATAAAGGGTGGGGTAGAGAGGTGAGGGAAATAGGGGGGTGGGGGGAGTGTACAAAACTTAGGTTGATGTTGTAGCCATGAGGTCAGCTGGTAGACCAAAGGGAGTCTACAGGCTAAGTTCCTCCCAACAAGTGCTGCAGGTATCAAGTTTCACACCTGCCATCCAAAATCAATCCCTGGCTTTGCTAAACTGAAGATTGCCATGCTTCTCTTTATTTCTGTTTTTGGCATATCCAGGATCTGGAATGTTTGTTTTTAAGAGGTGGGACAGATCCTACTCCCCTCACAGAGTTAGAAACCCCAAAGTGGTTTAACAAGCAATGCCTCTTCTCAGGGAACTCTGGAAACGGCAGCTCTGTGAGGAGAATTGGGGTCTCTTAACAACTCTGAGCACCATTAACAAACTACAGCTCCCAGGATTCTCAGGGGTTCCTGCCACTCCAGGAAACCCAGGACATCCCTTCAGGAAGGCAAAGCTGCTCATCACCCAAAAGACCCACAATCTTCACTTCTGTGGGAAAAGATAGGAAATGTAGTATTTCACCCTCTGTGCTAATGTCAGTGTCCACCTGAAATTAGACCCTGTTTCAACGATGGGGAGGCTCACATGTGGCCCTCGAAGCCTCTCTTTTCTGGCCCTCATCAGTCTTCAACAAGCTACACACCTTCTTTTATGCCTGGCTGGAATGTGTCCTTGAACCGCCCATTTTCAGGTCACCATGATATTCTGTCATTGGGAACCACAGGTCAAGGAACTTTGCCATCCCTATATGCTCAACACTTCCCTTTCTGTAGGGATCAGTTGCACAATCCAGTTCCTCCCTGATGCAGCAGGCTTGAGGTCACCGCCCATCAGCTGACAAGCAGCGAGCAACCTTTCTCTCTGCAAGGATCAGCTGTGCTATCCATGGGGAACTTGCATGTGCAGCCGTGCCAGCTGCATCCCTAACTGTGCCACACCTGATGTTACATATTGGCCCAGGTGGGCATGGTTCGGGGGAAACAGCTCCACAGGCCAAATTGGGACCTGTGCTGGGCCAAAATTGCCCCACGGACCAGGAGTTCCTTACCCCTGCTATGTTCAATAAAAACTTACACCCCTGGGCATTATGCAGAAGACCACAATCCAGGACTGGCTGCTTAGTATATAGGGGTATAGGGCAGGCCATGTGACACTGACAACTCTATCAGAGGAGAAAGTTTCAACCTGGGGGACATGGGGAAAACAGCCAGGCAGGTGCTTCCATTGCCCTATCATCTGCTGTTTGAGGCAGTCACCTCCTTTTGCCTACTAGTAGTCGGCACTGCACCAGTGTCACAGTTCAAAGGACAGCACAACTCCACAGAGGGGGATGGAAATCAAGTGGGAAAGAAAAACTCAACTTTTGTTTTTTTAAAAGGTAGAAATAAATAAATATCAGGTGGTACCTGAAACAAAATGTTGCAGTGTATCCCCACCTGTTAAGAGGAATGCTTTTGCTCAGGGCTTCAGAAAACTTTATAGCCATTGTGTGTGTGTGAAATTTCAGGAAAGGGAAACAGTCGACTGTCTTTCCCCTTTCCCAGGCTCCATTGCCTTCCTTTCTAGGACTCAGGATTGAAACCTATTGCTATAACTTGGGGTGGGGGTTCTGAACAGCTCGAAAATATGCCCCCCCTTTCATCCTACTGAAATAATTCTGGGAGCTGAGTTATTTAGCCTCTCAGCTCACATTCCTCCAACCCTAATTTATCTACCAGAAACTATTAAGGGCTTGAGCACACCAGTTCCTTCTTCCGTCTCCACCTCCCACAAAATCTCATCTGACACCTGAATGCTTTCAGAAGTTCAAAGGTCCTCATCAGACCATTTGGTGTTTTGCTTTTAAAAACAATAATTTACAGGCATATATATTTCTGTGTACCCAGGGATATGCCGACCTTTAAGTATGTAGAAACGACTCACAAAAATGTAGAAACCACTCCTCCCATCATGAGCTTTGTATGATGTTCAGCATTCTCCAAGGGTGGAAGAGGCCATGGTTCATTTGTGGAACACATGCTTTTCATGCAGAAGGTCCCAGGCTCAACCATGGCATCTCCGACTGGGGGACTCTCCTCCCACCCTCCATATGAATCATGGAGAGCTGCCAATATGGAGCTGGCAGGACCATTGGCCTGACATGGTATAAAATGGCTTTAGTTACGGGCAAGAAATTAAAATCTCTTACCTGCGCATTTGTTGGAATCACCAGTTGCCTCCATCCAGGTGGGAAAACAGAGCAAGACTGCAAAAACCCTGCAACACAGCTCCAGATGCATGGCTTCCTTGTTCCTCTGTGCAATTCACTGTCTCCCTGTCCTGCTCTCCTTATAGACTCGTTGGGACCAATGACACTCCAGGTGGCTTATATTGGGAAGATTTCCCAACATGGTTCCAAGTCAAGAAAGCAGCAATAAAGAACTATTATTGGCTATTAATTTCCCATTTCCCAGAGGGTATGTGTAGAGGTGGTGAAGAGGTCATGTTTTGCCGCACCCAAACAGCATAATGTGTGCCAGACTTCAAATCAATAGTCTCTTTCTTCCTTTAAAGGAAACTGTAGCACGCACAACTTCACTTTGTGCAGAAGACTTTCCCCTTCTATTTGCCTAACGAGTAGGGGTGAAAACAACATTCAGAAAAGGCAAATTTGATACTGAGCTTTTCCTTGTTTGCATGTTCATGAGCCGATCAGGTTTCGAGTGACTGTTGGCATTTTCACAGGAGATTTTTTTGCAGCACACACACACACACAAAATCCAAAAAAACCAAAACTGAAGGGCAGCTGTTTAGAAGATGGCATTATAATGTTGCAACTGTTTCTCGAACTGTGTATTTCCTTGAACTCTGTTTTATGGAGGTGCTAAAGGAGCCATTAACATTTGTTCTCATGTTTCTTATCTGTTTTGTCTCTCCAGTGCATGAGGACAGGATTGTTCACTTGGGGGCGGAGGGAGGTCGTAAAGCTTACTGGTTCAAGCCCAGCTTTATAAAGAAAACAGAGGTCATTTCTTAATTGTGCAAGGGTTCTCATTTCTCGCCCTCAGTTCATCATGTGATGTTTTTCATTTCTTTCTCACATGAGGACAGGCAGTAAATATTTTCACCTAAAATATAAATGTTACTGGAATTTTTTTGGGGTGGGGTGGGGTTCGTGTTTCTTTTCTATATTGAGCAAGTAGCATATTTTTAAAGACACAGAATTCATGAATACAACCCATACCCTGGCCTGGAAAGTCAAGACTTCTGTGTTAGTCTGAGTGTCTCATGCCATACCCATTGACTTCTATATCACTTGTGGGCAAACACCACCCTGTGAATGTATTCTAAATCATGGAGTGGGGACTATTAAAAGCAGGTTTGGAGGGGAAGAGAGAGGATGAGGTTTGCTATGGCAGCTATACGTAGCAGTAAGTCCAAGAGAACACCATGGGGGCTTGGCCTCCAAGTGCAGGGAAGGGAAGAAAGAGAAAATGAGGGAAGGGGGAAAAGGAGGGAAGGAAAGAGAGAGCGTGGGGTGAGGGGAAGAGAGAATAAATTAGGAATGGAGAACATTTATCCTGATCCAATGCATGTTTATTCTGCAGTTAATTCTATCCAGTTCAATCCTGGTTACTTCCTAGCAAAACGTGCATGTGATTTGTTTCACCTTGATTCTTTCCCAGTCTTCTTGTGGCAAATAATATATAAATAATAGATAGAGAGATGATACATAGATACATTCACAGAAACAACATCCAAGTAACTTCCTCTACCCAAATACACTTTAAAAAAGCTGGGTATGATTCTGTAAAAACTAACTGAAATGGACGTTGCGTTTTGATGACTTCACATTGTGCACAACTCAAGATAAAATTCAATATCTCTGGGGGCATACAAATGGATGGTGATAATGGGTAATGAGAAGCTTTACATTTACAGGGCTCATAATTTTTCGAAGAATCAAAGCCAATTAGGTGATAAGAATAGTCCAAAGGTTCCCTGTTTGAGTTTTTATGAACCATTTTGCAAAATGAATAGTGTTTGTCCTAGGGAATTGCAAAGGGGGGGGGGACTTGTCACATCAGTCTGTGATTGCGAATCCCATCCCTACTAATGAGTATGTGCATATGTGGGCTTCTGTTAGGAAGGAGCAGAGCTTTTTTCCAGGGGAAACTCACAGGAACTCAGTTCCAGCACCTCTCAGGTGGGCACCATTGCCATTCTAAGAGAATGAGGGAGGTGGTCATGGTGAGTTCTGGCACCTCTTTTTCTAGAAAAATAGCACTGGGGATGAGAGAGAAATCTGATCCAGTTTGCATTTAAAAGACACAGAGAAGCTGAAACTGTTCTGCGTTGAGAAACAGAGTTGTGACTTTGGTGACCCCCCCTGGAAACCTAACAGGGACACAAGATCTGTTGGAGTGTTAGTGCTCAGGAACATATACCCTAAAGTATCAATCCAGGGCACTACGGAAAATTTAAACAGTGGCTCTGTGAAAGGTCGACAGAGCTTACTAATGGGCACCCCAACCCCCGCAAAATCCATTCCTGCTGCTAAGGTCTAACCTCTCCCCTCTGGCACTCTCTCAGACCAGAGCCATCATGCTGTTGTAGAAATGTACCTTTTCCAGTGCTTGCATATATTTCCAGGGATGCATCACAGCGAGAACGGTGGGGACCACCTATAAATCTGATTTTATTATCCTGAAACTGCTTTGAGAACCATTATGGCTGAAGACTGCAAATAAATAATCAAGGTAAACAACTCTGAGCACAGCCTTTTCTTTAAAGGAAATAAGAAACAAGTTGCTATATTTCACTGTGCCTTTGCTTCTCGGGGGGAGGGTCCAGTACATACATTCTTTGCTCAGCTTTGCCAAACACAGCCAATGAACTCGCGCAACAAGAACACATTGCCTCCATATCATCCGATATGAAGCTCCCAGGTTCAATAGCTTTAGCTAGAGTAATATTAAGTAGTTGTTACTAGGGTGGTGGTAAGGTCCTGCCTGCCTTGGACTCTGGGTTAGCAGAGCTGTGAAGAGTGGTTTAATGAGTACATGTATTGGTTTTTATCTTGGACAGTTGGGGGAACAGAGAAGATATGTGTGTGGAGGGGTTCTTTTCTTTTTTACATTATGCATAAATTTTCACTCTTGCAAGCTGCACAGAAAAGCCACTTAGAAGTATTTCAATTAAACAAATTTTCCAGTAGAATAATGTTATAAAAGCAGTAGCTGACAAATATTACAGCAGCCTTCCCCAAGCTTGGTACGGTCCAGACGCTGTTGAACTAAAACTCCCAAAATCAATGACCATCAGCCATGTTCGCTGTGGATGATGGAAGTTGGGAGTCCGAAATATCAATGGCACTAGATGAAAGAAGGGCAGGTTACAACATTGCGGCTATAATCAAAGTTATCCCCAAATGCGTAGAAGTACGAACTGTTCAATAACAAAAACACAAAATGCGTTCCACAAATATTTTGTTTTATTATAGAGGCGTCTTCCCCCGTTGTATTTGCTGCCATTCCACAGTAAGGGGTGTTCTTTGTTTTTCCAGGGAGGCAGCTGAGAACTGGACTCTTAGAAGGATCCACTCTTTAATGGACAGGCAACTTCCAATGAAGTCCAACATCGGTTGGGTTCAGCGTTAACAAGTCAGCTGCTCTGACGCAACTCCCCTGCCGGAAACTCACCCGCAAGAACGAGCATGAAGGAGACCCACCCCAACTCTCTTGTGCAAGAAGTTAACATCGCGACTCAAGTGTCTTGACATCTGCATAAGACTCTGACCTTTTAGAGTGATCTGGCTTAAACAATATTGGGTGGAGGGAGAAAGAAGTCACATGGGTGAAGTAGCCCCAAGTTCCACTGGACATTCCACTTTTGGTGCAGCATTTAAGAACAAATATACAGGACCGGCAGGTACTGAAGCAGGAGCCTTGTGGGCTTAGAATAAGGATAATCAACCAAAAGCAGGTTGCACAGAAGGGGAAAAAATAGAAAGAAAACCCCACAATCATTTGAAGGTGTCCTTAACCTCACACAGTTACATACGAAACAGATCCCTGCAGCTTGAGCTTGCTAGTATCTCATGTATATATTTATACTATTTCCGCAGCAAGTCTAAAGGGTCCAGGTATCTGAGCCAAGCATCACCCATCGTGACAATAGGCTGTTTAGGTCTGGAGCAGATCTCCCACTTCAGCAGCTCCATTTGAAGAAGAGAGAGAGGGAAAGAGTCCTGGCTCCTAATGCAGCCACAGGCAGCCTCCTCTTCTCCAGCAACTCCTCCCGCAAGAGAAACGCTTATCAAGGCAGCTCCCTGGAGATCAGCCATCAGATCCTAATGTGATGGAACAAATGAGAATGGGGGGACACAGGGGGGTGGGGAAAACACATCACCAGGCAAGAGAACAGACAGCAGGGGGAGCACCTAGCTCAGCCAAAATGTCAGATCTGTAACAGCGACTTCTCCCTTGCTTTCCCCTCAGCGCTGGAAACAACTTCACTTGGTAAACCAGGAAGGTGCAACTTGTGTAATTTGTGAATGGCTGGATTTCATGACATGCACATGTCAGCACTGCCAGCTTCACCATTCACATCTTTATTTGCAGACCTCTTTAATTTGAAAATTTAGGGTTTTAATTTCAGAATTAGAGCAACTTAGACTTCTTAGCACCTTGCTCCCTGTGCCCTAGTTAGCCAGGCAGGCATCATGAAATGTGAATGGCTCGCTATTGCCAGAAGCTATGCACCATTGCATCTTATCAAACATACGCCACATCAGGTGCCGTACCATTGCATGTCACTCCCTGAATGCTGTTAAATATGAAACATCAGATAAAAAAATCAATACATGGTAACATCCAAGATATGAGGCATTTGGGCACCAAATTAGATACCCAATTTTGCAGAAGAGAAGAATTAAATTGTTGGGAACAAGACCATCTCAGCTCTAAGCTGGCCATTCTCAAGTTACAAGAGGCACTTTCTCCTTGTTTCTGAAAAGTGAGGAAAAGTTAAGTTTGCAGCGCAGTTCATACTAGCTCCATCCAACAGTGTTCAGTGCAGCTTATTCCCAGGCGACTTACTTCTGAGTAGACATGGAAAAGACTGTTGTCAGGCAGCAGTTCTATACTCACCTTCTTACAGAGCGACCCTAAGCATGTCTACTAAGACATTCCCCGCTGAATTCAATAGAACATACTTCTGAAGAGGTATGGTTAGGAATGCGCTGAATCTTTGAACTCAGTGGGTTTCTCTCCTGGGTAACTGGGTATAGCATTGCAGCCTTAATTTCTGAACAGATGTTTATCAGGCCCAGGAACCAGCGCCCCTCTAGCTGCTCTCTGACTCCAACTCCCACCATCCCTTGTAGGAGCTGATGGGGGCAGAGTCCAACAACATTGGGAGGGGGAGGGGCACAGGTTGTGCACCTGAGGCATATGATTACAGTGTTAAAGCCTCAGACCAGTTCTAATGTTAAGATTTGCACTCATGGGGGTGTCTAATGGCCAGCCAAACCTGCAATGGAAACTAACAAAAAAAACCCATATAATACAGGGTCTTACAAGACAGATATGCAGAGACTTGTGGAGGGAGATCAGCAATGCCACATCAGAGACTATAATTACAATGGATTTTTATCATGGGCTTCTTTCAGCCATCTTGGCTGAGAAATAGGGTATAAATCTAATTTAAGAATTAGTAACTCTCATGAACATGAGTGAAAGGAACTGGGTACTTTCAAAGGAGATGTCAAGAGTTCAGTCCCTGAATGGTTGAGCCGTGATTCAGAACAGTCTCCCTCTCTGTGTTTTGATGAAAATCACACTTTCTCTTCCCCTGACCCAGCCCATTTCAGACCTTATATAAAAATTCCTTAGAAGCACAGAGATTTCTAGATATTCTGTGGTATGAAAAAAGGTAATCAGAACAAATTATCATTAATTGTATGGTTTGTTCGTGGGCTCTTGTTGTTTGGGACAGCTAAAAAGGTATCCAAGAGGAGATCATTGCATTTTGCAGTAAATCTTATCCCTTTTCTCCCAGCCCATCATCTGAAAAGCAAAACGAAAACCTGAGGTGACACTCCTGCTGTTGAGACATCTCTTGAAAATAAGACACTGTTTCCACCCCCACATGGAGGACCAAATCCTGTAAATGTCCAGTGTTTGTTTAGACACTTCTCACAGTGCAAATGCCGTTTCGTGGGTGGACAGATGCACTCCAGGAAGGGTAAGAGCAAGACCCACTTCCTGGGATATTCACGCAGATTACACTCAGGGAAGGACAACTTAGGCCCTTCAGATATGACTAGACTCCATCAGCCCCAGGAAGCACAGTCAGTGGTCAGAGATGATGGAGTCGTAGTCCAGCAACATATTCAGGAGGGCAACAGCTCCTTGTTCCTCCTGTAACTTCTGTGCTATCACTTGGGATGGTGTGTTCTCTGCCTTGGTTTTTTAAAAACAAAACCCCACACACGCACCCACCCAAAAAACTTGTGCTAAGACTTCAAATACTACAAACTGACCTGCATGATTTTGCAAACCTACCTGATTCTACCTAACTTATTTGAACTTTGCTATAATGGGGAAGGGCCAGGCTGCTGCAGACCCCCACCTCACTGGAAATTTAAGTTTGCAATTCCCCAGGCTTCCAAGACTGCAGCATCCGTTGTTCAAGTGTTTTCAAGCAAACTAAGAAACCTACTTGCTTCCTTTTCTCTCTCTTTTAAAAACAGAGTATTCTTCTGGGAGGCCAATTTCAGTGGCTTTTATTTGCGTCTGTGGGATTGCACAAGCACACACCACCACGGGGGAAATTGATCTTGTTTAAAGTGGAGCTCTTTGTTACTCCTGTTCTTTCCACCCATTAAACACCTCCCCCAGCCTGAACAGTGCACAAGTTAAAGAACATTAAGACTTCAGATGTCTTCACTAATGGGAAATAACTGATTAGTGCAGCAAGGCATCTAAGCAGAAGCAAGTATAGGGCCTTGTGCAATTGCATGCTCTGCACAATAATGACCAACAGGCTACTGGTTCATTCACCTAAGAGGGTGAGAATGACAACTCACACATAGCAGGGTGTGCCTACCAGCTGTATTGAGGCTGAAATTTTACACCCTAACAATTTTGTGCCCAGGGCAATTGCGCCTCTGCCTCCCCCCACGCTACGCCACTTGTTCTACCACTGAGTAGGCTTGAGGTTGCAGCCAGCCAATCAACCTGCTCCTTGCATTTCCAGGCGCAAATAGGGTTAAGTTATTAAACCACCATCAAGTGGCTCCCCAGCTGCCCCAGATCCACCCTTTCTGCAACAGCTTTCAGTTTGTTGCTTGCGGGAGAACCAGGTTTTGCCCAAGGCAGGATGGCCCGCCCATGCACTGCTCAACTTAGGCTACTCTTGGAAAGATGCATGACTGTTTTGGGGTAGGGATTTCTCACCAAGGGAGACCCAAGCCTCAGGTTGTGCTCCCTACAAACACGTCACACTGTAGAAGGAAGACCGCAAGCAACACCACTACTGGAGCCCTGGAGAAATCAAACTCCCACAAGCTTTAATGAAGAAGTCAGGATCACAAGTCTGTGCCCCAGATGGCATACAACACTCGGCTAGTCTCCCTCTCTCCTCCCCCCGCCCACCACTTGCCAAGGAAGGCTCCAGGACTACAAAAGTCACACAGAAACACACAAAAGGCACAGCAAGAACACACAGAATTCATTCCTCAGCTGGTGGGAGGGGAGTAGAGAAAGCAGCTAGTTAGAGAGCACCCCCATAATTCCTTTGCTATGGGTCTGAAGGCTTTTGGACTTGGCAGTGGCGCCACCAAGGAAGGGTTTCAAGGAGACATCAGATACAGAAAGGCTGGCTTACCATATTTTGACATAACCTATGTTACTGTGCAAAGAGATGGGAAGAATGAGACCAAAGTCTAACAATACCTAACAGCACCACTGAGATTTGGGGGCGAGGAGGAGGAGGAAAAGGAAGATGACAGCAGCAGACATTCCTGATTTTTTGAATCACTATGAGTTTGTGCCGATTGCTATTAATTGTTTTATGGGTTACCTTATTGTGCTTTTTGATTATACGTACTAATGTTTGTCCGTTTTTAATGCTACTATTATGGTGAGCCACTTTGAGCTCCACAATGCTCTTAGAAAAAAGTGGAATACAAATATCAAATCAAATACAAAAATAAATATCAACTCAAACTTTAAAAAATCTCCCACCCTGGCAGCAGACCTGCCAGTGGTTTGGAAATGTTGTTGCTAAGCAGATTCCCAAGGAAACCTAAAATGGCTGCTGACACTGATCGGTTCTGATTGAGATTACGCTCCTCGCAATGACGCATTGCTCAACTCCTGAGTCCCAGTAGCAGCCAGTCACTTAAATGATAGGGGAAGGAACCCCATTTCTGCTATTGGGAGATTCTGAGAGCAGAGGTTGCTATAGGGGTCTGCAAGTATCAGGCTGGATTACAAAAAGCAACGATAGATCCCAGGGAAGTACTGAAGCTCAGTGGCAGAACACCTGATTTGAATGCAGAAGGCCCCAGATTCCATCTCCAGTTTAAAGAACCAGATCAGTAGCGATGGGGAAGACCTCTGCCCAGGACCCTGTAGAGTCAATGCCAGTCAACAGTAGACAATACTGGTCTAGATGGACATATAGGGCCAATCTGCATGGTAATGCTTTAAATATGATACTGCTTTAAGTGTATCATACCGCTTCTACCTCCCATAAGAATTCTGGCAAGTGTAGTTTGTTAAGGGAGCTGAGAGTTGTTAGGAGACCCACTCTTCCCCTCACAGAACTACAATTACCAGAGTTCCCTGGGAAGAGGGGTTGATTGTTAAACCACTATGGGAACTGTATTGTCAGAGGAAGCCACGACCATTTATAGTGGTGTGATGGTGCTTCAAATCTATGGTGCAGATAGCACTTAAGTATACCAAGGATTGCAACCTAAACAATCCACTTCCGCCTATGAATGAGCTTGTGTGGTGGCTTACAAATGATGGCTAATTAGGCTATCAATTTATGCCACAGCAAGGCATAAGATTTGAAGGTGCAAAAGGGAGCATGGGAAGAACTTTCCAAAAATCAGGATGTTACACCCAGCTAATCACCTGGAGGCACTTATTTTTGTATTTGTTTTTTTTTAATGTGTAAAGTTTTTTTAAATGTTTAGGATAATATTTTGTTTTCTTGTTATTATGCTTCTTTAAATGTGGATCAGCATTGTAATTGTGTCTGATTCTCTTTTGTACTGCTTGATAGTTTGTAAGGTTCTACTTGATTATTTAAGGCAGGTTACAAAACTGCTAAGAGATTGTTTCCTTTGCAAATGTGAAGCGGTATAGGAATTATTTAAATAAATAAAAACTTTAAAAGCCCCTCTTAGTATGTACAAGGAAATAAGGCTCATGAGCCCACTGTTAATGTAATCAAGTTCCCATAAATGTAAAAACATGGAGTTGCATCCAACCAGGTTACACTCAGAGAAGACCCATTAAAACCAATGGAGTTAGTCATGCTCATAAATGTTAATAGGATTACTCTGAGTAGGAAAACCACCAACTACAATCCACGATTTATTCTTTCCTGGTGTGTACTTGTTTTTAAATATAAGCCACTTTTTAAAGCTTTTCTTGGGGTGGGGAGGAGAAAAGAACTAAAAGCAACAGGGCATAATAATACCACATTTTAACTAAGGGCGTCAAAGTCTTCGCTTCCCCCCCACTCTGAGAGCAGCTATTTCTCAATTGAACAGCTACAAAAAAACAAGGGGGGAAAGGAAAGGGAAAAGAGATGGAAAGCCAGCTGGGAATAGAATCCAGTAGTTGCCATGGTGACTCCACAGCTTCATATTTTCGATCCTTTACTTTCTCAGCCACACCACAGGGAAGCCATAGGACCAGCACAGGGAGAAGAGGCCTTGCTTCTGAGCAGGATGTACTGGGACACCCCCACATAATACACTTGCCACGTGAGAGCTCCTTAAAGTTTCACCACTACAGGAATAAACTAATCCCAGGGTGGGCAGACTTCAGGCTGATTTACTTAATTACTTACTTACTTACTTAGACCCCTAAGGTCCAACCTGAGGTGCAAAATGTTGTCATACATACCATGCATTAAAAGCACAATACCTACCCACCCACCCCAGCCAAAGTGTAGTTAAATATGCTGGGAATTGTAGTTCTATGAGGGGGTAAACTACAGTTCCCAGAATTCGGGGTGGGGGGAATGTGCTTTAAATGTGTGATGCGTACCCAGCCTAAGAATTAACAAGATGCGTCTGAGCAGATGTGATCAGTACCAGAAGCGAGCTCACAATTTCCTTCACAGAAAAAAATCCACTTCTGGTTGGTTCCCACTCCACCCCCAAATTTCAGCAACACTTTTTTATTTTCTTTTTTTTTAAGTGAGGAGACCTTTTAAGGTGGTGCTGTTGTTAAGACAATTGGGAATCAAAAATCCTTGCTGGCCTACCAAAATTCACCCACAGATCTAGCAGTCTGCATGCTTCTGAACACATGTGCAACAGTTAGCAGGGGAAACTCACTAGGGCAATGGGAGCTTTTCCCTAGATTTTTTTTGTGTGTGTGTTGCTGGGGTGGTGGTGGTGGGGAGGAGTTTCATAGGGGCCTCAGTGGGTGATAGTGGTGACTGGTTCCTGTTAGGAACGGGGCTGCTTGGACAGTATACAGCATATTCAAAGCACATCAACTTCCTCAAAGAATTCTGGGTACTGCAGTTTAACCCTCACAGGGCTACCATTTGCAGCAACCTCACAAACCAACTACAGCATCCAGAATTCTTGGGGGGGGGGAAGCACTTCAAATGTGCTTTAAAGCAGCAGCACACCTTGGGGTCTCAAATTTCAGCCGTGCCCTGTGAGACACCAAAATGTAGTGCCCCCACGCCTCTAAATAATCATTGCGCCCCCCCAAGCTCTGCACCCAACTCAACTGAACCGAATCAATCGCACTCCCCTAAATTTAAAGGTATAGCATGCAAGCAGCCTGGTAGGGTGACCAACAGCAGGTAGGGCCAGTGACAGGTGGAGCAAACCGATACTAGTTTTGTTGCAACCCTCCTCCCTGCTCATTTCTACAAGGCGATACTGAGACTAAGCAGGAGGCTGACAGTCTCAGGTACTCCCTGGACGGCTTGTTAAGTACGAAGACAGGCAGGTGGAGCCAGGCTGAGGGCACACTGAGGCCAGTGGGGCAGTGCCCCATTTGCCCTCACAGATCAGCCTCCAGTGGTGGGAGAGGGAAGGATTTGACCACAGTTCCTGCGACCTATATTCTCTGTAGCAACTTCCTCAACCTCCTGCACTAGGCATTCATTTTAAAAACCTCAAGAAGTACCTGCACACTACATAATTAACGTGATGCGTTGTTTTGAGCCTAAGGAAAAGGGCTGGAGGAGTTAGAATTTGCACACACAGATGAAAGTGGAGCTGCTGTTTGGTCGTTTTTATCTCCTGACCCAATTTCCCCCTCCCGTCTCCCCATCTCTCTTTTCTTATTGGCTATGCTGGCAAGCAAGTAGATCCTACGCCACTCAGTGTGCAATTTCTGCGTCCCCCGGTTTCTCCGCCAGTTGGTAGAAAAACCTTTGAGATTCAGCTGCTCTCTCGTGGCAAATGTATCATGTGGTCATGCTCTTAGTCAAAAAAATAAGGGGGGGCAGAGGAGGGAGAGAGACAAACTCTGGTCAGCTCTGAATAGCTCATCTCCACTGCTCATCCCTGCCCTATGGAAGGCCCATAGTTTCAAAAGCAAACAAGAGCTGGTTGTTTGCACATTCCCGTTACACACACAATCAATCAGAAAGTTAACAGTATTCAGTTCAAAGCAGTCCCTGTTCTCCATCCATCCCTCTGCTGAATGCAGGAAAAGGGAAAGGCATGAGGGAAGCAGGATCCCCAGAGACAGTTTTATGCCTTCAGCAGAAGCCATTAGTTAACAATTTCCCTAGCCTGTACCACTTCAGCATGGAAGAGAAGGATGCACATCTGAATATTCCTGCATATATATATATATATATATATATATATATATATATATAATCACTGGCACATGAAAAACTAAAAGGCCACGGATTTCAAGGTAGCTTTCTCTGAAGACATGCTACTTTTCTATGTGCAAGGAGGAACAATCAAACATGCAAGCTCCTTGCGGCAGGCTAATGTTCTATGGTCCAGGAAAATCAAGATCATTTGATGCTGCTGAATGCATAAAAACAGGCCCATAATAGCCTTTCTTGGCTCTGAGGAAAGAGCCCCACGAAGGGAGTGGGTCTAAGAGAAGGTTGGTAGGTTTTCCTGGTTCCAGAGACAGCCCATTACTTCCCACTGTTCTTTCACACACAGCTACACCTACTGCTGGTTGTCCTCTCTGACGACAGGCAGCGTGCAAGGGAGATACAAAAAAAAAGGGGGTGGGGAGATGGCAATCGGGGACATGACGTTAGAGACAATATCAAAGCACAATGCCCCTTTAAACACACCCAATACACACATTTCTGGTAGAGTGTCACTGATATGCCAAATAAATAGAAGGTTCCCCTTGGCTAGCATTAGTGCTCTGGTTAACGGGGTCTGGAGAGGAATGGACATAATAGAACTATGGCAAAATTATAAGCTTTAGTTTGGAGCCAAGGACAGGGGTACAGTTAAGAACAGAGAAACAGCATGGAGCAAGTTAAGAGAGAATAAGGTGTTAAGAGATTTGTGCTTTATGCTCCAGATTAAGATGGGGGTTACCCCCAGAAGGGCAGAGCTTCTGTTCCCTTTAAAGAACTCTGAATTTTCAGCAAGGGCAGTCCTCCTCATAAATGCACCACTATTTGTTTTTTTGTCAGGAGGGGAGATGCACCTGCCTTTCAGAGAGTTCTGAAAAATGACAGGAGCAATGGGTTCATCCAAACTACCTTTTGTGCTGTGTTACTAGGCACGGTTCTGGGCTTTACAGCCCCATGTCTGAATGTTTGCTTGTTTGTTTGTCCCAATGCTTTCCCTGAGAAAACCTGCATTTCAACACTGAATAGCTCGGTTTTCTGCAAATTGCCATCTGCTCTGATTCAGCTGTAAAACGTGGGTTTTCTTGGGGAAAGCGACGGGGGGGGGGGGGGACCCACCAGGACACAAAGTTTTAAAGCACAGGCCTGTGCCTGGAAAGTATGGGGCAAAAGATAGCCCGAATGAGCCCAATGTTCTATTGGGAATAGAATCAAGCTAGGGCTAAGCAATTTGTTACACAAACAGAAATAAGAGAGTGAGAGGGATGCTGCAAACAAAAAACAGCAGCGATCACTGTCTGGTTGACATCCCAGCCACCCCCAATAGCGGCAGCTTTCCCCAGTGCTGGAATGCTAAACAAACCCCTCTCTCAAGGTGCCTGAACAATTACGATTTAGGGCAGGAATCAGCATGAGCAAACGCACCCACAGTCCAAATGTGGGGATCACGCATGGCTGCAATCATCAAGGAAGTTAAGCCCTCAATAGCAAGGCTTCTGGAGTGATTTTGCCAAACTGGCTTTGGAAGGGAGCCAGCTGCCCAAGGATGTTTTAAAAGCTGGAAAGGAACATTGGCAGGCTTTGGCTCGCACAGCTTTTTTTATTATTTAAAAAGCTGCAAATACGGTCCAAGGCTTTGGGCAAAGGGATACAACTGTCTTATCTTGCCTCAAATTCTTCCTCCATGGCCCCCAATAATGTGTTCCTAGCTGGCCCACTGTTTAAACTGAGCCTTGACTGAGAAGAGATCCAACACTGGGGCAAAAAGATTCAACTAAGACCCAGCCAAATTTGCTGAGGGAAGTTTGAGCACCCTTTTCTACACAGAGGTATTTTTCTTTACATATATCCAACTTCAAGGCTGAAGACAGCGGCTGTGTACACACCATACATTTAAAGCACACTGCTTCCCCCAAAGAATCCTGGGGACTGTAGTTTACCCCTCACTGAGCTGCACTTCCCAGCACCCCTAACAAACTACAGTTTGCAGGATTATTGGGGGGGGGGAGAGTCATGTGCTTTAAGAGTATAGTGTGTGTGTGCAGTCATTGCTGCCCTCCAAGGCAAAGACCAAAATGGTACCACCACCCTCATTCCACGTTCAGAAGCCAACTGGACTTTTGACTGAAGTCAACACTGGTGACTTGTCCAGCGTACCGCAGGACAGCAGGCTAGCTGGGCGTGCAGGCCAGGCTGCATTGCAGACACAGCTCTGGCCTCTCAACCCCTCGTCATCACCCACTGCCAGCCCCCAAGCACCTGCCACCTGAGGCAGTCACTTCACTCCATAACAGGCCCAGCCCTACTGGCTTCCTAACACACACAACTGAAGGAAAAGATGATGCTCATGCCATAATCCACACATGACTATGTCAGTGGAGTACCTGTGTAGGAGAAAGCATCATTGTGTGAAGCAGGCTTAAAGACATCTTTTGATCCCACACTCTCCTATGAGAGGTGGGTGGGAGGAAAGAAAGAAAGAAAGAAAGAAAGAAAGAAAGAAAGAAAGAAAGAAAGAAAGAAAGAAAGAGAATCAAGGACAGATTGAGAGGAGGAGAACCCAGCTGGTGATTCTCTGAAAGGATCTGTCGGAGACAGAGATGGCAGCAGAAGATACAGATGAGAAACTCAGAAATATTGTTGGGCGCATGCAAGGAGGAGTCCCTCACAGAACATTTGAAATTTCCTTTAACACTGACCAAAGGTTACACACAGCAGGGATGTAGAGCTATTTGGCTAGGATTTTGTTCACCACCTGCCGACAAAAGTATAACCCACTTTGAGTAGGGCAAACCACAAGTTATAGCTTTCACAATTTAGCAAAGTATGCTCAAACTGGCCTCTTGTTATATGGATAAAACATCAGTCCCAAAGATGTACTCTCAGTCTGGGGTTGGTTTGCCACAGACAACACTTTCACTCTCTCCCCCTCCAGCTATTTGCCCTCTGAAAGTGCTGCTTACAGTAAACAGAACCAACTTCACAGGGAAATATCAGCTTGTGGGAAGGTGTCGCTAGGAAAATGGCACAAGGCCCCATTCTGGTGTGAGACCTTGATGTGGATTAGGAGAGTTCTAGATTGGAGGGCCATGCTATTACTATATTTATTTCCTTTATTTTTATTGTATAATTAAATTTTCTCTGTGTGTTTTGCTTTTTTTGTAATTGGTTTTTATACCAATTTTTGAAGCCTGCCCTTCCTCCCAAAGGAGCCCAGCTCAAGCACGCTTTTCCAAAAGTGTTGTACCTCCACTGATGGAGGCAGCATGCCTCCGATTACCAGCGGCTGGTAACCGCAAGTGGGGAGGGCTCTCTTGCGCTCAGGCCCTGTTTGCAGACTTCCTTGAGGCTTCTGGTTGGCCCCAGTGAGGACAGAATGCTGGACTAGATGGGCCACTGGTGTAATCCAGCAGAGCTATTCTTATGTTCAGAGAGAAACCGTTCCCTGCTGCAGACAGTTGGCTTCCATAAATTGGAGGACAATGAAAATAGCAACCCAGGGGAATGAGAAAGATAATAAAAACAGGGACCCTAGGTGTGTGAAAGTAGCCACTGATGTCACACACACATCAGTGTTTTAAGGCATGTTCACACATTACACTAAACACAAGTACAAGCTGTTTCTACACAGGCACATGTGTTTGCATAAAACAGCTCAGCTACTGCGTACATAGACTATACACTCGTTGAATGTTACATGTGAATAACTGTACGAGTGTGCAGCTGAACTATTTGTGTTCACAGGTATGCTGACATTGAATGTAACATGTGAACGCCACTACCTGCTGCCACTTTGGAACATCTAAAGAGAGCCGTAATCACGACACAGCCACAATGAATGTGAGAAAGATTTTTAAATAATAATTAAAATTTCAAAGCTTTGCTTTGCTGCCCTTCTTAAAGATCCAGAGTCCTTATTTAAAGTGAGTCACAGTTTTGCGGCCAGGGGATAGAGGGAGAGAAAGCAGAACAAAGGAGGAAGACGGCAGAGAAACCCAGAACTGCAGACAGCCAGTCATGGGGTTGGATATGAGAAGACTGCAAATATCTGTGTTGAGGAAATAAATGAGCCTTCACCAAAAGTTATGTGGTGTGAGTAGGCTGGACCAGCCCCTTCCTCGGCACAAAGAGTACTGAGCTCAGTGGCATGTCGAACTGCCAGTCCTTGAACACAGTCAGTAGCATGTATGTGAGAATTGCACAGCAGCAACGAAGGGAAAAACTGGTTGCAAGGACACAGGAATAATGCAAAGGTGGGGAAGAGGGGAGGAAGGTTGTCAAGCATAAGATCCCTCTTTTTCTGTGTTTAGAGGGATATAAGAGCTGATCTGCCATGCTTTATCCCCCTAAAATGCACAGAAGACAAACTGGGGGTGGGGTGGAGAAATGAGGACAGCAGGAGAGCTGAAACTCACAGCCTGAACAGCCATTTTGAAAACACACGGTAAGTTATTGTGTGATACAAGATGGCTGACCATCATGAAGGCAGGCTTTGCATCCCACTGGATGCTCTCGTTCTTCATCTGTGAGTAGTCAGTTCCAGTAACTTTCCCACTAACACTACCCTATTGTCTTATTTTTTTTAATGAATATAGTTTCTTAACTGGTCTGGGCCACATCCACACCATAATTTAAAACACCAGTCTACCACTTTTACAGTCATGGCTCCTCCATGTCTCAAAGCATCCTGGGAACGGTCATTTGTTAAAGGTGCTTAGAGGTAGGAGCTCTAATTTCCTAAGTTCCCTAACAAGAGCGGTTGAGAGTAAAACCACTCAAAAAATGAGTTCTGTTAGTTCCTAGCAACTCTCAGCACCCTTAATAAACTACACTTCCCAGGATTCTTTGGGGGGAGCCATGACAAAAGAGCACTTTAAATGTAAGGTGTTGATGTGACCCTGGTCTAAACTATTACAGCTTGGGCACCAAATGAAAAAAAACAAAAGGCCCTGAGGCATCTTAAAGACCATCAAACATATTATGGCAGGTGCTTTTGTGCACCATGTGCCATAATAAAGCTGCCAGTCTTTGAAGATGCCACAGACTAAACAAAGCAATTGCTTTGGAAACTACCCCAAAATGAAGATCAGAATGTTCTTACAGACAGACCATCTACCTCTCTGCTTCTCAGAGGACAGCACATTCCCCCCCCCCAAAAAACCCCTGCTCCCAGCTGCTTATAGGGAACTTACAGTGTCTGATAGGTGCTGTCCTTTGCCTTGAGGAATTTCACCACGAAAAATACAACGGCTTGGAGGCTGAGCACCAGGATGATTCCCCCGATGAAGCTGGCAGAGTCAAATCCTGGCGGGTGGAACTCCGGGGAGTCAGTTAGCGGAGGGCTGGCCGTTGTACCTAGGGGGAAACAGAGCAAGGGGGTTGTGAAGGTACCTGGCAAAAAGGGAGAAGGCTGCAGCTCAATGTGGGAAGAGTATCTGCTTTATACGCAGAAGACACCCCTGCACAAAAATACTAGAGAGCCACTGCCAATCAGTGTAGGCAATGCTAGTTTGACTTGCATGTTCTTGAAAGAGTTTACAACTGAGAGATCATATTCTTTACTTTCCCACCAGTCCATTAACTCACTATTACTGGCCCCTCCAGATTGAGTGGGGGATTTTTTTGGGGGGGGAGGGGGAAGCGTGTATTTTGTATTGAATCGCTTATACAATAATATTTAAGCATTTATAGGCTGCACGTTTCATAAAAATGCTACAAGGCTGTATACAATACACAAAATTACAACAAGATTTTTTTTTTCAGATACAGGCTCCAAAGATGGAGTAATGATTAGTTCCGTCATAAAAAAAAACCCCAGCTAACAACTTATTCAAAAATTCAGCCACCTCTGAGCAGTCCCACATGTGCTTCTATGTACCAACTACACAGCAGCCCCTCCAACACAGTGAAGATGGACCTGTGTGCACAATGGAGAGCAGTCCCGGAGTAAGGTATCAGTACTGTACTAACTTTAAAGAGAGCTCTGAAGTTTGAGCTGATGAAGACCTGTATGGAGGCTTGGCCACAGACCATATAACACCTCTGCTCAGAGATCTGTGCTAGTTGTTGATTTGCCAAGCTCAAGGTATTACTATTACTATCTGGAGGCAGTTGGAGGATGGATGGCGGCTAATGGATTAAGGCTGAATCCTGACAAGAAATAAGTACTTTGGGGGGGGCAGGAGGCTGGCAGGTATGGGGGACTCCCTGGTCCTGAATGGAGCAACTGTGCCCCTGAAGGACCAGGTGTGCAGCCTGGGAGTCATTTTGGACTCACAGCTGTCCATGGAGGTCCAGGTTAATTCTGTATCCAAGGTGGTTGTCTACCAGCTCCATCTGGTATGCCAGCTGAGACTCTACCTGCCTGCGCATTGTCTTGCCAGAGTGGTACGTACTCTTGGTTATCTCCAGAATTTCCTGCAGCATACAGGGGGTACCTGTAAGTCCCCTGCAAGTCTTATGATTATCTGTCGCACAGAAATTCCAACAGCCTCTGCAGCCTAAATTTCCTGCCTTCGCCAAAACCTCTCCCTAGCAATGTTAATGGGTCACAGTCAAAAATCCCCTTAAGGAACAATTCAGGCTTTCCTGATGATGAAAGAGATTAGGTGGCTGAGGCGGGCAGTGTCTGAAATGGCACCTCCTGGCCAACCTTACCCCTCACTTTACAAGATGTAAGGATCGAAAAGCATCATTTTGTTGCAAGCGTCTTCTTTTTTTGTCTTTCACCATCCCACGCTAGTCAGCTCATGTACAGGTCGTATTGCAAAGACTTAGCTGCTAGAACTTAAACCTTCGTTCCACGGACTGTGCATTCACCACCCAGCCAAGTGTTTCACATCTCCATCACAAAAGCAGCCACGCAATGCTGCAGCGTTGCTACTGAAGGGGTGCACTTTGCAAGGAAACAGAGGAAGCAGTTAAACACAGTGTGGGCAAGGCTGATGTGGAAGCCGAAAAACAGGAGCCCTCGCTCACGCAGAGAAAAATGAGTGCATACAACTTCCTGTCAGGAGCCTGCGCTGGATCAATAATTCACAAGGATTCAGGATAGAGTTACTCACTTTAATTAGCCCAAAGCTCTTCAATTCTTGCTCTTCTTTTCGGCAGGAAGATTCATTCTCCCTGAGAACACATACATCCATCTCTCCTTCACTTCTTTATTAGCTAGCTTTTCCCTTTCCGTTCCTTTGGCCTGCCTTGTTAAGCTTTCTCATCCAAACCAGCGACGGTGTACAGCAAGAGTTGCCAGGCCTCTTGGCAATAGCAAAAGGATCTGTTTTATTTTATTAAAGCCCCTTAATTTTCACCTGAAATAGTGGTGGGAAGTCTTGCTCTCTTCTAAATTGCTGCTAAAAGCACAGTCATTTTTCAAAGGTGAGGTCTGAATGACTCTCCATGTAGGATTGGGAACATGTTGTGGGCTTGTGGGTGGGAAGATTTGGAGCTAAATTCTAAGCAGAATCTGAACTGAATCCTAATAATAATAATAATAATAATAGTAGTAGTAGTAGTAGTTTCCTCAGCCACTCCAACAAAGTATTAAAATACAATAATTAATCAAATACTAAAACCTTTCCTAAACAGGGCTGCCTTCAGATGTCTTCTAAACGTCCAAATTGTTGGAGAAGCACACTTTGCCCTGGATACAATCACACTGAGACTCTGGGTTTAGGAAAATAGGAAGATCCTAGTTCTACTTAGGTAAGGTGGCGATGCAATTAGCCATGTTTGCTCTCACGTCTCAAGGTAAGCTGTGGTCCTGTTCCCCGAGTGACAAGTGTTTACCACAACAGAAGGGCTTGCTAAGGAAAACAGCACCTGGAGCACATATGACCACCAAGAAGCCACTCTGCATTCCCCACTTGGAGATGCTCTAGCACTAGCTCACCAACATTCAAACCCTCCCCTTCTCCAATGCGCAAAAGATAAGGGGAATCACACTTACCAAGTGTGATGATCTCATGCTCCTTAGTGGCTGGTTTTGGAGGCTCTTTGGTGGTTGGCTGTGGAGGTTGCTTGGTGGTTGCTTCGGATGCTAAGAAAAGAACCATCATTAGCAGGGGGGGTGGGGGGGGAGGTCAACCCACACCTCTTTCCTACAAGAAAATTTCCCTACCACACATTGCATTATCCAAGCAGATCATCACATTAGAGAAGCACACTCAGGGTTATGCACACTCAGTGACAAGAAAAGCCACACTACATTTATATAAAGTAGAATAATTAGAGCAAACTAATAAAAAAGTAGTCATTCAAATACCTGAAGGGAAGAAGACAAAGATTTGTTATCTACTGCCCCACAGGACAGAGCTAGATCTTAATGGAGACCATCTTGTCTGTGTCAAGATACAAACGGCTCCCAATGTCTGCACTTTCTGGAAACTACTGAACATGGTAGGGCAAGCTTTCATAGCTGGATAAATGGATATTTGCCACGAGCGAATATTTTGTATTGTTTCAGTTTTATTTTAAATGCATCTGCTTTTTGTGATTTAACTATTTATTTATTTATTTATTTAGTGCTGTTTTTATTTAGACAGCTGTAGAACATGAATAAATAGACATAAACAGCTGTTAACATCAATAGCTAAGAATGAACCCTTATGTACCTTATGGCAAGAAATCCCATAAAGATGCCTGATAACTCAGGAAAAATTGCTGCCAGGAAGGGCAGCCTGTATTGGATCAGATGGGCAAATGGTTTGAAGAGGACTCCTCCAGCTGGTCATGTGAAAGTGTCCTCTATGTCAGAGATAAAGAACCTGTGGCCCTCCAGATCAGGGAGTCTCCTCCCCCTAGCTACTTTTCTGATCCTTCAGGGAGGAAGTGCCACCCCACCCAGAACAGAACGTCTCCCTAGTTCCTTCTTGCTTCTGTATCAAGAGTCATAAGCAAGAAAAATGTTTGAGGAGGTCCTGGTGATCAGGTTCCAGAATGAACAGGCAGAGGCAAAGGTCCTGAGGCAGATGATGAGGCCTAACAGACAGCATGGTGATCAGTGGTTGGGCAGAAAAGCATTACCTTCACACCTGGAAGTGACATTGTAAAAGTGACACTTCTCCTTGGCCGGCTCTCCCTTTACAACACAGCTACCAGAACCTGAGGATAGAGGAGAGAAACCAAGTCACACTGAAAATCCTGCATGTCTCCCTCTCCCCCAAACACACATTTCCCCCACTCTTTTATACAGGGCTACGCAACCAGAGTGCGTAGGTGGGGTGCTAAGTAGGCATCACCCTGCTGCCCTCCTCACCATACAATTGTGATGGCAAGAGGGAAGCATACCTGGAAAGGGATGCTGCAATCAACAGCAAGCATGATTTAACACAGGAGTGAGTGAGTGAGTGAGTGAGTAAGTAAGTAAGTAAGTAAATACAACAACAACAACAACAACAACAACATCATCATCTTCCCACCTGACTGGATTGCTCCAGCCACTCTGGGCGGCTTCCAACAAATATAAAAGTATGATAAAACATCAAACATTAAAAACTTCCCTATACAGGGATACACAGTTGTATTAACTAGTAGCGCCTTAGAGACGAACTAAGTTTGTTATTGGTATGAGCTTTCGTGTGCATGCACACTTCTTCAGATACACGAAAGCTCATACCAATAACAAACTTAGTTGGTCTCTAAGGTGCTACTGGAAGGAATTTTTTTTATTTTGTTTCAACTACGGCAGACCAACACAGCTACCTACCTGTAACTTGTATTAACTAGATAGTGAAGAATGTGGAGTGGGGAATTAGCACCAGAGGAAATCTTGACAACCCAAACCTTTCCTGAAAGAAGGATCCACTCTAGAGTTTGCTGGGTGGGAGATGCAACTGCTATCCAAGACACCTTCACCTGAGATCAGGGGTGGGGAATCTTTGGCCCTGCAGACAGGGGTGAAGGAAGGCTAACCAGCACCCAGTGGGGGGTGCAGGGCAAACAGCCTGGTGGCACATGTGCTTGTGGCGTACATGTGACGCATGCGCACCGCCGCTACGTACTGCGCAAGTGCATGCGCCGTACGTAGCATGCACAGTATATAGCGGCACTGCGCATGCGCCGTGGGGCAGTTTGCCGACGTCACTGCTCAAGCACCATACGGACAGCAGTGGGATCCCTCCACCGCTGCTGCAGTCACAAGCAGAGAATCCTCCGCACGCGACGGCTGTGCGATTTCAGCAGCTTGCGCTGCTGCGCCCAGGGGCGGCGGGGCAAGCCCCCCGCAAGGTGGGGCTTGTCACCCCCCTTAGAGATGGCACCCAGGGGGCACCGCCCCCCCGCCATTGGCTATACTTCCTGGGACTGTTTGAGCTACACGGACCAAAGGTCTGACTCAGTGTAAGGCAGCTTCTTGTATTGGGAAGCAGCCGTAGCTCAATGGCTGAGCATCTGCTCTGCATGCAGAAGGCCCCGGGGTTCTTTCCTTAGCATCTCAGTCTGGGAAAGAACACAGTCTGGGATCCCGGAGAACAGCTGCGGGTCAGTGTGGACAATGTTGAGGTGGATGGACCAATGGTCTGATTGGGCATAAGGCAGGTTCCTATGTTCCTAACCAAATCTCTCCCATCCCAGTTCACATCTTTCACCTTGCCCTCCTTCCACCTGCTGTAGCAAGTAGGGCTCCAGGTAGTCTGCACACCTGATGAAGTGGACAAAAGGGCCAGGTAGCAGCGAGGAAATGGGCAAGACACCACCCCCTGTTCTTTCTCCATATGAAGATAAGCACTTCGGCAGGAGCTTCCAGGACAACGTTGTGAGATGGGAGTTTGTTTCTGAACCAGCAGAGAGCAGAAGGCTGTATCTTTGTGGCTCCCATCTATCTATCCCCCTGGGGATGGCAGTCATGGCAACAAACGAAGTACACAAACCGACACAGATGCAGAGCTTGAGGCGATTCCACTCAGAGGGGTAGCCACAAACTCCCAGCAAATGGAAGGAGGGATTTCCAAGTATCAGCCAGGGCCTTAAAGTAGCAAGGTCCTTTGCTTTTTGCTTTCAAGCAAGACAAGCAGAAGGCAGAAGGCCATGTAAAGGATGCCGGATCAGGCCTAAGGCATCCTTTCCCTACTTGTGATTCCCAGTGACTTTTATTCAGAGGCATATTGCCTCTTGCACATCCAGCAAGTCAGGAACTGAGTGGTCCTTGGAGAAGGTGGCAACTGATGAAGCACAAGGCATATGCGCCAGAGATTCTGGCACCTTCAGTGAGAATGGGCCGGTGGCCCCATTGGAGAGCCAGAACCAGCCAGAGAAGACAGAAAAGGGCTGGATGCACCATTTTGTGGCTTCCTAACATCTTGGTAATGTGTAAGGTGGGGTGGCCCTTGCAGACTGCTCAGAGGAACAAAGGGAAGTGGTCAGGCTATTTCTCCATCTAGTCCAGTATTATCTATTCAAGTCTCAGAAAAGGGTCTTTCCCATCATCTGGTTGGTGCCGAATCCTTTTAACAAGAGATGGTAGGGATTGAACCTTGAGACCTCCTGCATGCAAGGCCTGGTCCTAGGGTATGGTCTGAAGGTCCACAAAGCCACCAGCTAAGCAGGTTTGGGTCTGGTCAGTGCCTGGATGGGTGACCACCTAGAAATTACATTGTCTTGGTTTCAGTGATGCATGAGATGTACATATTTAGGGCTGCCAGACGTCTGGGTTCTCCCAGACATGTCTGGGAATCGCTCTGCAAAATGGCGTCCAGGTGGATTTTTGCTGAATCGGCAAAATGTCCTGGAAAACCCGGATGTATGGGAAGTTGGGCTAGTTTTTTTTACAAAAAACTTTAGAAACCAAAGAAAAGTCCCAAAACGATTTGGGGGGCACTCAACAACTTCGATTTTCACTTTTGGAGACGTACACAGCATCTCCACTCCATGTATGAAGAGACGTTCAGGTGCTGGAAGAGCTTGACGCAGCTCCTGCTCCTCCCTGATGACCTCCACCCATCCTCTCTAGCTCTCCAACTGCCTGCCCCTTACTCCCAAACCATTTCTTCTCTTCCTGGGACCCTGGAGAGCTGCTGCCAGTCAGAGTAGACAATACTGAGCTGAAGAAGTAACCACAGCGCAATGGCAGAGCACATGCATCATCCACTGAAAAGAGGTGGCAGGTGATGGTAAGTCAGAGCAGACAATACTGAGCTAGGTGAGCAAATCATTGGACCTGGCAGCATTACGTAGCATGCACACCATGTCGGAATTCTTCGACCATCTGGGGGAGAAGAGGGAAGCCATTACAAAAACTCAAAGCACTGGGAGGATAAGGCAGGGAAATGGAATTACTTTAGGCAAATATGTTCCACTTTGCAGAGAACATGTAGAATTGGGCCATTCTTTGTAAGGCATATGAACTGAGTTTTTGGCAAGCATCCCCCACCACCTGCCTCAGCTTACCTGGCTTCTCCTCAGACTCTCGGCAGTGCATCCACACGCAGTTCGTGATGTTCAGAGTAGCATCTCCTTCAATGCACTTGTCACATGACTCCAATTCTTTGCATTCTCCTGCAAAACAGCAAAAAAGGAACAGGCTGAATTTTCAGGCAAGTATGAATCCTGCATTGCCACTTTGGAGCAGGCTGCAAGAGAAAACAAAAAACAGGAAGTGGAGCACTATGTGGTCTGGGGTTGTATAGATACCCAACGGCCTGTTGATTTCTGGAGTCTTTGCCCCACATTTTGCCTGTGGTCCTGTATGCTACAGCCCCCACTATTAGTAAAACTGTAAAGACACACACACACACACACACACACAGACACACACAGACACACACACACACACACACACACACACACACACACACACACAAATATACGCAAGCCTAGATATAACAAAGGCTTCAGAGATGGAATCCTCTGGTATCTGATACTCACTGTGCTATACTGCCTCTGAACATGGAAGTTTTATTTAGATATCATGGTTTGATTTGATTTCATGTCAGTGGTACCTCTTGTTATGTACTTAATTCGTTCCGGAGGTCTGTTCTTAACCTGAAACCGTTCTTAATCTGAGGTACCACTTTAGCTAATGGGGCCTCCCGCTACCGCTGCGCCACCGCCACACAATTTCTGTTCTCATCCTGAGGTAAAGTTCTTAACCCAAGGTACTACTTCAGGGTTAGCAGAGTCTGTAACCTGAAGTGTTTGTAACCTGAGGTGTTTGTAACCCAAGGTACCACTGTATTCATAAAATGCATATGCCACTTAATGGGAAAAATAATAATAATATCTCTTAACTGAGGCCCAAACCATCAGCCCACCAGGCACCAACTGCTGTTTGGTCAGCAGCCATTCCAGCCAACCATGAGAAAAACAATCACATAATTTTTTGGAACTTTAGTGCTTGAATTTTTGCTTACTTTCCCCCTTTAGTATCCGGTCTATCCGACTGTGAGCCCCCAGGCTGGCAGGGACTGCTGTAGTCTGGAAGACATCTGTGCCGTGTTTCTAAGATGTTAGGTGCTGTACAAATCACCACCACCACCATCAGTTTCATTATCAAGACACTGTGAATTCTATTATCAGCTATAAATACAGAAATATTTTTAAAGCTGCTGCTTATTACAGCTGTGGCAACATGATGGAAGAGTACCCAGCTATCTGGAGGAGATTGCACTGAATGTACCGAACTCAGAAGAGCTGCCTGCATGCACAACACATGCGGAATGAGCTCTCGCCAAACTCGCCTGTTTTATGTATCAATGCTGACCTGCCAGTGGCGGAACTGCCAAGAGTCTCTGCATGCTGGAGCACAGATAAGGCTGCAGCGCATGGAAGCTTATTCAACTTTTATTAAACCCATAAATGTTGGATTACATTTCTGCCACTGCACTCCATGCTCAATAAGTCAGCTGGCCTTTGGGAGACGAAGGCTTTCGGTTGAACACGAGAAGATCAGAAACTGTCGGTGACCTGACTCCCCTTACATCAGGAGTAGGGAGCCATTTCCAGACCAAGGGCCTCATTCCCTCCTGGAGCAGACTCTCAGGGGCCACATGCAAGTGTTGGGTGGGGCCAAAGGCAAAAGGGGGTGGAGCAATGAATGCACACACCCCTCTCTACCCTCCCTCCAGGCAAGCAAGAGGTGTTATCAGAGTTCAAGGACACATTCCAGACAAGCAAAAGCACTCAAAGAGGCTGGGAAGCAGGGCCAGTGAGGGGCATGGCCTGGGACAGTTCCAAGGGTCGGACAGAGTGGTGTTTAGGGCCACCCAAAAGCTGGCAACCTCTATTGCAAAAAAGAAGAAGAAAAGGATTCAAAACACTTCAAAGTGTGGAAACTTCCCATCACTGAAAACTGGATGGGTCTCTAATACAATTTGCAAACTTTTGAAAAGTTATCTGCTTCACACAGGCTAAGTCATATAGACCTGCTTTTATTTTATCTATTGCTTTATTACTACACCAATATCCCAACTTTCCTCCAGGGAGCTGACAGTGCCAGGCATAGTTCTCTTTCCCAGCCCCTTGTATCTTAGTGGGTTGTTTTTGTTTCGATTATGCATTTTGTGTTTTTATATTGTGATTTTATGTTGTAACTGCCCTGAGACCTTTGAGTATAGGGCAGTATACAAATTTTAACAACAACAACCCTCACAGGCTAGGCTAGGCTAGGCTAAGAGACGGGAAACCAAAAAAGTGCCCTCCAGCTCCCAGCTCCCAGCTCCCATCAGTCTCCGACAGCATTACCAACGGGGAGAGATGATGGGAACTGTTGTCCAACAACGTTTAGAAGACATCATGTTGGCTACCCCAACATGCTGCCTAATACCGAGTGAGACCACTGGTCCATCTAGCTCAGCATTGGCTAAACTGAGTGGTAGAAGCTCTCCAGGATTTCAGACCAGGGACATTCTCCGCCCCACCTGAGATGCCAGGGGTTCAACCTGGGACTTTCTAAACACACTGCAGATGCTCTACCACTGAGTGGCAGCCCTCATGACTGTCTCAAGATCACTCGGTGAGCTTCGTAGCCAAGAGGGGATTTAAACCCTGATCTGCCAAGTGCAACATTCTTAACTGCTAAACCACACTGTCTCTCTTTTTTGACAGCTGTTTCCTTTAAGTTGACCATGATAAGCAGCAGCAGTGAATTATGGGGCAAAGCAGTTATACAGCCAAGAGCAAATTATTTCTATTACCCTTCCTTAAAAGGGCCCACTTGTCATATTTAAAACAATTTTCAAAAAGCTTCCAAGCAAGAAACTTTACACACACACACACACACACACAGCCACAAATGCAGCTTAGCTGCAAGAGGAACTATGATCCCAGCTACGTCAGTGTAACCTTCCCTTCCAAGTGTGGCCAAAAGTTCCTGTAGCCTTTGGTGAAACCCAATACGACTTCGCATCAAGCATGACCGAATCTAATTAAAGCCCACACAACACTTCTCCATTTCAGCTTAGGGCTGGTGCAATCTGCAGGCTCAGGCTTTTCATGTCTGCTTCCAAACCCTTGTCGGTCTTCCACTCTGTACCCATTTTTAATTATAATCCTAAATTATATTTTCTGACCACCCTTCAACCCAGGTTCTCATACAAAGAATCCTGCGAAAAGCAACACGTAAACAATGAAATCATTTTTAAGATAACCAACTCATAGTTCAGTTACAAACACTTCATTTATTTCATTTATATCCCACCTTTTCTCCAAAGAGCTCAAGGTGGCATACGTGGTTCCCCCCTTGCTTTCAGAGTTACAGATTTCTTGCTTAACATCTAGCCTCATTGGTCCTAACAATGGCTTCCTTTAGTTAAAACTTGCAACTCCTATACTAGAATAGATGGGGGATGATGGGAAAGAATGAATGGTTAAACTCCCCCACCCACATTCCTTCCATCTACCATGACATACATTAATCCTAAATCCTATTACCATGGAATGCCATCTCTTCATGGCAGCCCCCTCCCTCGCCCCACATCCACTTGCTGACACTCAATTTTTTAAAAAGAAAAAATGAGCTAGAAAAAAAAACATGAGTCACAGCTTATTAATAGCAAATCCGTAGCTTTGTTTTATGAAATCTACCTAGAGAATTCTTTTCACTCCCCCATCAGAGATTATGCTTCAGCATGCCAATAGAACGAGATTCAAAAGAGGATTTATACTGGCAAGTTTCTCTCCCAGTCATAAAAATATGTTATGATAATTTTACATACGAAAGGAAGCAAGGTTTGGATCTAGTTTGGGGAAAGCAATAAAAGAGGTCAGTTTCTGAGGAAGCTGCATTTTTGTTAGGGCCCTCCAGCTGTTGTTGGATTCTTACTCCCATCATTCCCAACCACCATGCTGACGGGGGCTGATGGGAGTTGTAGTTTGACAACTAGGGCACAGGTCCTTGTTCTAATCAAACCTCAGATGCCTGAGGGTTTGGTTTTTTAGCCATATGTTAAAGAGCGTTTTACCAGGACCTGGGAGACCAGGGCCAAAATCCCCACTTAGCCATGAAGCTCATTGGGTGATTTGGGACCAGCCATTGCCTCTCAGCCTAACAGCTTTTAAAAGGGGGTGAGATAAATTCAGGGACGCAGGTGGCGCTGTGGGTTAAACCGCAGAGCCTAGGACTTGCCCATCAGAAGGTCGGCGGTTCGAATCCCCGCAACGGGGTGAGCTCCCGTTGCTCGGTCCCTGCTCTTGCCAACCTAGTAGTTTGAAAGCACGTCAAAGTGCAAGTAGATAAATAGGTACTGCTCCGTCGGGAAGGTAAACGGCGTTTCCGTGTGCTGCTCTGGTTCGCCAGAAGTGGCTTAGTCATACTGGTCACATGACCCGGAAGCTGTACACCAGCTCCCTCAGCCAATAAAGCGAGATGAGCGCCGCAATCCCAGAGTCGGCCACAACTGCACCTAATGGTCAGGGGTCCCTTTACCTTTAAGATAAATTCACTGGAGATTAAGGCCTCTGGTCACCACGGCTGTATGAAGTCTCTACCACCTGAGGCTCCATCTCTCTAAATACCAGTTGCCAGGGAACAACACAGCCTTTGTGTGTTCTCCTCTCCAAGACCCTGCTGCCTTTCTTCTCTGTTTGATGAATAGTTTTGTTGATATGTGGAAATTTGCACATCAGCCACACAGCAACCCTAGTTAGGTGAAGGATATTCTGGGCATAGGGTTAAATATGAGAGAATGTATTGCCGACCCTTGAATGCAACCACATTTCATTTCTTTCTTTATTACATTTATATCCCACCTTTCCTCCAAGGGGCTCAAGATGCTGTATGTAGCTCTCTTCCCCCTCCCCATTTAATCCCCACAACAACCCTAAAAGGCGAGGCGGAGACTGGACGACTGGACGAAGGCTAACCAGTGACAGCTTCGTGACTGAGCGGAGATTTGAACCCTGATCTCCCAGGTCCTAGGGCAAAACTCTAACCACTATACCATACTGCCTCTCAGTGATGCCCAGATAAGCTCTTGCTCTGACCTGAAAATGTGCGAGCAGGAGGGGTCTGAAGAGGTCTAACTGCGCTGCCCCCAACTCTCCAAATATCCTTTAACAAATCACACTGATGAGATGTATCTAAGAAATCTGCCAATCAGCCTGTTCCCACAGGGCTTACTTTCGAGTCGGCACACACAGGACAGGAAGGAATTCGGAACTGGAAGGCAACGGTAAGCAGGTGACACCCACTCACTTGGAGCTGACTTGTCAACAAGCAATGGATAGGTGTCCAAGTCAGCGTGAGTCTTTTCTGCTCATGCGAACATACAAGTTAACCAATTACCTTTCCACGGTGGAAAAGTTCAAAAGCTGACGGGGCCTATTGCCATGGATACGGGATTCTGACTACAGAGCTTTGCCTAGCAGTGAGGGACTGGTACTGTAGCCAATCAGGAAGCGGGACTTTGCTCTCCAGATTTCTGGCAGGTTTCGACAAGTCGAGTTATTTTTATCGTGGCAAAAGGAAAGATGCTCACAAATCAGACGCTTTACTTGACTCCTCTGAATCCTGGCATGCTTTATCGGACAGCAAGAGGCATGGGGGGTGGTGTGTGTGTGTGTTTGTGCGCGCGCGTATGTAGGGAGCGCACCGGCTGTTTCAAAATCTCTCTCAATCTGTTTCAGCCACACTACAGATGGGGCCTCAAACAGTAACCCCCAGAATAAGCAAATCACTGCGAGGGAAAGCGTTAACGAAAGTTATTCCCACTTTCCCATCTGCAGGACCGTGGGCAGTTATGGGCATCCACGAGGCTGCAATTCCGTGCAGGCACTTGGAAGCAAACCCCATTCAAATCAGAGTGAGGTAAAACGGGCATCAGAGAGAGCTGCAGGACTTCTTTGCAAGCATGGGGGAAGGGCCATAGCTCAGTGGAAGAACATCTGCCTTGCATGCAGAAGGTCCCAAGTTCAATCCCTGGCATCTCCAGGTAGGGCTAGGGATGTCCCCTTCCTGAAACTCTGAAGTCACTGCTCAGTAGACAAAACCGAGCTAAACGAACCAATGGTCTCACTTGCTATAAGAGGACAGGGCCCTTGTACCTTTGAAAGGTGTGCAGAAGAATTTTAGTTAGGGCAGCTTCTCATCACCCTGCAGGGCAAACTGCCCGCACGCCAAAATTTCCTCTTCTTGCACAGCTGGTAAAAAAGAGAAAACCATGCAAGAACCCCAGCACCTTCCTTGGTCGCCTGGTCTTTGCACCTCTTGCAAAACTTTCAGCAAACGCCACTATTCATCTATAGAGTTGGATGACACCCTGTGCTATCCACAGTTTGCCTCCAAGCCATTTTCAGAAAGAGCAAAGACCAAAGGAATGTAAGAGTCTACAGAATGTGCCTTTTGGCTCCAAGTAAGGTGAGTTGCACCTTCCAATTTCCCGTGATGATCACTCTCAAGGTAGCCAAGGTAGTGCCCTCCATCGGTTGTTGGGAACTACAACTCCCATCAGCCACCTCCACCCCCGCAATGTGGCTAATAGCAAGAAATGATGGAAGTTTTATTTATTTGGAATGCACCATGCTGACTGCCCCAGATCCTTGCTGTGCCCTGAGATCTGCAAACGAAAGGTAGTATACAAATTTAATAAATAATAGTAATAATAATGATGCTGAGACACCTCCAAGATATTCAGCGGTGCCCACTGGGACAGGTAAGCCAGAAGGCACAGAGAACAGCAGCAGGTGGCACCAAAGCCAATGAGAAGTCTTTCTCACACCCTCCTCCCTCCTGAGTTTACAAGGCCAACACAGAGTGCTACCCCCATGGAATGGTTGTAAGGAAGAAGGCAGGCAGGGAGGCTGGCTGAAGGGAGAATATGTCGATGGGGGAGTGCCTCACTGACTCTAATGGACTAGCCTCCACCGAAGAGACATTGACTTGCGCCCTACCATCAATGAAAACTCACATCATCACGGCTCCATTGGGACAACTGGAATAATCCCACAATTGTTTCCTCCCACTACCAGAAACTCAAAGAGGCCTATCACTAACTGTGGGCATTGAAACAGCTTTTATGGGGCAGGCAGGTCAGCGTTGGCTCCAGTCCTTCGGACATGATTCCTTCAAGGGGGCTACCTCTTCCTCTTTGCCGCTACTGCTGCTGCTGCCACCCACACCCTTGCTCTCCTCTCCCTCTCTGCTTCCAAAGGAGAGGGTGAGGCAAGCAGAACCTGGTACTCCTTTCCTTTGTCCCTGCTGCCACTACCTCACTTGGAGAGGGAAAGAGGTAACACAGAGAGGTTGTTGCACTCCCAACTCACACCAGCATATAGCCAAGGGTCAGGTAGGCGAGAGATGGAGTCCCAACAACATTTGGATGGATGGTCAAACATGCCCCATGCAAGGAGTTCACTTGCAGAATCACCTTACCCCGTGTATGCCCACTGCAATCTGTGAAACTGCTACTCTTACAGGTGCCATACTCCTTCTGCACTTGTGAGAAGTTGATTTTTTAGCATTGCATCACCGACACATTGGGACTCCCTGCCTATTGACATCAGGCAGGTACCTTTGCTGGCGTCTTTTCAGCACTTGCTTGTGTTTGTTCAGGCAAGCCTATCCAGATATCTAGGGTGGTGACATGTGTTTTAATCTATTTTTGCTTGATTCAAATCGGCTTTGGAATGTCCTTAAATACATGTTTTGGCTTTGGAATGTCCTTAAATACATGTTTTGATCATCTTGATGTTTTTAATTTATTTTTGCAAACCGCTTGGAGGTTTTATTACAGTCAAGCAGCGTGTAAATGTTGCAAAGTAAATAAAATTTATTAAGGAGGACACGGTTAGGGGGCTCTGGGAGTTAGCAGTGGGTGGTCTGCAAGGAAGGAGCATGGGAGATGCTCAAAGAAGTTGATCCCTGATGCTGATTGACCATACATGCATGCTTGCAGCTGAAAGCTAAAATAGCCCTGTGCTGTGCTAGTCTCTCCTATGCAGCTACTTACAAAACCAAGGAGGGAGAAGGAGACTTGTGAGTCGGCAGTGAGACAAGGGTCTCAGCAGTGTCACAGATCTCCACTCAATTAAATGCCACTTCACAGCAGAGCCTTGCTTTCTGCATGGAACATTCAGATACCCTGAGAGAACAAGTGACTAGATGCATTATTAAGGGAGAACCAGTTCTGGAAGTTTTAATACCTGCATAGAAGGGGGACATCCAGGGAGTGCAATTTTTCACCTGAGTTGCGCTTGGGTCATTAGCAACCTGCACTTGCCACAATCTCCTGCAGTTCCCCGCAGGAGCTGGGCTCTTGGCTCAGAAACCCGACTACATTAGTTCAGGCACTGACAACCTCAAGGCTGAATTACCACAATGTGTTCTGTGTGGGGCTGCCCCTCGGATCTGGTCTGGAGATGGGAAGAGACTACAGCCGATGTATGACACCTGTGCTAAAAGACCTGCACTGGCTTCCCGTCTTCTACTGAGCAAGGTTCAAGGTTCTTGAAGAAGTGCAAGCCCTGAACAGCTTAGGCTCAGGATACCTTTAGGACTGTCTTGCCCAGTATGTCCCAGGCCAATCACCAATATCATCTGGGGCAGCACTATTAGTGGCTCCCAATGGTGCAGAAGCATGACTCATGTCAACATGAGCCTTCAGGACAGTGGGCCCAAATCTCTGGATCACCGTCCAGTAGAAACCAGGCAGGCACTGCCCTGGCGAAGTTTCAGATGCCAAAATGGTTTTATTTCAGGAGTGCAGCTCTGATGTTCCCTCCTACAGATGTTTCAGTCTATGCTTTATATTTTGTACGTTGTATTTTGTCTTCTTTGTAAGTCATTTTAAGGCACCTGTGAAAAGCAGGTTGCACATTTTAAAAACAAACTGTAACAGTTTGCTGCTTTCTAACCAAGTCAAGCACAGAGGAATGACACATATGTAAGGAAGTAAAGTCGAATAGCAAAAGATCCAGGAGAGACCACCCCTTTTGCTGTAGTTGTTAAATGACTTGTGCTTACCCTAGCTGCTGAACAGAGACACCCCACTTCTATACAGGTGTTAAAAGTGCCAGTATAGTGGGAAATAATAATAATAATAATAATAATAATAAATAATTTTATTTATATCCTGCCCTCCCCAGCCGAAGCCGGGCTCAGGGCGGCTAACAACAATAAAACAGTACAAAAGTACAGCACAAACAACACTCTAAAATCATTCATTATAAAATTAATTAATTCAAGCCAATGGCAACCATTGGGCCAGAGCTCCGCGAAGATTGCCGAGGGAGGGAGTCAGGCTGTGCCCTGGCCAAAGGCCTGGTGGAACAGCTCTGTCTTGCAGGCCCTGCGGAAAGATGTCAAGTCCTGCAGGGCCCTGGTCTCTTGTGACAGAGTGTTCCACCAGATCGGAGCCACGGCCGAAAAGCCCTGGCTCTAGTTGAGGCCAGCCTAACTTCTCTGTGGCCTGGGACCTTCAAGATGTTTTTATTTGAAGACCGTAAGTTTCTCTGTGGGGCATACCAGGAGAGGCGGTCCCGTAGGTACGAGGGTCCTAGGCCGTATAGGGCTTTAAAGGTTAAAACCAGCACCTTAAACCTGATCCTGTACTCCACCGGGAGCCAGTGCAGCTGGTATAGCACCGGGTGAATGTGATCTCGCAGCGAAGACCCCGTAAGGAGTCTCGCTGCAGCATTCTGCACCCGCTGGAGTTTCTGGGTCAGTCTCAAGGGCAGCCCCACGTAGAGCGAGTTACAATAATCCAGTCTGGAGGTGACCGTCGCGTGGATCACAGTGGCTAGGTCAGGGCGAGAGAGGTAAGGAGCCAACTGCTTAGCTTGGCGGAGATGGAAAATGCCGCCTTTGTTGTAGCTGCAATCTGCGCCTCCATGGAAAGGGAGGTGTCGAAGATTACACCCAAACTCTTAACGGACGGTGCTGGCACTAATTGCGCCCCCCGCAAGAGATGGGAGTTGCCCCCCCCAATCCCATATCGTCCCGTCCCAGCCACAGGACCTCTGTCTTCGAAGGATTTAGCTTCAACCGGCTCCCACGTAACCATCCAGCCACAGCTTCCAAACATCTGGTCAGTGTGTCTGGGGCCGAGTCAGGATGGCCATCCATCAACAGATAGAGTTGGGTGTCATCAGCATACTGATGGCAACCCAGCCCAAAACTCCGGACAAGCTGGGCGAGGGGGCGCATAAAGATGTTGAAAAGCATCGGGGAGAGTATCGCACCCTGAGGTACTCCACACACCAAGGAATGGAGCGATGACAATGCGCCACCCTCTGTCCCTGACCAGAGAGAAACGAGTGCAGCCATTGAAGGACTGTGCCCTGGATCCCCACGTCGGCAAGGCGGTGGTCCAGAAGTTCGTGATCGACCATGTCGAAAGCTGCTGACAGATCTAGAAGAATCAGCAGCCCCGACCCACCTCGATCCAGCTGTCTACGAAGATCATCTGTTAGGGCAACCAGAGCCGTCTCGGTCCCATGACCAGCGTGGAAGCCGGACTGGAATGGATCCAGAGCCGATGTTTCATCCAGAAACCCACCAAGCTGTTCAGCAACCGCTCTCTCAATCACCTTACGCAGGAACGGAAGATTCGAAACCGGGCGGTAATTGGATAGATCTAAAGGATCTAATGATGTTTTCTTTAAGAGCGGGCGCACCACTGCCTCCTTCAGTTCCCCTGGGAATGTCCCCGTGCCAAGGGACAAATTGATGATATCCCCCAGGAGGGCCCGCACCTCGTCTGGACACGCTCTAATCAGCCAAGACGGGCACGGGTCGAGAGGACAGGTGGTGGGCTTTCCAGCTCGGAGGCGTCTGTCCACATCGGCTGGGGATATCCGGTTGAAGTGGTCCAATACTGGACCCGAGGACAGTCGAGGGGCCTCCAGTTCCTTTATTGTATCCAAACTGGCAGGGAGGTCATGGCGGAGCAACAAGACCTTCTCCGCAAAAAAAGCTCGCAAATGCCTCACAGCTGTGTGTCAAATTGTTATTTAAATTTGGCTGTCCCTCAAGGGACGTTAAAGACCTGATTATAGTAAATAATTGCGCCGGGCGAGAGCTAGCGGATGCAATGGAGGCCGAGAAGTAAGACTTCTTAGCAGCCTTCACCGCCATCTCATAGGTTTTCATAAAAGCCCTATAAGATGTTCTTGAGGCTCCGTCACGGGCACCCCGCCATACTCGCTCTAGCCGTCTGAGGCTCGCTCTAGCCGTTTTCCGGAGCTCCTTGGTAAACCAGGGAGCCCGGTTTCTGCGGGGTCGCAGAGGGCGCTTAGGTGCGATCTCATTGATGGCTGCCAGGAGCTGGATATTCCAGCCCTCAACAAGCTCAGTCAATGAGTCGCCAGGGGGAGCAAGGTCCCGCAAGGCTTGGCGGAATCTATCAGGGTCCATCAGCCTCTGCGGACGAGCCCAAATCGGCTCGCCACCTAAGCAGGGTGGGGGTGGAAAGTCAATCCTGGCTTTCAGAGCATAGTGATCAGACCATGGCACCTTCATCGAAGGAAAAATGATCACATCTATACCTACGCCAAAGATCAAATCCAGCGTGTGGCCTGCTTGATGTGTGGGGCCCGAAACAAACTGGGAGAGCCCTAGTGTCGCCATGGAAGACACCAGGTCCAGAGCCTGTGAGGAGGGAGTGGCATCAGCATGGATGTTGAAGTCCCCCAATACCAATAGGTTAGGGAACTCCAAGGCCCAGCCGGCCACCGCCTCCAATAGGCCTGACAGGGTGGCTGCTGGTGCGCTAGGTGGCCGGTACACCAGCCAGACAGCCAAGCTCTCCTCGGAGCCCCACACTAGGCCAACACATTCAATGCCGGGGATCGATGGCGATGGTAGAGCCCTGAAAGGACAATCTTCACGGATTAATAATGCCACCCCTCCCCCCCCGGCCCACAGTCCGCGACTGGTGGAGGACGGAGAAACCCGGGGGCGCCATCTCTCGTAAGGTAACTGTTGCCCCTTCGTGCACCCAGGTCTCCGTCACAAAAGCCAGGTCGACCCCCTGCGAGATAAAGAAATCTCGCAGGGTGGCGGTTTTGTTGCCTATAGACCTGGCATTGTACAGCACCAGTGACGGAGGTGAGTAATCCTTGCTCACCCTACCCTCGTCCCTCGGGATGAGGCGCAGATTGGAAGGGGTACGAGCATATCCATATCTCGATCCCCTTCGCCTATAACATCTGCCCCCACCGCCATACCTCCCTCGCCCCTCCACGGTAGCAATCCCAAGCCTCATAGTAGCCTCCATTGATGGCAATTGTTATTCTTTCACAGCCTAAAACAATAAAACCTTAAAACAATAAAAACAAAAAACAAAAACAACCCAGAAAACAATAAAACAGTACAAATAAAACTGCAAAAATTACAAATTCATCAAAATCTAACAAATTCCCAAGCCCACCCAAACATCCCTCCCACCCCCATATATAAAAAATCTAAAGGGAAAGGGAGATTCTAAAACATGTTAAAAAGAACTCTGCACCCCTCCGGGTCCTCCTGGGCAGTAACAGCATCAGTGGCAACAACCGTCCTTGTGAGGCCCCACCCTGGGCCAGACAGTAGGTGGCAGGAGCAGTCCTTGTGAGGCCTGTCAGGCCCCGCCCTGGGCCAGGTGGTAACTGGCAGGAAGGAGCAGGGCCCTCAGGCACTCACACAGGGGAGTCCTCCTGGGGACTGAACTAGGAAACTTGCACCCCAGTCTATCCTTGCTTACTAAAGTCAGCCTGACAACTGAATGGAACTCACTGGGGGAAAAGAACACACAGAATTGTAGACTTGGGTTTCCCTGGGTGACCTGGGACAAACCATTTTCTATGGGTCCCCTCTGCAAAACGGGAACAGCAGCACCTTCCCTGAAGGGGCCCTGAAAAGATGGGTGAAAAGGATTGTACAGATCTTAGCACGTTAAAAAGAGCTTTTTGGGGAAAATTAGGCAAAGGCCTTGTCAACTCAAACATCAAGGCATTCCAAAAGGAATGTACAGTAGTTTGCTGCCTTATACGGAGTCATCAGACCAGTGGTTCATTTAGTACAGTCCTGTCTACACATGAATGGCAATGGCTCCCCAGGTTTACAGGGAGGGAGATGGCAGGGATTAAATCTGGGACCTTCTGCATGCAAAGCAGATGCTCTACCACTGAGACGAGGCCCACCCCTTGAAGAATCAGGGAGCCTTTTGTTTTTATGGGGTAATTTTCTTGGGATGAGCCCCAGGGATCTCGGGAGGGGGGCATTTTTAAAACACTTGTACAGCACTTGTCGTCCTTTGCTTTAAAGCCTTTTCTGCTTCTTTGAGAGGTCACTTATTTACCGTCTCTCCTTTCCCGTCCCAACCCCAAGGACTCAGATTACACTTACAATGCATCCAACTGTCACTGGCACCCTAACAACAACTTCACAACATTAATTAGGCAACAGCAACTTGACAAAGGTTCGGTGCCAAGGTTACACCTAGGGCTCAGTGGTACAGATCCATAGTGAGAGAGGACACATATATAAAGTGTTGATTCACTTCCTCAGCCAACAGGCATCCTGGAAAACCTTAAGTGACAGGTTTGCGGAGCACATGTCAACGAGAGAGGCCACTGCATGTTAGGTTGTTCATACAAACAAAGGAACATAGGAGGTTGCCATATACCCAGCCAAACCATTGGCATAGCCAACTTAGTATTGCCTACACTGACTGGAAGCACCTCTCCAGGCTTTCAGATGGAGGACAGTCTTAGCCCTATCTGGAGATGCTAAGGATTGAACTTGGGACCTTCTGCATGCAAAGCAGACTGAAAACCCACCCAGAGTAGGAGAAAAGCAACTATTTGAGCTCTTTTTTCTCAGGTTACAACATTACTAAAAAGCAATAAATGCCCTAGATTGAACACTGAGAGGGATGAGAGCTAAATAATGCTAACATGCATCTTCAGTGGAGGAAACTCTGAACTCTGAAGAGGGCCTACTTAGTGGTGGCTCCCCGGTTGTGTAACACACTCTGCAAGGAAGTTGGCCTAGAACATACCTTATGGTCTATTCTATCAACAGGCAAAGTTATTTCTATTTCTCAGAGCTTTCTAGATTCAGTCTGCTGCATAAAGATTAACAGAGACAGTACTGGAAAGGTTTCCCTGGGTAGAACATTCCACAGGCAGGGGCCACTACTGAAAAGACCACCTAGTACACCTCCCTCAGGTGCAGCACCCAGAGAAAGGCCTCCGATGAAAACGTTGATTTCTCTCCATTAGTCTGCTTTTGGAAGCAGTTCAAACACTCACAGCTGCATTGCCCTACACAAAGGTAAGAGCAGGCTGTTTCATGCAAATGTTTTCCGCTTATTACCAGGTTAAGTGAGTATAGATGCAAATCAGACATTCATATGTACAAATGAATGCTTGACGTTCCCTGTAACCCTTTCCCTCCAAAGAGGAACATTGCTGGATGGCAGATCTTAGCTGAATTAGGAACACAGGAAATTATCTTATTACAGATTGCTTCTTATTACCTTGTTCAGGACCTACTATGCTGGCTGGCAATGTGCGGCTCCTCCAGGGTTTCAGGCAGGGGTGTGGCATTCCCAGCCCTACCTGGAGATGCTGGGGATTGAACATGGCACCTTCTACGGCCACTCCCTTAAATTACACACCAGTGGCTGGGCTTACATACAGTTTTCTGTGTGGCAGCATGCCTTCACAGAGTGTCCAAGTGCAAAGGTGGATAGGGCTTCTGAACTTTTAATAAGCAGAAGATGACATTTCTGCAAGTGCAACCTGTATGACAAAGCTCAGATTTCCTCTTCTACACAACTACTAAAGGAGCAGAAGGCCTGTCCTGTTTTTCATTCGGACAGCCTACTAATTCCCAAGGCTTGGGCCCACTCAGCATCCCAGGCAGCATCCCAGCCTGCACCTAAATTAGCACTGGGGTGACCAGAAGAATAATGTGCAAATTTAAGAAGCCCTGCATCAACATAAGAAGAGTCAGTTGGCTCAAGCCATTGGCCCACATGGCTCAGCGGCTAACCAGGAACTTATGGGAAGCCCACAAACAAAACCTGAGCACAGGAGAAATCTCTGCCCCCACTCAGTGGTTTCTAGCAACATCCAGAAGCATTACTAACTTCAACCATGGAGGCAGAACATAGCAAATATGTGTAGTAGCCATGAATAGCCTTGTTGTTGTTGTTGTTGTTGTTTAGTCGTTTAGTCGTGTCCGACTCTTCGTGACCCCATGGACCAGAGCACGCCAGGCACTCCTATCTTCCACTGCCTCCCGCAGTTTGGTCAGACTCATGTTTGTAGCTTCGAGAACGCTGTCTAACCATCTTGTCCTCTGTCATCCCCTTCTCCTTGTGCCCTCCATCTTTCCCAACATCAGGGTCTTTTCCAGGGAGTCTTCTCTTCTCATGAGGTGGCCAAAGTATTGGAGCCTCAGCTTCACGAGCTGTCCCTTCCAGTGAGCATTCAGGGCTGATTTCCTTAAGAATGGATACGTTTGATCTTCTTGCAGTCCATGGGACTCTCAAGAGTCTCCTCCAGCATCACAGTTCAAAAGCATCAATTCTTCGGCGATCAGCCTTCTTTATGGTCCAGCTCTCACTTCCATACATCACTACTGGGAAAACCATGGCTTTTACTATACGGACCTTTGTTGGCAAGGTGATGTCTCTGCTTTTTAAGATGTTGTCTAGGTTTGCCATCGCCTTTCTCCCAAGGAGCAGGCGTCTTTTAATTTCTTGACTGCTGTCACCATCTGCAGTGATCATGGAGCCCAAGAAAGTAAGATCTCTCACTGCCTCCATTTCTTCCCCTTCTATTTGCCAGGAGGTGATGGGCCCAGTGGCCATGATCTTCGTTTTTTTGATGTTGAGCTTCAGACCATATTTTGCACTCTCCTCTTTCACCCTCATTAAAAGGTTCTTTAATTCCTCCTCACTTTCTGCCATCAAGGTTGTGTCATCTGCATATCTGAGGTTGTTGATATTTCTTCCGGCAATCTTAATTCCGGCTTGGGATTCATCCAGCCCAGCCTTTCACATGATGAATTCTGCATATAAGTTAAATAAGCAGGAGACAATATACAGCCTTGCTGTACTCCTTTCCCAATTTTGAACCAATCAGTTGTTCCATATCCAGTTCTAACTGTAGCTTCTTGTCCCACATAGAGATTTCTCAGGAGACAGATGAGGTGATCAGGCACTCCCATTTCTTTAAGAACTTGCCATAGTTTGTTGTGGTCGACACAGTCAAAGGCTTTTGCATAGTCAATGAAGCAGAAGTAGATGTCTTTCTGGAACTCTCTAGCTTTCTCCATAATCCAGCGCATGTTTGCAATTTGGTCTCTGGTTCCTCTGCCCCTTCGAAATCCAGCTTGCACTTCTGGGAGTTCTCGGTCCACATACTGCTTAAGCCTGCCTTGTAGAATTTTAAGCATAACCTTGCTAGCGTGTGAAATGAGTGCAATTGTGCGGTAGTTGGAGCATTCTTTGGCACTTCCCTTCTTTGGGATTGGGATGTAGACTGATCTTCTCCAATCCTCTGGCCACTGCTGAGTTTTCCAAATTTGCTGGCATATTGAGTGTAGCACTTTAACAGCATCATCTTTTAAAATTTTAAATAGTTCAGCTGGAATACCATCACTTCCACTGGCCTTGTTATTAGCAGTGCTTTCTAAGGCCCATTTGACTTCACTCTCCAGGATGTCTGGCTCAAGGTTAGCAACCACACTACCTGGGGTATACGAGACATCCATTTCTTTCTGCTATAGTTCCTCTGTGTATTCTTGCCACCTCTTCTTGATGTCTTCTGCTTCTGTTAGGTCCTTTCCACTTTTGTCTTTTATTATGGAAATCTTTGTACGAAATGTTCCTTTCATATCTCCAATTTTCTTGAACAGATCTCTGGTTTTTCCCATTCTATTGTTTTCCTCTGTTTCTTTGCATTGCTTGTTTAAGAAGGCCTTCTTGTCTCTCCTTGCTATTTTTTGGAAATCTGCATTCAATTTCCTGTATCTTTCACTATCTCCCTCGCATTTTGCTTGCCTTCTCTCCCCCGCTATTTGTAAGGCCTTGTTGGACAGCCACTTTGCTTTTTTGCATTTCCTTTTCATTGGGATGGTTTTCGTTGCTGCCTCCTGTATAATGTTACGAATAGCCTTATCCCCCATTTATTTGTATAATCCTCTTTTAAAGCCATCTAAGTTGGTGGCCATAATTGCCTCCTGTGGGAACAAACTCCATAGTTTAACTATTCACTTTGTGTAGCATTTTCTTTTATCTGTCCTGTATCTTCCAACATTCAGCTTCATTGGATGTCTACAGATTCACAAGTTATAAAGGGGCGGAGCTTTTCCCTACCTACCTTCTCCATGCCATGTCTAACTTTATACATTCCTATTATGTTGCCTCTTACTTGCCTTTTCTCAAAACTCAAAAACACGCAAACGCTGCAATCTCTCTTCATAGGGGAGTTGCTTGAGCATTTTGGTTGCCGTTTCCTAAACATTTCCCAACTCTACAATATCATTTTTGAGGCGAGAAGTGGCAAGAACTGTACCCAGCATTTGCATTACGCTATCTGCTTATTAATTTCCAATTCTTTCAGGAATGATCTCTAGTGTTGAATTTGCCTGTTTCCACACCTGCCACATAGCAGGTCTATATTTTCATTCCAACATGACAGAAAGGGATATCTATGCTATGAATTATCCAGGACTGTGGATGGGCCATTCCTGTGTGCCAAGCTTCTCTTAAATCAAATGCCAAACATCAATTTGCACACTGGCTATACATGTGGCCTATCAAGCATCAAACTTTGAGAAGAGAAAGCTGGTTCCACTCAGTGCCCTTGCGTCCCTCTCTCTCTCTCCGAGACACACACATATAGTAGTTGAACCTCACAGCACGGTTGTGAGGATTAATGATGACAACGGCAGGAATGTTGCTCTGAATTCCTCCGAAGTTCAAGAATAAAACCAAAATGATGGCCTATATGCACAGCATGAACGCCAACATGAGAGTGACTTCTTCTAAAAGCAGAGATGAAAAACTTGTGGCCCTCAAACTGTTGCTGGACTCTTAAGTCCCACTATCCCGGCTGTACTGGGGCTGCTGGGAGTTGGAGTCCAACAAACACGCGTGCAATGGCAATTCAGAAGAGCAGGCGCTGCTCTTTGGTTAAGAAAGGAACCAAGGAGAGAACTTCCAAGTCCTTTCCCGGAGAGGCTCCTCGTGGATCAAAGTAACGCCTTATTACCCACTAAAGAGCCGCAAGTAACGCCGAGTCTCTCCCGCGGAGCGAAGGTCGGGTTGGACCAACCCTGTCCCAGGAAGCAAACTCGCCCGCCCACCGCTAGGTCCTCTAGTGACTGGCTCGGCGGAACCGGCCGTTGGCCCACGATCCAGCCCACCTCGGGGAAAGCGAGAGCTCCAAAACTTCCCGCGCGCACGCCGCCCCCCTTTCCGAGAGCGAGAGAGACCTCCCCCAGTGGAAGAGGGGGTGGGGCGGAATGGAATGGGGCTTAGGAAGGGCGGCGGGGGTGGGGAGAGAGACAGACAAACCCACGCCGGATCTCACCCACCTGCCTGGCTGGGGACACCGCCGTGCGCGCAAATCAGGGCGCAGAGGAGCGCCGCCCGCAGGTGCCAGGCGCGGGCCGCAGCAGGAGGCATGTCTGGGTCCTCTCCGGAGCAAGCAGCAGCGCCAGCAGCGAGCGCCCAGCTCAGAGTGGCGCTTGTTTTTCACTTTGGGAACAATGATCGCCTGTAAAGTGATCGGGGCTCCCGGGGACGCAACCGAGCAGCAGCAGGAGGAGGAGGAGGCGAGTCAGCGAGCAGAGGCGCGCGCGGGCGGGGACCGGGGGAGGAATTCAAGGGGGTGGGGCAGGCAGGTGCGCCGGCGGGGCTCTAGCAGCTCCGCCCCCCCCCCCACCGGAGAGGGGCGGGTCCTCGCCTCCCTCGCACGCCGCGGCGCGCGTCCGTTTCTTATGCTGAGGAGCCGCCGTGCGTAAGCGGAACCCAAAGAACCTTCGCCAAAACAAAGAGCTCACCCGCTTAATTTGAGCTGCTGCTGCAATTAAGAAGCAGGCTCCATCCTGGAAGTTTTATACGGTGATGATGAATAAAAAGGTGTCCGTGCGCGCGTGCAGTGTGTTTTTCTCCCGCACCCACTCTGCACATGATCACAGGCCTGCCTTGCAGGTTTTGCTACCTGCAGTAATTAGGGGAAATGTCATTATATTTTTTGTCCTGCCTTTTAAACCCAAAGAATGCTACAGAAAAGCATTCGTGAGATACTCACATCGATGCAAAGGTGATAAAAGCAACAATGTAAATAAAATAAGAATAGTGAAAGTTAAAATTACTGTATAAAAATCAGAAAGGATCCAGTGGCTGGCTTCCGGAAGTAATCTTGGCATGTAAGTGGTATATATTAATTAATAACGCTGTGGGTTTTGCATCACCCATCTTCATATTATTATTATATTTATATACTGCTTGATGCCAAAATAGGCTTCTATGCAATTCACAAAGCATAAGAATAAAATTTCATGATACTGAAATATAAAAATCCATACTGGAGATATGCAGTAAAGCAGTATCATAAAACACTGAAATATAGACACCCATAATTAAAGTATGAAATAAATCAATCCAACTGAAACAACACAGCAATTAAAACAAGACACTGAGTGATCAGGGGAATGACTGTGTCAATAGAGATGCCTTCAAAAGCCAGTACAGATGAGGCTATAACACTGGTGCCACACTGTAAACATATAAATGTTTTTAAAAAGAACCTCCATGTCACCAGAAGCATCTGGTCAGGCCTCCAGAAACAACTGTGCATGTAGTCGCACCGTGGACTGTAGCTGTAGGTGGAACTATGAGCAGGGTCTCCTCCATAGATCTTACAGCATGGGTCAGCCAGAAGGAAGGAATGCAATCCTTCAAGTACTTGGGGCCAAAGCAGTATAGAGCATGGGTAGGCAAACTAAGGCCTGGGGGCTGGATCCGGCCCAATTGCCTTCTAAATCCGGCCCGCGGACCGCCTGGGAATCAGCGTGTTTTTACATGAGTAGAATGTGTGCTTTTATTTAAAATGCATCTCAGGGTTATTTGTGGGGCATAGGAATTCGTTCATTTTTTACCCCAGAATATAGTCCGGCAACCCACAAGGTCTGATGGACAGTGGACCAGCCCCCTGCTGAAAAAGTTTGCTGACCCCTGGTATAGAGCTTATAGACCAAAGCCAGCACTTTAAATCAGCTTCTGTAGCAAACAGGCAGCCACTGCAGATCTTTAAGGACAGGTGTCACATTATCTTCCACCACACCTGAGGACAGCAGGCCAGTTAAGGGCAGGGGTGGGAAACCTTTTTCAGCTGGAGGGCCACACTTCCACCTGAACAACCTTCCAGGGGCCACATGCCAGTTGTGGGCGGGGCCAGAAGCACAAGCAGACTGAAAAACTACCTTTTTGTGCCATAGGCTAGTTTCTACACCCTCCTGCCTGCACCTCTCTGTCCTCCATCTGGACAAGTAAGAGGCACTATCAGAGTTCAAGGACCCTTTTCAGCTAGGGAAAAATGCTTGGTATGGGAACCTGTGTCAGATAGCTTTTGAAAGAGATAGTCTCCCATCCAAGTTAACCAGGCCCGACCCTGCTTAACTTCCGAGATCGGACGGGATTGGGTGCATTCAGGGTGGTGTGGCTGTAGGCTTGAAAGGGATAGTCAAATTTTCCATTGATGCCCATTGTCCCCTGTCAAGACCCAGGGCACAAAGAGCCTAGGGATTTGATCCATTCAACTTACTCAGTTTTATTTAGGAGAATGCCATGCGTTGTGTGCAATCACAATAAGTAAACACATACAACTGCCTGAAGAAATAAACTCTCTCTTCTAATCATGCATGCTGGCCTATAAGCATTTCCTGGCAACTTTAACACACATACCTGCAAAGTGAATGCATAAAATAGCACCAGACAAATGCTTAAATTGGGAAAACCTCTAAGAATGCAAGTTGAGAATAGCATTAGCTAAAATCGCCCCCTAGTGGATTACTAGGACAAAGTCAGCAGGCAGGTTAGTACATACAGTATTGTGTACTGGCCTACCTTACAGAGTTCTTGTCTGGTGTGAGAAGTGCTTTGAGCAATTGGGAAAAGAGCCACGGATGAAGTTTTAGCCCAGATCCAACTCACAGGCAAGTAGTCATGCACACCCAATCAGCCTACCCCAACCTGGTAGTTCAAAACAGCTGGAGGACAAAGGCTGGAGGAGGCACTAACAGGAATGCTGGAGAATGGCCATTGAAGTAGATAAAGTTTCCTTCTGCATGACCATGAGAGGCACACACTGAATTTCTGAATGGTCCCTGGATGCATGAAAGCCGGAGCTGGTGGAATAAACCCTGTTCTTTGAAACTATTCTATTCAGTTGCAGAAAATTCCATGCTATGAAGATTGCTCATAGATGGTTCCTCACACCTGTGCAAACAGCACATATTCAAAACTCAAGGAGTAAGTCCTCTTGGAGGCACTGAGGAGCCATAGGGAATTATTGGCACATATAGTGGAGGGGCCTGTGGGCACATACTTTCTGGACTCCAGGTATGGGGGCGGGAATTAGCAACATTACTGGAAACTTAGTCCAGCCAGATCCAACTCTGTGCCACATCTCTATGCCTGGAGAGCTGCTCTGCAAAATTCACTTAAGTACAAATTTCAAAGGACGGCTGTGTTTTGGTCGTCATATTTGGTTGTCGTATTGTTTTGGAAAGTACAGATGAGATAGGTTTGCCATTTAAATGACTGAATGCCCCCCACACCTAGTATTCTCTTGCTGTGGCCTGTTGGATCGTCTCAGCCTGCCTTTGGTTGGCCTGCTATATCCAAAACATTTCGCAGGGGAGCCATAAATCACTCAAGAGACCGTTACTATGGCAACACAACTTCCAGAATTGGGGAAGCACTTTTGAAAATCCAGGCCAAAATAATGCTTGGGAGGAATGTGTGTGCAAGTGTTGAGTTTTCTGGAGATTTTATTTGTTTTATAGTTCTGGGTTAAGGGGAGCAGGGTTTTAACTCTCCTATTAAAATATTATTTCAACACATAAAGAAATAAATGACAGCAGAGTTGTTTTCCAGTTATCTCCAGAAGTGTGTGATCAGGTGAGCTTAGGTTACCTCAGCAGTGGGAAACCTTTCCTCAGGCCTTCTGGGTAACCTCCCAAGGGGCCCGTGGCAGTGGTGGGCGGGGCCAGAAGCAAAAGTGGGCGGAGAGATGGGCGTCAATTCTACATATGCACAGTAGCCTAGTTTCTACCATACACCCCTCTCTTTCCCCCATCCAGGCAAGGAAGAGGTATTATCAGAATTCAAAGACCAGTTAAGCAAACACACCAAGAAGAGCAGATGAGGGTATGGCTTGGAAGAGGGGCCTGGAGAGACCTCCGAGAACCATATAAGCTGGGAAGGACCATGGTTCAGTGCCCTGCATACATAAAGTCTGTGGTTCGACCCCCAGCAACCTCCTTATCGGGGAAGAAAGAGAGAGAAGGAAAATCAATTTTTAAAAAATAAAAAATTCAAGACCAGGTCTCTCCATAGTTTTCATTTTAGTAATAAGTTGTGACAAGTCTATTTCTGAAATTCTAGACTTGAAAGAGAAGTTGCTGAATTACAACTTATTACTAAACTGAAAACTATGGAGAGACCTGGTCTGAACAGAGATACTGGATTCTTGTCTCATTACATATGTTAAAGCTATTTTTGGTCATCTGCATACTATCCTTTGCTTTTTCCTGTAGGACTAGTTGCAGTCCTTCACAGTCATCAACAGGTTTACGACAACCCATTGAGTCAATTACCCATCTCCTTCTACCCTTCTGAGAAAAACTCCACCCCACCCTCCCACTTTACATAAGGATCTGGTGACTTCTGTTTCAGTGTATCTGAAGAAGTGTGCATGCACACAAAAGCTTATACCCAGAACAAAATTAGATGGTCTCTAAGGTGCTACTGGGCAATTCCTTAATTTTTTTATTTATTTTGACTGCGTCAGACCAACTCAGCTACCTACCTGAAAGGAAAATCAAGTAGGGGTGGTACAAGAAATATTTCTGTGCTTAACACCCTGGAAAGCCACTACCAGCCAGTGTAGACCAAGGGTGGGGAATCTTTTTTTGGCTTCACAGACAAGATCCTTATCCATATCAGCCTGAAGGGCCAAAATTGGCAGCTACCTGTCAAAATCCCTTAGGGAATGAAGCTGAGAAAGATTTCTCTGCTTGTGGCTCTCCTGCCCTGGAGGAGGAAGAGAAGAAAGCCTGTGTTTTAAAAATACAGGCTTTCTTCTCTTGTTTACACCAGGAGCAGGAGCGGTAGCTGCGGGGGTGGGGGGGGCGGGGAGAAAGAGGAGAAAAAATTATTCCCTTTATCTCTCCCTTCCCCTGGTGGTATATAAGCAGACTGGGAGAGAGAAACAGTTCCATCAAACCACTTCCTTCTCCTTGTGCAAAGTGTGCACCTACTGCACCATCAGCTTCCAATGGGTAGTTGAAAGCACACTTTATTCCAGGGTAAAGGATCCTTTGGGAGCCCAGCTCCTGGTGGTTCCATTGCAGGCCCTGCTTTACCCTTCATCATCTCACATCTGATATCAAATGGGGTGGCCTGGAGGGCTGCAAAGGTTGCCAACCCCTGGCATAGACAATACTTAGCTAGTCCGACTTGGCATAAAGCCACTTCCCATGATTCCTGTGGTGTGTGGGAACCAGAGAAAGGACTATATCTCAGTGGCAGAGCATCTGATTTGAATGCAGAAAGTCACCGGTTCAATCCCTGGCATCTCCAGCGAGGGCTGGAAAAAACTTCTATCCAAAACTCTGGAGAGATGTTGCCAGTCAGTGTGGACAATGCTGAGATAGATGGACCAATAGCCTGACTTGGTACAAGGCAGCTTCTTAGGTTCACATGTCACAGGGTGGATCTGAAGTGGCCATCAAGCATGAGTACATATAGGCCCCAACTGCAAAGAGGGAATTCACTGAAGTAACATTTAAGCACATTCAGATACCTGCATTTATTATTTGGTTGTTCTGCAGTAACACCCCTCCTGTAAGGGCAATGGTAGCTCTGGGATAGAGCATCTGCCTTGCATGCAGAACGTCCCAAGCCCCAGCACCTCCAAGCAGGGCCTGCCAGAAACCCTAGAGAGCTCAGTCAGTGTAGACAATATTGAGCGAGATGGACCAATGGTCTGATTCAGTATAAGGCAGCTTCCTATTTTCCCTGGGTTAATAACAGGTTACTTGTGGCACAGCTGGCACTGCCTTGAAGTTGCTCCCTGGGGGCCTTTTCCCAGTGCTGCATTGGCAGCTTTTGTTTTGATTGCATGGGTATTTCCATGCATGATCTGACAAATGGGGGGGGGAGGAGGAAAGTGTGCTGGCATGGAAGTGGATGCACCAACTAGGGCAGCCTTTTCCAACTTTGCACCCTCCAGCTGGGGCTGATGGGAGCTGTTGTTCCAAAGCACCAGGTTGGCAAAGGCTGGACGATGCAGGGCTGTTTGTGTTGATTCAGTATCTTTTATCTATATTGTAGTGTTATTTATTAAACTTGTTTGTAGCTTGTCACCTAACGGGTCTCCAAAAGACTTGCATGGAAGAACATATACATATAGTATATAATATGTGATGTATTATAAAATCCAAAGGAAAGGGAAAAGAGATAATATAAGTATCAACATGCCATGCAGAAAAAGAGCAGAATTCAATGGAGATCCAGATGGATTGTTACAGGGGCTTAAGGTATTTCACTAAGAAGGCTGCCACATGCAGTTCAGTGGTTCACCACATAGGGGTGCTGCACACCAATCCATCAGCTCCTAATATGGTCCGGCAAATCTCAGGCTCATCACCTGATCAGTCCAAGTTGCCACTCAACTTTTTTATTTTTCTGTATTATGATGACATCTACACCACAGCTTCCCTCCAAGGAGCTTGAGGTGGCATGTATGGCTCCCTCCCAGTTTTATCATCACAACAGTCCTGCCAGGTAGGTTAGGCTGAGAGATGGTGGCTGGCCCAAGGTGAGCTTCATGGCTGAGTGGGGTTGGGAACCCTGGTCTCCCAGGTCCTAGTCCGCCATTCTAACCATTACACCACAATGGCTCTCTTCAGAATCTGGTGATTCCTTCCCTTCTACTCAGTCCCCACCCCAGCATAAAATATAGTTGAATGAGTTAACAAGCGTTATCTGGTCCTACCTCCTGCAATTCAGGAATCACAGCTAAAGAATCCGGGACCGATGAGCATCCAACCTGTATTACAAAAAACCTGCAAGGAAGGAGAGTCCACCACCTTCTGAGGATGGGAATCTCCTGAGCAGATTATCATGGCTCACAATGGAAGATTCAGCAGCAGAGTCAGGACGCTAGAAATGGGAGGAGCACCTTTGTGGGAATAACCATAATGAACATGTAAAGCAAATGAACTGGAGCATTCATGCTGTAAACAAATAAGGTCCAGCGCTGAGGGCCTTCTGGCGGTTCCCTCACTGCGAGAAGCCAAGTTACAGGGAACCAGGCAGAGGGCCTTCTTGGTAGTGGCACCCGCCCTGTGGAACAGCCTCCCACCAGATGTCAAAGAGAAGAACAACTATCAGACTTTTAGAAGACATCTGAAGGCAGCCCTGTTTAGGGAAGCTTTTAATGTTTAACAGACCACTGTATTTTAATACTTTGTTGGAAGCCGCCCAGAGTGGCTGGGGAAACCCAGCCAGATGGGCGGGGTATAAATATTATTATTATTATTATTATTATTTCTGCTTCAGCTAAGTAAAACCTGCAGGAGAAATTTCATTTCCAAGTTTAACCTCTGAGCTCCAAATGTATGGAAAACCAGCATGTCCTTTCTTATTTAGACTGGCTACAGGTGTCCTGCTTGAACAAATGCCTGTTTGGAAACAGGATCCCCCCCCCTCCTCAAAACAGCTGCATATTCCCGCGTTGCAGGGGGCTGGACTAGATAGTCCACAGGGTCCCAACTCTACAATTCTATGATCTCCAGGTAGGGTTGGGCGTGAACCCTGCCCCCAACCCTGCAGTTGCTGCCAGTTAGTGCCAACAGCCCTGAGCTGAAAAGGGCAAGCAGTCTGGCTGAGTATAAGACAGCTTCCTGCATTGCTAGCAATGCTTCTGGGTTGGAATGGGGGAGCTACCTGGCTTCTGGCGACTGCAGCGGCAGCTGAGTTGGTAGGCCTAATGAGTGGGTTGTTACTGCTGGGTTAGGAATCGGTGTGAGAGCCAAAACAGCAAGGAGGGATGCTGTGACGGGGTCCCCACTCCCTCGCTTGGTGATGTTCATCCCCGGGAAAGGAAAAATCCACTGCTGCAGCGGCAGCAACAACAACAATGCCACCACAGTGATGCTTCCCCGCTGCCAACTCTGCTCTGACAGCTCATCAGAGGTGGGGAAAGGAAGGCGGTGCGTAGAATCCTAATCAAAGGCGGCAGCTGACTGGGCCCTGGAGAATGAGCCACGTCTAATTTTGCTTTGCAGTCTGACTCAAGGAGAAGAGGCGGAGGAGAGAGCGGGTGGTCTGTGGGAGGCCGGGCATGGGGTGAGCGTGACCTAAGGGGGTTTCCATTCAAGCTAAGCCCCTCTGTGGAGTGTGCTCTGAAACACCAGGGCTCAGCACTGAGAAGACGGGCTGTCGTGAATTATAAAGAGTGTCCCTCTGAGCTTGTGCTGATGAACACTGCCACACATCTGGGATGGGGGAGAAGGGATCCATGTGGTGGTAAGTCACCAGGGAGAGTCTTTCAGGCAGACACGTGCCTTCTTCTAAGCAAAGCACCACAGCTGAGTGGCCAGCAGTTTGTCAAGGAAAGGATGGGTGAAAGAACAACTCAGTGAAGGTCCCAACCGTTGCAGCAATCCTTGCTTCACCCAGCAGGGGGTGCCCTATGGAACAAGGGAAGAGCACCCACACTGTACCCTGAAAACACACCCAACACACATTTAAAACTGTAGTTTAGTAAAGGTGCTGGGAACTGTAGTGCTATGCGGGTGGTAAACTAAAGTTCCCAGAGGGTACTTTCGGGAAGACACGTGCTCTAAATGTATGGTGTAGGTGTGATGAGAGAGATCCCTTCTCAGATGTTTAAGAAATTGTGGAAGTGGTGTAATAGGGATTGCGTACTCTGACCTTCATGGGTTCATCAGTAAGTTTTGGGCAAAACCCTTCATGCTTAGAACTGGGCATGCATAGAACTCTACAGGCATATCTGTCTTCAAGGAGCTACAAGATGGCCTCTGGCATCTCCAGTTAAAAGACCCCTGGTACCACAGGATGGGAAAGAACTCCTGCCTGGAGAATTGCTGCCGGTCAGAGTAAACTATGCAACCAGGCAACATGGAAAGTTGGACCTGCTTCAAGGGAGCTTCCTATCGCTGCATCCACAGTGTGCATTTAAACTACATTTATACGACTTCAACAGCGGTCGCTTCCTCTCAAAGAATAACGGGAACTTGAGTTTACTCCCTCACAGAACTACAATTCCCAGCACCCTTAACAAACTATAACTCCCAGGATTCTTTGGGGGAAGCCATGTGCTTTAAATGTAAGGTGTGGCTGTCACACAAGTTGTTCCTAATGCTGGTTCAATCCAGCTAGGTAGGGGAGGGAATTCCTAAGCACTGCATTCCACACCTTTGTCCATTGTGTGGACTGTAGAGCCTGGTCTCAACCTGAATTTTTCTTTACAGTTGTATATAAATTTGGGGTGCTGGGGTTTTTGTTTTTTAAGAAATCTGAGCAACCTGTGCAATCCAAAGGACTCATCTCTCTTTATCTTTCCTGGCATGGAGGTGAGCAGCTCCACAACTGGTAAGAATTCAACAGATGCTGCTTTGAAGGTGCACTTCACCTGCTGAATGCCTACCTGTTTTGCAAGCTGCTAATGGCACAGGAACCCTGGCAAATGAGGGGGAAAGGCAATGTCCCTAGCATGTGTGATAGATGCTAGAACGGTGCTCTCTGGGTCTACCGGGTTTGGGGAGAGAGGGGGCAATTAAAATGCCTACAGAATGCCTACAGAAGTTGCAGTGTTCAAAGACGACAGTATTGATTCCTTTTTGCTGCAGTTCTGAATGAAACATTTGTGCGTCTGAGGGGATGAATTGTAAGCCTAGCAGTGCAGAACCTTTGGAGACCACAACACCCTCCTGCGCTGTGTAGCTGACACCTCATCCTGCGCCGAGGGATCGCAGCGTAAACACTCTGCAGCTTCTCTGCATAGGTGCCTGGAATATTAATAATCACTTTAATGGGTTTCCTCCTCCCCCCCCCATCATTCGCACACTTTCTTTTTACTCCTTGTTTTATGAGCTCTGGAAATTACCACGGCTAATGACGACTCCCTCAAGGATGGAAGCCTTTCAAGGCTAATGGCAAGAAGGTTCCTTGAGAAGCAGAGGACCTGTCTCTGGGTACACACACAATTGTGAGCATTCGTGAGCGGACACATGCATCAGCATCTTTCGACCTGGGGGTCGCCTGCAAGAATCAAGGAGAGCAGGACAGGAGGCAGGGGTGGTGGAGAGGGGCTCCCGCGCTTTGCTGAAGCTCAGAAAATAACCCACTGTGGAATCTGGTAAGAACTGTTTGCTCATGGAACCATCTCCTTCCTTGGAGGTTTTTAAGCAGAGGCTGGATGGGCATCTGCCAGGGATGCTTTAGCTGACCCTCGGAGTCCCCTCCAACTATACAATTCTATGCTGATCAGAAGGTCGGCGGTTTGAATCCCAGTGACAGGGTGAGCTCCCGTTTCTCGGTTCCTGCTCCTG